GTCTTCTTTTTTTCTTTCTGCAGCAACAAGTTCACTTGATAGTCTAAGAATGGAATAAATAGCATTTTCTATCACTGGTAAAGAGGTCTTGCATTCCTGCAGTTTGTCTTCAGAAAATACAAGTTTCTGGTACAGATCATTACTTCTGACCAAAAGACTTTTGTGATCTTCTTTTAATAGTTCAGCTATGTTTTTATCCAACTGCAGCTGCTGTTCAATCCTTATCAGTTCATTTTCCTCTTGCCTATTTAATGTTTTAAGGTTCATAATTGTACTGTCTTCTAGATCTTTCAGTCTTTCTGAAAGTTTTTTTAGTCCCTTATCCATTGTATTGATCTGGGAAATTATTTCACTATGTAAAATCTTGGTATCCAACCTTAAGTTGCTGGTATTTGTGTCCATCTCAGACGTGCTTCTTTCCCAGGAGTATACCACCTTTTGAAAGGTTTTGCTAATAGTCTGAAACTTTTTAGAGCATATCTTTCGACTATTTTGAATATTCTCTATGAAGTTATGAAGGATAGACACTTGTTGCTCAAAATCACTTATGATGGAAACGTATGAAGCAACCTCCTGCAGGACACTCGAAGATTCAAACTGCATTTTTAACACAAAACAATGTCCATTTTCACTTACTGTTTGCAAGTTATATACAGTGTATTTAAATTTTATCTGACTATGAACCTTTGAATGGCATGCAAAAGACAAACTTGTTTGCAAAAGGACAGGAGAATCAAAACAATTTAAAACATGGAAGCAAGACAAATACGAAGCAAAAGTTATTACTATTTTAAAAAAAACAATGAAAGAAACAACAAGCTACTGCTAAGTATAGAAAGGCAGACAGAGGAGTAATAGAACAAATAGAGCTACAATGAAGAGAGTTTATATTAATGGTGTGAAGAAAGAAGAATAAAAACAGTTGTTTTTATTTTACAATATCATTTGATTATGGCAATTTCTCCCTGGCATTTTTTACTAAATATTATTTCAAAAGACAAAACTGATGACCAGGAGAACTCAGCTGTGTTTGGAAGCATTCATGGTCCTAATCAGTTGGCTATGATTTTCCAAAAATCATTCTTAAAACTATACTGAAAATTACAGATGCTATATCATTGTAAACAAGCCATTAACTCAGACTTAAATTATTGTGTAATGGTTAAACTGTTCATAGTGCTCCTGGTGGGAAAAATTGGAAGAGTGAGTGCTATGTATAGAGACTTTAATGAAAAGCAAGTTATAGATTTAGGAAATAATATATTATTGATTCAAATTGAGGCTAGAAAAATTCAGTGCAAGCTATTTCTAAATTAGAATAGGATTGCAGGTAAACAATTTTTATGTACACTTACTTTGAAAAAGATCCACTAAATCCAATGGCATTTACTTCCAAGTAGGTATACATAGTATTGCAGTTTTTGGTATATTTCACTATTTAGATTTCAATCAAATGACTGCTTTGAATATTAAACTTAATTTTCAATCTAGATTAGTATATTTAATTGTTCAACAAATTTTTCCTGATGACTGTAAATGGCTGATGCAATGGCAGATTTCAGATAGTAAGAAATACCAAGTTTTATAGCAATATCTATTTGAATTATTACCTTTTCAGAGATTGTGCTAATTTTATTTTCCATATCTTGAAACTTTACAGCTTCTTCCTTTAATAGGTGATATTTCTTCTCTACAGCAGCCAACTGAACAGACTGCTGAAAAAGAAACCTGAGAAATGTAGAAAAACCAAATGTTTAGCAACAAAACATTTAAAAGTTAAATGTTCCACAATTTTAGAATAAACTGCAATAATTTACGAACACATTTGCACAAAAGGCTATATATAATTTATATCCTAATATCCAACAAAATGTATAGTTCAATGGAATTGATGGCTTTGCACAAATCAGAAATGCATTTGCTGATTATAAACAATATTTTGCTGATTGCTGATAAACAATCTCTATTTATTAATTTTTGCTACATTGCATTAATCTACAAGAGCAGATTTTCAGAGGTGCCTAGAGAAAGAGAATTGTAGGAAAGCCTACTGATCAAATGTCACCAAACAAGCTAATCCAGTCATTATTTAGGCACATATTAAGTACAAATAGTGCGTATATATAAAGCCAAAACCCTGGCCCAAACTCTTTATTGAATTCCCATATGGATACGAGGCTTCAAGGATTATATTGAAAGAACCCAGGCTGTTTTTCTTAGGAAACTTCTGGTTCTTCCTCGTGTTGGATTTGCTTCGATGTACCTGGAACTGGGCATTCGTTCAGTCGAATGCATGGTATGGATTAACACCTTTAAATGGTGGTTTTGGGTGCTTTTTTCGGCAGTCCCTGGTAGCTACCTCTCCCTGGTGTTTGCTGACTCTCATACTTCTCGTTGGGAGAGGGAGCTGATGAAGAAACTCCACTTGCTAGGTTTTACGGGGGATGCTTTGGGAGATTACGGTCTCAAGGACACCCAGTTTAGGGTAGTCCAACGGCTTGTGGACATAGATTTGCAATACTTAAGAGCCAGAGCCAACAAAACCTGCTCCCCTTTGATCTTTAGCCATTCTAATAATTATGGATTGAGGATGGCTTCATATTTCTATACTTTAACCATCCCCAAGTATAGAAGAGTCTTTTCCCTAGCCCGTTTCAATGTCTTGCCCTCAGTACTACTCGACGGGCGATTCAAGAGGCTCCTGTTTAGTGAGCAACTATGCCCCTGTGATAGGGCTGAAGTTGAAACTGTGGAGCATGTCCTATCATACTGTCCTATGTATAACACAGCCAGAATTAAATTATTGTCTCTCCTTGGAATTGATCCCTCTGGTTCTAATGTTAGTAATTTGGTCTTATATTGTCTAGGGGATGGCTCCTCCTATATTACTTCTCAGGTTTCTAAATTTCTTTTAAGAGCTGTAACTATTAGAGGAGAACGTTGTAATTCCCTTTCGCCAAGGCTTCTGGTGTTAATTGTTTGTGATTATATTTTTCTTGTGTTTTCTTTTGTTGCACTTGTATTTTGGTCTGTGACCGCAAAATAAATTTTATTATTATTAGTACAAATAGTTTTATTAACATCTGCTTCTGCTATTCAATTAACATTTAAATCTTATTTTCAAGAATAGCGAGCAACTATGAAATTTTACATAAATAACCAGATAAACTGACATAGAGAATTCTTTAGCCAGCCTATCTCTATACATATATTACTAGAATAGATTTTTACTTCTACGCAATTATACAAAGGAGGCCATTTCATCTTGACTTCATAAATGAATTATAAATGTAACATTTAACATAAGTATAAATTGAAGATTAATATCATGCTATGAAATGGTTATTTAAATCCTTTTTTGCTGATGACACAGAGGTATGAAATAGAATTGACATTCCTGGGAATATTTGTAACATAAAAAACTATTGGGCATTACTAGAAAATCGATCAAAAATGTGAGACTGCAGTTCAGTGTTTCTAAATGTAAGATCATACAGCTGGGGAAAAAGAATCCTTTGCAGAGTACAATATTGGGGGTACAGTGTTAGGCACAACAATAGAAGAAAAGGATTTTGGTGTGCTCATAGCAGATGACTGCAAAATGAGCAAACAGCGTGGCCAGGCAGCATGAAGACAAACAAAATTCTGGGATGCATCACTAGAAGGATCACTGGCAGGAAAAAGGAGATCCTAATCCCACTATACAGGGCTTTCTTTAGTCAGACCCTATTTGGAATATTATTTCCAATTCTGGATACCTTACTTAAAAAAATATTGATAAGATTGAGCAAGTCCAGTGATTGGCAATAAAAATGTTGCAAGGTCTGAGAGACAAGATATCAAGAGAGATTGGAGGATCTGAGTGTGTACAGCCTGGACAACAAAAGGAAAATGGGGGACATGATTGAAACCTTTAAATATATTAAGTGTGAATAAGGTTCTAAAAGGCAGTATTTTCAATATTAAGCAAAAATCAAGAATACAGGGACATAACCTCAAATTGACAGGAGGGAAATTAAAAAGTAATGGTAGAAAAGTTATTTCACAGAAAAAGTAGTGGAAGCTTGGAACCAACTTCCAGCGGAGGTAGAAGTTCCAATCACCAGTAACTGAATTTAAACATTCTTGAGATAAACACGTCCATCATCCAATAAAATAAAAATTAAAAATAATAAAGAAAACACAAAATCTCAAAGGGCAGACTTGATGGACCACTAGGCATTTTTCTGCCATCAGTTTGTCCACCCAGCCAAAATCAAGAATTAACACTTTTATTGTCTTTTATCATTAATTACATGCCATCAAGAGTTAATTCTTTAATTTGGCTTACCATGATAGCCCTAGACTGGCAACAAGAGATAACAGACTTGAAGCTGTTTGCAGATCCATCCTCATGGATTTGGTATTCTTGAAAACTTGTTTCTTTTGTTCATCTTCATTTGGCTTGGAAATGTTTGCTTTCCTCCGCTTGACTTCGGACATGTCTTGATGCAGGATTCATGCACTGAATTGAAGAAGTGTGTCAATCTCCTAATAGTTTACCTCCAAAGGAAGCTCCCTACATTCCCCGTGAATTTTTATTTAGAAGTAAATTTCATTCGGGACAAAACCAAATTTACTTCCCACTAAATGTACTTAATGCTAAACAACATTGCTCCTATATTCTAGAAACTTGCTTCTCTACTGTTGGGAATTAAAACTGCAGCGTTATCTATATAATCCTTTCCCTTTCCACCGCTCTCCAGTTTCCCCCTTCACCCACACACTTTACCTCCACAACAGAAAGTTAAAACACTTGAACTGATCACCCTCCTAATCGTATTCCAGCCCAGCGCCCAACTCGAAGCTCTCTGGAAAGATTCTTCTCCGCCGCCGCCACTCCGAGACAGACCGCCACGTCCAAGCGCATGCTCGGCTATGCACGCCCCCTCCCCTTCCGCCATCGTTTCTGTTCGCGAGCCCTTGCTAGTTGATGTAGGCGGGGGGAATGAGGAGCTGAACGCGGTGCGAGTAGCGGGGAGGCGCGCGCTCGCAGACAGTCACAGCGGTCTCTTTGCCTTGTCAGGCGCGAGCTGAGCCAAGACGGTGAGCAAGTGGCTCGGGCACGAGGCGTCGGCTTTGTTAGCTCGAGCCTCGTGGCTGCCGGGCGGCGACCCGCTCCGCTTCTTCGAGCTACTCTTCCCGAGGAACTTTGGCGGACGCTCGCCTCTGCTTTACCCCGCCCCTCTCGCTTTTTGCCTCCTCGATTCGCCTCGCGAAAGAGGAAATGGCTGCTAGTTCCCGAGTGCCCGTCCCGAGGGCAACTGAAATGGGGTGAAGGTTGAGAGGTGTGAAGGGCTTTATCGGGGCCGCCCGCTTCCGTTCCCACGAACGCTGCTTACGCCTCCAGGTAACCTTGCAGCAAGCCTGAGGGCGGGGAGACGGTAGACGAGACGATGAGAGAGAGAGAGAGAAAATAAAAGCGTGTTGAAGGTGGGTTGGAGAGTGCGAGAGGGCAGGAGTCATCGAGATAAAAAATAGGGCGGGCCAACTTTAGGAACGGAGCGGGCAGTCGAAAATTCGCAGCAAGACGTCACCTTTCCTTAAATAGCTTGATCGAGAAATTCGCCGTTTTTATTTTTATTTTAAGGTTTGGATAGAGCTACGTAAAGAAACGTGTTCTGTATTGGACAAGGCTACTCCCGTATTTTTGGAAGGCAAGTGGTGTCTTGGGAATTGAACATTTTAAGTAGCATGAAGTGGTGTAAGTGCATGTTTGAGGTAGAGGCAAGAATTTTTCACGAGATTATTCCAACGTCGAATATTTTAACTTCCTGAATTTAGTTACCTACAGCAGTAAACACATCTGTACAAGACAGTCCTAATGAACTTCAAGTGGATAATCTCCAAGTTAGTATTTTGTTGTATGAAATCATTCTAATTTGTTGATAGGTCTCTGATACGGCAAATTAAACCTACAAAATTATGAAAACTTACAACCCTATCCTCTAAATATCACTTTCTCCCTTTTTATTGACCTAGAACAGGTTGTTAGGGTAATATTGGAGAAATAAATCTTTATGTTGTATATATTTTTCAGCTAGATAATCATAGTGCAAGCATTGTAGCAGTATATATGTGCAATTTCTGGTATTTGAGAATGTAACATTAAAATATATGCTGTTAGGTTCCTACACTTTGTGTTTAAATTTTACTGCATATTGCTTTAGCTTGCTATTATATAAAATTTGTACTTAATACAGTGCAATAGCATATTTTATTAATCTATGGAATCTATTTTTTTCCATAAGCCTTACTGTTTCTTAGGCTAATTAATATTTTGTGTTAAACATTAATTTTCAGATTGCTTTTATTTCTAAAATCTTGCTTTTATGATTATATAATTTGTATTTTATATTATTTTATTCTATACATGTTTTTGTATAGTTTTATTCCTTTTAACATTGTCAGCCAGCCAGAATCAACTTGTGGTGAGCAAACAAATTTAATACATAAATACATAAATAAACATTTTTATTTTTTAATTGTAAATATATATGTGATGTTCTAGAAATGCCAGGGTATCATTTAAAGATATCGAATTAGACTCTTTTCTTTCACTGTTTAAAGCAAATTTATAGTTGAAGTTAATTTATTTTATGTAATTAGTTAAATAAATGCTAAAAAAGTATTTTGGTAAGACTGCACCTAAATAAAATATTGGGATAATGCATAAATAATGTCTGATGAACTGAATAATTTGTATATAGGTAATCCTTGACTAATGAACATTTGTTGTTGTTAATTGCGAAGTCGTGTCCGACCCATCGTGACCCCATGGACAATGTTCCTCCAGGTCTTCCTGTCCTCTACCATCTTCTGGAGTCCATTTAAGTTCACACCTACTGCTTCAGTGACTCCATCCAGCCATCTCATTCTCTGTCCTCCCTTTCTTCTATTGCCCTCAATCTTTCCCAGCATTAGGCCCTTCTCCAGTGAGTTCTTCCTTCTCATCAGGTGGCCAAAGTATTTGAGTTTCAACTTCAGGATCTGGCCTTCTAAAGAGCAGTCGGGGTTGATCTCCTCTAGGACTGACCGGTTTGAACGCCTTACGGTCCAAGGGACTCACAGGAGTCTTCTCCAGCACCATAGTTCAAAGGCCTCAATGCTTTGGCGCTCAGTCTTTCTTATGGTCCAACTTTCACAGCCATACATTGCAACTGGGAAAACCATGACCTGGACTATACACACTTTTGTTGGCAGGGTGATGTCTCTCCTTTTTAGTATGCTGTCTAGATTTGCCATAGTTTTCCTCCCCAGGAGCAAGCGTCTTTTAATTTCTTGGCTGCAGTCCCCATCTGAGGTGATCTTAGAGCCCAGAAAAATAAAATCTGTCACTACCTCCATTTCTTCCCCATCTATTTGCCAGGAATTGAGAGGGCCGGATGCCATGATTTTGGTTTTCTTAATGTTGAGTTTCAAGCCAACTTTTGCACTCTCCTTCTTCACCCGCATCAAGAGGCTCTTTAGTTCCTCTTCACTTTCTGCCATTAGAGTGGTATCATCTGCATATCTTAGGTTGTTGATATTTCTCCCGGCAATCTTAATTCCAACTTTTGTTTCATCTAGCCCTGCTTTCTCATGATGTGCTCTGCATATAAGTTAAATAGGCAGGGCGACAGTATACAGCCTTGCCGGACTCCTTTTCCAATTTGGAACCAATCGGTGGTTCTGTGTCCAGTTCTCATATAGGTTTCTCAAGAGACAAATGAGATGGTCTGGTACTCCCATCTCTTTAAGAACTTGCCACAATTTGTTGTGATCCACATAATCAAAGGCTTTTGCATAGTCAATGAAGCAGAAGTAGATGTTTTTCTGGAACTCCCTAGCTTTCTCCATGATCCAGCGTATGTTGGCAATTTGATCTCTAGTTCCTCTGCCTCTTCGAAATCCTGCCTGTACTTCTCGATCCACATACTGCTGGAGTCTAGCTTGTAGGATTTTAAGCATAACTTTACTAGCATGTGAAATGAGTGCAATGGTGCGATAGTTTGAACATTCTTTGGCATTGCCTTTCTTTGGAATTGGAATGTAAACTGACCTTTTCCAATCCTGTGGCCACTGTTGAGTTTTCCAAATTTGCTGGCAAATTGAGTGTAGCACTTTTACTGCATTGTCTTTTAAGATTTTGAATAGCTCAGCTGGAATACTGTCACCTCCACTAGCTTTGTTGTTGCTCAGATTTTCTAAGGCCCATTTCACTTCACATTCTAGGATGTCTGGTTCGAGGTCAGTGACCATCTCATTGTGGTTATCTGGGATGTTAAGCTCATTCTTGTATAGTTCTTCTGTGTAGTTTTGCCATCTCTTCTTAATGTCTTCTGCCTCTGTTAGGTCTCTGCCATTTTGGTCCTTTATCATGCCCATCTTTGCATGAAACGTTCCCTTCATATCTCCAATTTTCTTGAAGAGATCTCTGGTCCTCCCTATTCTGTTGTTTTCTTCTATTTCTTTGCACTGTTCATTTAAGAAGGCATTCTTATCTCTTCTAGCTACTCTCTGGAATTCTGCATTCAATTGGGTGTATCTTTCTCTTTCTCCTTTGCCTTTCGCTTCCCTTCTTTCCTCAGCTATTTGCAAAGCTTCCTCAGACAGCCATTTTGCTTTCTTGCATTTCTTTTTCTTTGGGATGGTTTTAGTTGCTACCTCTTGTACAATGTTGCGAACTTCCATCCATAGTTCTTCAGGCACTCTGTCTATCAGATCTAATTCCTTAAATCTATTTGTCACCTCTACTGTATATTCATTAGGGATATGATTTAGTTCATACCTGAGTGGCCTAGTGCTTTTCCCTACTTTTTTCAACTTAAGCCTAAATTTTGCAACGAGAAGCTCATGATCTGAGCCACAGTCAGCTCCTGGTCTTGTTTTTACTGACTGTATAGAGCTTCTCCATCTTTGGCTGCAGAGCACATAGTCAATCTGATTTCTGTGTTGACTGTCTGGTGATGTCCATGTGTAGAGCCGTCTCTTGGGTTGTTGGAAAAGAGTGTTTGTTATGACCATCGTATTCTCTTGACAAAATTCTATTAGCCTGTGCCCTGCTTCATTTTGTACTCCAAGGCCAAACTTGCCTGTTATTCCGGTTATCTTTTGGCTTCCTACCTTAGCATTCCAATCCCCCATGATGATAAGGACATCATTTTTTGGTGTTAATTCTATAAGGTGCTGTAGGGCTTCATAGAACCGGTCAATTTCATCCTCTTCAGCACCAGTGGTTGGGGCATAGATTTGGACTACTGTGATATTGAATGGTTTGCCTTGGATTCGAATTGAGATCATTCTGTCATTTGGGGATTGTATCCCAGTATTGCTTTTCCTATTCTTTTATTGACTATGAAGGCTACTCCATTTCTTCTGAGGGATTCTTGCCCACAGTAGTATACCTGATGGTCCTCTGAGTTAAATTCACCCATTCCTGTCCATTTTAGTTCGCTGATTCCTAAGATGTCGATGTTCAGTCTTGTCATCTCTTTTTTGACTACGTCTAGCTTGCCTTGATTCATGGATCTTACATTCCAGGTTCCTATGGAGAAAAGATCTTTACAGCATCGGACTTCCCTTTCACCACCAGATATATCCACAGCTGAGCGTCCTTTCAGCTTTGGCCCAGTCGCTTCATTCTTTCTGGAGCTACTAGTACTAGCCCTCTGCTCTTCCCCAGTAGCATATTGGACACCTTCTGACCTGAGGGGCTCATCTTCCAGCGTCATATTTTTTGCCTTTTAGTACTGTCCATGGGGTTTTCATGGCAAAGATACTGGAGTGGTTTGCCATTTCCTTCTCCAGTGGATCACATTTTGTCAGAACTCTCTGCTATGACCTGTCCGTCTTGGGTGGCCCTGCATGGCATAGCTTATAGCTTCATTGAGTTACGCAAGCCCCTTCACCACGACAAGGCAGTAATCCATAAAGGGGTATGAACATAGTGGAACCCAAAATTTCTGATGTCATTTTACAACCTTCCTTGCCACAGTTGTTACCACAGTTGATAACACAGTTGTTAATTGATCTGGCTTCCCCATTGACTTTGCTTGTCAGAAGATCATAAAAGGTGATCATATAATCCCAGGACATTGCAACCATCATAAATACATTCCAATTCATCTGAATTTTGATCATGTGATCACAGGGATGCTGCAATGGTCATAAGTGTGAAAAATGGTCATAAGTCACTTTTTTCAATGGCGTAACTTTGAACGATTATTAAACGAATGATTGTAAATCAAAGACTACCTGTAATGTACTAATGTCTCTAGAGCATATAATTTTGGTTTAATTATCTTATTCCTCATTCTTTATACTGCTCTATATTATTGCAGTTGGAGAGCTGGCAGTTATATGGTATCAGGACCATTTTGTAATTGGAAAATATATTTCAGGAAAATTAAAATGAACAATTCTAGGTTCATTTGTTGATAAGCTGTCATCTGCCACAGTTTTTCACTGGTGGCTAGGTATCAGTATTGAAGTCCAAAGGTAGCTAACAACTGTTCAATAATTTATTGCAAGTTGAAATACTGATTAATGTTAGTAATCCAAGGTTCTGTCTTCTCATTTTTAAAGTAACATATAAGTGATATTCATACATTATAACTGTGAAATTTTCTGTGTCTTGGTTAGCTCATAGAATTACTCAGCTAAAAGGAACAATAAACATGGACGAGAGAGCTAGAAGTTATTTGATTCAGAACCGCCAAGCTTTGGAAAGTGATATCAAGACATCTTATATAATGGATCATATGGTTGCTGATGATATCTTGACAGAGATGGAAGAAGAGAAAGTAAAAGCTCAGGTTATTAAAGGTTTTTATCTTTTTGTTTACGTTAGAATAGAAGTACTGTTAATATATAAAGTTTTAGAACAGAGGGCATGATATGAGACTTCAGGCCACATGTGGCTGCACTCAGATTTTTGATATGAACTCTGGGGATAACCTGTAACACACACACCCAAGGTTGTATGTAACTCTAGAACAAATGTTACTATATACAAGTGACTCAGATGATACAAGAGCGGAGTAGTACTAGCAATTATTAGTCTGTTAATGTAACAACAATTAGTAGAGTAGGGCTTAGAAATAGCGAGTATGGCAAAAGTGAAATAGCAAATACATTTCCTAAAGTTCTAGATTACATTTGTAATAATATAACAGCTTGTTGAAGCTGAATGTCAGAGTGCTATTGGATATTTTTTGATAGAAAAAATATCAGTATTAAAAATATATAGAAGTTTAGTAACAACATTAGGTCGGATACATATGAAGTTAGTTGCATATTTCAATGGGAATTAAGTAGGCATTTATATTTTTACTTTGACTTCAGTAGGAAAACTAGCCTTCTATGTATGTACAGTGAACATAGAGTTAACTTTGTACAGGGAAAAAATTATTTGATCCCTTGCTGATTTTGTACATTTGCCCGCTGATAAAGAAATGATCAGAATATTATTTTAAAAGTAGGTTTATTTTAATAGTGAAATACAAAATAACAGCAAAAAATCCAGAAAAACGCATTTCAAAAAAGTTATAAATTGATTTGCATTTTAAAAATACCTTCAATAAGTATTTGACCCCTTCACAAAACACGACTTAGTACTTGGCAGCAAAACCCTTGTTGGCAATCACAGAGGTCAGACATTTCTTGTAATTGGCCACCAGGTTTGCGCACATCTCAGGAAGGATTTTGTCCCACTCCCCTTTGCAGATCCTCTTCAGATCATTAAGGTTTTGAGGCTGATGTTTGGCAGCTCGAAACCTTCAGCTTCCCTCTACATATTTTCTATGGGATTAAGATCTGGAGACTGGCTAGGGTACTCCAGGACCTTAATGTGCTTCTTGAGCCACTCCTTTGTTGCCTTGGCCATGTGTTTTGGGTCATTGCCATGCTGGAATACCCATCTACAACCCATTTTCAGTGCCCTGGCTGAGGGAAGGAGGTTCTCACCCAAGATTTGACGTTACATGGCCCTGTTCATTGTCCCTTTGATGCGGTGAAGTTGTCCTGTCCATTAGAAAAACACTCCCAAAGCATAATATTTCCACCTCCATGTTTGACTGTGGGGATGGTGTTCTTGGGGTCATAGGCAGCATTCCTCCTCCAAACATGGTGAGTTGAGCTGATAACGAAGTTTGATTTTAGTCTCATCTGACCACAACACTTTCACCCAGTTCTCCTCTGAATCATTCAGATGTTCATTGGCTAACTTCAGTTGGGCCTGTACATGTGCTTTCTTGAGCAGGGGGACCTTGCGGGCACTGCAGGATTTAAATCTTTCACGGCATAGTCTGTTACCAATTGTTTTCTTGATGACTATGATCCCAGCTGCTTTGAGATCATTGACAAGATCCTCCCATGTAGTTCTGGGCTGATTTCTCACCGTTCTCATGATCATTGAAACTCCATGAGATGAGATCTTGCATAAGGCCCCAGACCTAGGGAGATTAACAGTTATTTTGTATTTCTTCCATTTGCAAATAATTGCACCAACTGTTGTCACCTTCTCACCAAACTGCTTGGCAATAGTTTTGTAGCCCATTCCAGCCTTGTGTAGGTCTACAATCTTGTTCCTGACACCCTTGGACAGTTCTTTGGTCTTGGCCATGGTGAGGGATTTGGAATCTGATTAATTAATTGCTTCTGTGGACAGGTGTCTTTTATACAGGTAATAAGCTGAGATTAGGAGCACTTTAAGAGAATGCTCCTAATCTCAGCTCGTTACCTGCATAAAAGACATCTGGCAGCCAGGAATCTTGCTGATTGATAGGGGATCAAATACTTATTTCACTCATTAAAATGCAAATCAATTTATAACTTTTTTGAAATGCATTTTTCTGGATTTTTTTGTTTTTATTATGTCTCTCACTGTTAAAATAAACCTACCATTATAATTATAGACTGATCTTTTCTTTGTCAGTGGGCAAACATACAAAATCAGCAGGGGATCACATAATTTCTTCCCTCATTGTATGTCTTCTCAAGAGATGTAACTGGTCTATAAATCTAATTAAATAAAGAATTTTTCATTGAGCTCAATATTATTTATTTACTTACTTACTGCTGTGGTATGCTGCTCCAATCTTAAATTGACACTAAATAGCATTCATACCTGATGCAGTAATCGAATTAAAAACAAATACATACAAAAACTAACTATCAAAATGCCCAGGAATCATTAATAGTCAGTCTCATACAATATCCCCCCTCTGCAGCAGAGTTCAAATGCTGACTCCCTGAATTAGTAAATATAGAATAGCAGCCTCATTCTGAATCTAAGAAATTTGTTGTAGCTTTATAATAACTCTTATAGTAATTAGATTTGGTATAAGTATATAAACAAAATTAAACATACTCTGTTTGAATCCGTCATTAAAGTGCAGTAGTCAAGGTGCTAGACTAGGACTATGGAGATCTGAATTCATGTCTACTCTTAATCATGAAGTTCATAGGGTGTCTTTGGATCAGTTAGTCTCTTTCAGCCCAAGCTATTTCATAGGTAGCTGTGTGAGGACAAAATTAAACTGTATTCATCTCTTCAAAAGGGTTGATTGTACATTTATCAAATAAAATGCCATAATTGTATTGTTATTTTTTCAATTTTTCCATTTTGAGGATTGCAAGTCTTTAAAGAGGTTACCTTGCCTGAATATTTTTGATATACAGGTAGTCCTCAAGTTATAAGTGTAATGGAGCCTGCCCATTCCACTTGTAACTCAAAAATTCGTGGGAGTGAATCTCATACCTCAAACGAGATCACTCCCTTGCTTGTTAAGACTCGTTAAGTGAACATGAGGTATCTCAGGGTGGGAAAGGCCATGGGGGGCCTAGTGATGGAACAGACCCCCAAAGCCTCCCCGCCCCACTAAGATACCTCATGCTTCCCCCTCCCTTCCTGCCACGCCAGAATAACCTGGAAAAGATCCATCTCTCTGCTGCAGTTCCTGCTGCTGTCCGGACCTGAGGCTGGGGGACACTTCCATGGCCTCCGGGGGCCGGTTTCCCACGCCTCAGATCCTGGCGACAGCGGCCCGGAGAAGGCATCCGGTGCCGGTTTCGGGTCCATTCTCTGTTACAGAGAACAGAGGCCTAAAGTACCATGAGATCATGTGAGATCAGTAGCATGAGATTTCGCCCCACTGATCTCGAGTGATCTTGTGTTACTTTAGGCCTCCATTCTCTGCGAATGTACCGAAAACCTGGAGCAGCCAAGAAAGTGAAGGATCTCGATCTTTGCAGGATGAGTATTGAAGACCTGATGCCTAGGGAGACCCGGGGCGGGGGTGGGAAGGGAGGGAATAACCATGCTGAATGTTGCAGTGTCACTGCGGTCACTCGTAAGGGCGAATGACTGCCGTGGTGCTCCAATATTTGTAATTTCGGGACTTGCTCATAAGCACTAGGGGGTGCTTATCACGTAACTTCGAACAAGCGTTAAGTGAAAGCTTGTAACTCGGGGATTACTGTACAATTTTTTGGGAACTAATTTCTTTTAAGATTTTACAAATAGTTGTCCAGATAAGGACAATTATATGCTCAGGTGAAGATAATATATATTTCATGTGCTTAACTATACTGAGAAAAATTCAATAATCCTAGGTAAAGCTATGAACATTCACCTAGAGGTATATTCCAATGAACTTAGTTAGTAGAGATGTGTAACATTTGATTGCAAAAGTATTTATCTTGGCCAAGAATGTTTTCTAAATAGTGTAGGAGTTGTCATTTTTTTCTTCATTAAGTCTGGTGCATCAGTCCAGAAAAAAATACCAAGTGTATACTGAAAGGGGTTTTTTTGGTACACAATAAAAACTAATACAAATTTAAAAAAAAGAAAAAGAAAAGAAGGTGCAGAAAAGAAAAATAGAAATAAAAATAGAAAGGAAAGTAAAATTAAGAATATAGTATAGAAAATGAAAAATATAGAAATGACTTCCATATTCAACAACAAATATAAACAATTTTAGTAACATATCACTTTCTAATGCATATTGAAATTGTAGAATTTTAGAATGTACTAAAAATGTACTAAATCTACATTTTATTCTTTTCTCTACTAGACTACACGAAAAGAACAGGCAGCCATGCTTCTAAAATTAATTATTGCCAAAGATAATTTTGCATATATATCTTTCTATAATGCTTTACGACAGGAAGGATACAAAGATCTTGCTGCTCTCCTTCAAGATGGCCTCTCTATTATTTCATCTTCAAATAAAAAAAATTCTGAGACTGGTATAACTTCATATGGTTAGTTATGATTTTTTTTATTTACTAGAGATTATATGTTGTCCCAATCAACAAAAACTAACTAACTTCATATGACAAGTAGTGTGTATATGTGTACTTTTTCACAGAAATAATTATTAAGAGTGGCAGATTTATAATATATTCCTAAATGTGTATCTCACTGACTTAGTCATACTTTTAATTTAAATTTGATTGAATTATAACAAAACAAATTACAGTTTAAGGAAACACTGAATTATAACATAATCTCCATTTCTAAATGATTTTTCATTTCTAAATGATTTAACATTTGCTGGCTCACTGTATGCATTTTATAATGGACTATAATAATTTTGTGAGTAGCGATTTAAACTACTAAAACTGTATCTTTATATGTATTACCTAAAATTATGTTGTTCTTGTAAATAAATAAGAAAAGCTAACAAAATAATGGAATATTCCAAATTCTTAGTATAATTGTTAATAGTATTCACAATTTTCCTAAAATAGTATCCTTTTCACCTTAAAGTGATTACAATCCCAGACCAATAAAGCACGAAAATGTGTATTAAATTCTCCAGCACTGGAGATGGATAATCCACGCAGTGGGTTGAGACTGTATTCCTGGCCAATTGTGAATAACCTTTGGAGGGCTTGGCCATCCTGGGTCTTCTGGATTTCTCAGCAGTTTTCAATATCATTGACTATGCATATACCTTGCTAGACCAGCTCCAGGGATTGCAAATAGGAGACACTGTTTTCAATCATTCTCTTCCTTTCTCTGTGGCTAGTACCAGTCTCTACCAGTCAAAATTATTTTGCTGCTCTTTATACTATATCATCTTAAGATACTGGCTGCTATTATTTTTGTTTGTCTTTCCTTTCTGAATTTAAGTTAAGACTACCCTTTGTGAAGGTGGAGTTCCACAGAGGCCAGTAGTATTTGTTACTCGTCCAGAATTACTAAAAAAAATACAGCATAACCTATACGGGTTAGGAAATGATCCGGGATGGGTGATTATTTACGGCATGGCAGGTTGTGGAAAGTCTGTTTTGGCAGCAGAAACTCTACGTAACCATGATCTTTTAAAAGGTATTTATATATTTTCTATTAATGTAGCATCTTAATTCACTTTCCTAGTTTATTGAAAATTGCAATTTGTCTTCAAAATAAAACCCACTTCAAACAGAAGGTTCCAATTTAGTTTTGAACATGCTATATAATAATCTTACAGTGCCCAAATGACATAGAGCAGAGGTTCCCAACCTTTTGGGCACCAGGGACCGGTTCCGTGGAGAAAGGTTTTTCCACAGACTGGAGAGTGTATGGTTTTGTGTGCTGCCTGCATCCCACGGATGGGGCTTTGCTTGTTTGTGTGGACCAGTTGCTGGCATGCCGCAGACCGGTACCGGTCCACGGACCAGGGGTTGAGGACCCTTGACATAGAGTACCAAAATATAATTTTGGAATATGAGTAAGGGAGGAAAGAAATAATATTACTCAATTGTTGTTTATTGTAAATGTTCAGAGTCAATATCTGATACAAAGAAAATCTTAATAAGTTGGGAAAGGTTTGCAGGGGTGAACAAGTGGTATGGATTGATGAGGTGTGTAAGAGGTGAGGGGGTATGTGAGAAGGAGGGAGGATATGAAGAAGGCATAGAGGGTTCAGGTGAGGCTGATGTAAAGGCAGAAGGGCTGAGAAAGCAGGTACTCTTACCCTAGTTGCAACCTTCCCTGCCATATTCCCCATTGATTTTCTGTGATGACAGGGCACCATAACTGGTTGTAAATATGCACTATTTGCCAAGTGTCCAGATTGTTATCACGTGACTATGGTAGCGCTGAGATAGTCAAAACTCCAAGGACAAGTATAACCATCATTTGTTCAGTGCTGTTATAACTTCAAATGGTCACTGAACAAATGATTGTAAGTTGAGGACTACAACCAACTCCAGACTCAAGGTAGTTTACACAGTAAAATATATCAATAGTATCCTTGCATGTAAGCCTATCTGTGTAGAAGCCGATCCTCAAGTTTTAACCAAAATACTGTGAAAAGCAATAGCAATGGATAAGCCAGCTATGAAAATTAAAATACAAAAATGTCAATGATTGACTTATCTGAAGGAGGCACATTTTCATAGTACTTGAAAGTACTATGATATTTTATTACTTTTTAAAAGTATTGTACATACTCGTGGATAAGCCCAGCCATGAGTAAGCTGAATCCAATTTTGGGGGTTTCTTTTGGCACCTAAAATCCTTAGCTTATCTGCAGGTGTATACAGAAATATAACAATAAACGGAAAACAGAGAATAAACCCTTGCAGATCTTGAAATCATTTCTTCTATTCACTATAGTCTTATGAAGAATAACAAAAAAAAAATGTCTTGCCTGCTAAAGTCTTGTTTTACTGCTCAGTGGAATCATAGCTTGGGAACAGAATGGAAATAGTTTGTTACTGTCTGTTTATTTTTCCTACTTCTGGCTGTTATGGTTTTCTTCTGTTAGAGTGCTAATTAATCTCAAAAATGCGTACATTTTCAGTATCAGCCAGGGTAATCAAATGCTGTAGACAAGTGTAAAAATAATAAGAGTAGAATTACATAGCTTGATACATGTAGCATTTGGGGCGTCGTGGAGCCATCTAATATTTAGGAGTTTCATGCTATTGTTCCATTTGAGGATAATTTGACTTTGTATATGCTCCTTAGAAAAAAGACAGCCTCTACTCTCAACATTCAGTCTCATAAAAGAAAAAGTAATAACGAGAGAAGACAAAAAAGCAGAGGAAAGCAATGACTGTTATTATTCAGTCAATTTTTTATATAGCCCCAATATATTTGGAGGTTTCTTTTAAGAATCATTAATGTTCTCTAATATCTTTTAATTTTAACATATTTTTTTTTCTTAGATTGTTTCCCAGGAGGAGTGCATTGGGTTTCTGTTGGAAAACAGGATAAAGCAGGTCTGCTAATGAAACTCCAAAATCTTTGCCGGAGATTAGATCAGGACTTCACTTATTCACAAAGGCCACCATTTAATATTGAGGAAGCAAAAGATCGCCTTCGTTTGTTGCTGTTGCGCACAAGCCCAAGGTAATGTCAGTAGAACAGACTTACATTTGCTATCTTTAATTTTAAATCAACTTGACTAGAATTGTTTGTTTCAAGTTCGTACATTTATAGAGGTTTCCAATAAATATTCTATGTAGCTTAAAATTCAAGCGAAACACAGTTTATAACAAAATATTAGTGAATTGGTTCCATATAAAGCTAGTAGTTGTCATTCTGATGTTTTATTTGTATAATCATTTATTTACATGTATTCTTTCATTGAGCAACTTTGGAGTCTTGATCATCAGGGATTATGAATTAAAATCCACACTGCTTTATTTTCTGCATAAGTAAATTTCAAACTTCTTAGTATCTATCAGCTTAAATTGTAATTGCTTGCTTTTTGAAGTGCACTGACTCTTTTTCAGATTTTTAAGGTATATGGTTTAATGTACTGGTTAAATTACAGGCCAAGAGTTCTAGTCCTCTATTAGGCATAGACACCCTCTGTGCCAGTCTTTCAGCTCAACCAATCTTAGAATATTATTGTTTGTAAGGAGAATAATATATACTGTAAATGTAAAAATAAATAAATCATGTTTCATTTGAAAAATCGGGAAAATATTGGTTTTGTCTGCTGTGATTTATGCATAAGAAATGGTACTAAGAATTTATCATTTTTTGCTGATTTGTTGAAGATTTTCCATTTTGAAAAAATGATTTAAAAATTCCAGAAAGAGAATAGCATAACAATACTGAGAAATATAATAATGAATGTGCATAAATATATGCTTTCTAAATATTCAGACTAATATTTAATTTTTATTTCTTTTTGCCTCCTTTGGCCCCTATTTTATCATAAATTAAGCCCAAATGCCAAATTTATCTTTTAAGAAAAAGCATTGATCTTTAAGGCTCTTTTTGATTAAAAAAGAAACAAAAGTTTAAAATAGTTAAATTCAGATATTATGAAGGATGCAATTAAAATGCTACACAGTGCTTTGGACTTTATTCCAAAAAGTGCTTCAAAGTATGTAGGAATGTATATATACCACTTGCTTGCTCATCGTAAAATATTGCTATTATTCTCTGGAATTACATTGAGCTCCTGTTTAGATAGGATACTTTAAAAAAGGAAATGTATTGTTACATACTATATGAAGAACCTTCTTAAAGTAGATGTGCTGTTTAATTTCAAGTTTATCATCTTTTTTGTGACAGATCTCTCTTGATACTTGATGATATTTGGGATTCCTGGGTTTTAAAAGCTTTTGATAATCAGTGTCAGATTCTTATCACCAGTAGAGACAGGAGTGTAGCAGATTCTGTAACTGGTAAGGGTTGTGTTTTTCTCTATTACCTTTCATAGTGGTAGCGTTTTGTTGCTTTTATTCCATTAACCCTTATTAAGAGCATGCAGTGATACATCCATTATATTAAGCCAAAAATAATATTGCCTTGAGAAAATTGTACATAGTAGTAGTAACAGAGAGATTGAAAGAGGGGAGATTATCTTGTTATTATTATGTTTAATTTATAGAAAATAATCTGAATAATGTAACATGTATATATTTGAGGATTGTGGGGAAAATTAGTTGAAAAATGTGCCTTTAAATATTGAAAACAAAATATATTCTGTAAGAAGTAAAGTATAAATGGGAAATGGAGATCTAAAGAATTCTGGAAACTTAGAATAACATGTTCAGCTGCAGTATAAAACAATTCCAAGCTCTTTTGGGGATGATATAAACAATATATAATCATACAATCTTATAAATAAAATACACAGTGCAACTGAATAATGAATATTACCTCCTTTTAATTCTGTATAAATTGATAAAATGAATCAAGCATTAAATGTAGCATTTTCCTTAAACATCAAAAACTAATGAAAATAAACCAGACTGTTCAATTCCTGTTCCAATGTGATGATTGGCAGATGATTTTTTAATGCCAATTAGTGTCTTGCAGAAGGCAGAACAAAGCAAAGTCTATGGATAAATCAATTGCTTTGTTTACTATGATTGCATGTGCATTGATGGACAGAACTATTCAAAGTAAATGAAAACTAAAACAAGACAAAAATTGGCAATGGAAACAACAAACCTCATGGCAATACAGTTTTTGCTGATTCAAAGATGGGTGGATAGCACTTTAATTCAGTTGTGGAGAAACATTTATGCTTTAAATCAAATATTTATTTCTGATTCTATATCCAGGCAATAAATATGAAGTTTCTGTAGAAAGTGGATTAACACATGAAAAAGCACTTGAAATTTTATCCCTGTTCGTTAATATGAAAGTAACAGAGCTGCCAGAAAAAGCTGATCATATTGTTAGAGAATGCAAAGGTAAACTTTTTCATTTTATGTTAATAGGCCTCTGCATCAAAAAAGTAATAGATTTTCAACATATTTGTAACTGCATATATGCTAATTTAAAATTGAAATGTAGTCACTGAGCAACTTAGAATTTCTAAATTTTAAAAGACAAAGCAACTTGGGCTTTGTTATTTTAACCTGTATGATTTGCCTTTCCAGAGTTTTAATATGTATTCTAATAACGAGAAAATACAAAAAATGGTTTTTGTTTTTCCACTTCTTGAATTATATGACAAATTATTTTTCTGGAAAATATTTCAGGACTTCATGCACTTACATTGCTCTTGAAGCCTTCTTTACCTTTGTGTTTGTTCTATGCTTGCATCTAGCTTCAAATTCCCACAGCCAGAAAGGAGGAGACTGCAAATAAGCCCTGAGAATGTTAAAATTCCGTATTCAATACTACACAATCTTTGAACTCTGAGATAAATATAAATCAGCTGCTTATTGTTAAAAAATTTAAAACAATAAAAACAATTATTTACAATGTTAAAACAAATTTAGCTTTCGCTGGTCCATTGCCAGCGTCTTCAGAGTAAAGCATTGGGGTGGAGAAAGATCTCTTATAAGCCTTGCTAACCTAGTTTTTTACACATTGACCGCGTGTAAAAAACTACATTGACCAGCTGATCGCACAGAGATGGGACGAAAGGATGGGGTAGAGCTGCAAGCACGCACACCCAGACATGAAGGGAAACGGGAGAGAAGAGGACTTATGATGACAAATAGTGGAGGACAAGAACAACAGACAAATGGAATGGAGGAGAGGGGAACAGCAGTGTAAGGGCACTTGGGATACTGGACTGGATCCACAGCCCAAGGTGAGTGCGGGGGAGTGGTTAGTAGGCATACCAACAGTAACAGCACCAGGAAGGAGAGGAAGGATAAGGAGGGGAGAGAGAGAAGTTGTGGAACTGGAGTGCAAACAAGGGGAGGGACATTTAAGGCAATTATAGTCAGATAGGACGAATGGCCCTATCACACAGTCAATGTGTAAAAAACTAGGTTAAGATTGTGTAGTATTGAATAGATATGCCCGGGATTCAGATTTTTACAGTTATTGAGGATCTATCTATCTATCTATCTATCTATCTATCTATCTATCTATCTATCTATCTATCTATCTATCTATCTATCTAGTTTTATCAACAAGTATAAAATGCAAAACAGAAAAACATACATCCAACACTAACAACGACAAAAAAAGAAAAAAACTTGTTTAAAAGAAAGAAAAAAATGACCCAAATATCAAATAAATGTAACATTAAACATATCCATCCATCCATCATGGCTGGATGCTGAAAAAAAAAACTGATAAATTTTCCTTCCCTTTACACAACAGGTTTACATATACCGGTAATTATAAGCATTCCCATCCCTATTTAACAAGAATACTATATTAAATAAACAAATATTCCAGGTGAGGAGGGTCTCTATCTGATAATCAAATTGACCCAACTTCTGATATGTGTGTGTGTGTGTGTGTGTGTGTGTGTGTGTGTGTATACATATATTTTAAAAAACAGTCAACAGGTTAGCCCAAACATTACACTAATCTTGAAATCTCTCTGTTAATCATCTGTTATTGTATTTAACACGTAGAAAGTCCACAAATCGTTTCCAGTCTCTTATAAAGCTGTCTACTCCATTGTCTCGTACCAGAGCAGTTGATTTCACCATCTCTGCTAATTCAGTCAATTGTTCTGAAGTGTACTTTTGAATACAAAGATGAAAAGAGTCATTTCATATGATGGGAAAGAGTTAGGGAATTTTTAACTTTTTTGTTTTCTTAATATTTTTCCCCAATAAGGCCTTCAAAAAGCAATTTGATTTCTTTTTGTTCAGTTTTACTTTTACTTATTCTTCTATTTTAGGTTCTCCTCTCGTGGTATCATTAATAGGAGCATTATTGCGAGACTTTCCCAATCGCTGGGAATACTACCTTAGACAACTTCAAAATAAACAGTTTAAAAGAATACGGAAATCGTCATCTTATGATTATGAAGCACTTGATGAAGCAATGTCTATAAGTGTTGATATGTTGCCAGAAAATTTTAAAGTTTATTACAGAGATCTTTCTGTCCTTCAAAAAGATGTTAAAGTGCCTTCAAAGGTAAAATATATTTTAAAACAGTATTTTAAAATAAAGTATATAAAAAAGCAGACTCAGGAAACTACAGACCAATCAGCCTGACATCATTACCTGGGAAGATACTGGAAAAAATAATAAAAAAACATCTATGAACATCTAGAAACAAATAAAGTTATAACTAGTAGCCAGCACCGGTTTGTTAAAAACAGATCATGCCAAACCAATCTTATTTCATTCTTTGACAAAGTGACTAAATTAGTAAATCAGCGAAATGCTGTGGACATTGTATATTTAGACTTCAGCAAGGCATTTGACAAAGTAGACCACAACCTACTTCTTGGTAAGCTAGAAAAATGTGAGATAGACACCAACAGATGGATTTGTAACTGGCTGACAAACTGTATTCAACAAGCAGTCCTTAATAGTACTACATCTACATGGAGGGAAGTAAGCAGTGGGGTACCACAAGGTTGTGTCTTAGGCCCAGTACTCTTCAATACCTTCATAAATGAGGTAGAGGGAATAGAAGGGGATCTCATCAAATTTGCAGATGACACCAAGCTAACAGGAATAGCCAGCACCCCAGAAGACAACTTCAGAATCCAAAAAGATCTTGACAGACTTGAACAATGGGCGCTATCCAACAAAATGATATTTAATATGGAGAAAAGCAAGGTTTTACACCTGGGCAGGAAAAACCAAAGGTACAAGTTCAGATTAGGCGAAACCTGGCTCAAAAATAGTAACTGTGAGAGGGACCTTGGAGTCCTAGTGGACGATCACTTAAACATGAGTCAGTAGTGTGTGGAAGCAGCCAAAAAAGCTAATACAATCCTTGGTTGTATAAACAGGCATAGAATCAAAATCACGTGAAGTATTAGTACTGCTTTATAAAGCCTTAATAAGGCCACAACTGGAATATTTCATCCAGTTTTGGTCACCACATTACAAAAAAGATGTTGAGACTTTGGAAAAAGTGCAAAGAAAGCAACTAAGATGATTAAAGGTCTGGAAACTAAAACATATGAAGAACGGTTGCAGGATTTGGGGATGACCAGTTTAGATAAAAGAAGGACTAGGTGGGACTGAGAATCTCTATAGACATTTCACAGAGCTAGTTGTGCAGGACTAGTTAGCAATTAAGATGACACAGATAAAATATTTTTTTAAAATAGGGTTTATTATTAGTATATCTAACTGAATGGTGTGGTTACAGAATAATATTTTCTATCTGGAAAATTGTTGATATGCAAGATTAGTTTATATTCATTCTTCCCCTGAATTCAATATAATTTCTACTGTACTTATTGGTACATACTTCAGAATGTATTAAGAATCAATAAGGTTGCAACAATATTTAACTTTATTATGCTTGCTGTATAAATATCTAGATATCTTATTAAATATTTTAAAACTTTAATATAAAATTTTTAGGATTATAGGTTTGAATTTGAAATATTGATAATCATACCACAAATATTATTCTTGCTTCCCTGTATATTATTTAAATATTTAAGGAAAATTGTGAATAATTAGCAGCTCAATGTTTCACTTCATTTCATTTGTGAAATCAGAGTTGCAAACTTAAATTTGAGATTCTGGTTTTTTTTTATTTTAAAAGGACAGTCACCATTCTCTCAATAGTAGAGAAATATTCTTTAAAATGCTTATTTTCAATCAATATTTAACAAAATAAATATATAGTGAACAATTTTAAAACACTGAAAATAGTCTTACTTGGGATTTGTTTGTATATTGGTTTCCATACTAACAATCTTTCTTTTCAGTACTTGCAAATGAGATTTCATTATGTTCTATTGAATTTTTCAGATTATTTTTACCTAATGAAGGGAAAAGTGATTATTCATTGCATTCACCTATTTTTGTTTGTTTGCTTGTTAGGTATTCTGTATTCTTTGGGATATGGAGACTGAAGAAGTTGAAGACATATTGCAAGAATTTGTCAACAAATCTCTCCTATTTTGTGATCAAAATGGAAAATCATTCTGTTATTATTTGCATGCTCTCCAACTTGATTTTCTTATGGAGAAGAATCGCAGTGAGCTTCAAGTATGTTTTAATTTGGAATAATGGTTTATTTAGGAAGCAAGTATAAAAATAATCAATATACAAAATTCATTCATAATATAATATTAGAATTCCTTGTCTTGCAATTGCACTTCCTATTTTATACATTAGTGGCAGCATCTAGCTGTTTCTAACAGATTTCAAAAAATTAAGAAGGGACAAACCTGGTCAACATTTAAATGGGGTATCATCAGGCACCACAACTACTGTATAGCTAGACTTGGCACCCTGAAAGAACAAACCACTTTCATAGTGCTGTCATTATGTATAGTAGAATATACCCAGAGAGAGAAAGAGACACACACGAACAAACAAATATAATCAATAGCTCAAAGAAGAATTTATTTTTAATTTGATATTAATTCATCTTTTCAGATGAATACAAGCAAAAAGAGAGAAAAACAGTCCAATACAAAAAGTGCTCAGATAATACTTTAACTCTGATAAGCTTTTTAAAGAACTATGGGCCTTGAGTAAAGTAGGTTAAGATTATTCAGTTAGCATTCAATTAACAAAAACGTGAAATTTAGAGCTAAATTTCTACTTAAGGCAAGGGTGTCAAACTGCCAGCCCATGGGCCAGATGGGTCATGGCAAAACCGTGCCCGCCCCATTGCCGACAATGGAAAAAAAGTTGCGGTACAATTGCAACACGTCATGTGATGTTGCGAGTTTGACACCCATGAGTTAAGGGATTTCCTTAAGCTCCTGGACAAAAGGCAACATATAAATATAAGAAATAAATAATAATATGTAAAGAAAGTTGGAAGATAGAAGAGGTTGAAAATGTACCACTTTGAATCTGTACAGAAGAGTGATGATACGTGGCTCAGTAGGTAAAGCCATCATAAGATCTCTATAACTTATTGAAAAGTAGATGTCAAACCTCCCTGGTGGGGGCCAGAGTTTCTTTTGATTCTTTGATTCTCTGATCCTGCCTGGTAAAATACTTCTTAGTAAAGCCAGCCTTAATTTAATTTTTTTCAATGATCCATCTTCCTTTTGGTTGTATAAATGAATTTAGCCTGCTTAGCACAACAAGCTTCGAATATTGTATATTTGCATGCAGACAGGCATTCAAGTTAGAGTTAAAAGAACTAGATATCAGTTGGTTTTGTTTTTACTTTCATGCAGTAATAGAGTTTCACCAGAGCATAACATTCTCAGTTTGTGAATAGGGCAAAAGAAATTACTGAACTTTGTTTATTTTTATAACAGTGTATCTTTGGGAGATTTTAATTCAATATAGTGTTGCAAAGTAGTGAGATTATTTGAGTTTGAATGCCATTACTGTATTAATAGACATTTGATTTTTGTAGGAGCTACATAAAAAAGTAGTTCATCAGTTCAAGAAATATTATAAGTATAATATACCTATTTCATCAGAGGATGACTGCATGTATTGGTATAATTTTCTGGCTTATCATATGGCAGGTGCCAATATGCATGATGTAAGTTGCACTGATTTTTATTTCTATACCCTTGTATATAAGAAAATAGTTTCTTTCTAGGGGGATAAATTTTCTTGTGAAACTTTGTAAAACATTTTATGGCTTAAATGAAATATGTTTTTATTTCTATACCTGCAAGAAACAAAAATATATTTTCTATACCTGCATTTCTATATGAATTTTCATATGCATTATTTGAAATAAAACATTTTGTCCTTTGAGTCAGTCCAGAATCAAAATAATGTTTGCATAGTTCATTAATTTCATGCATTTGAATATAATAAGTTCTATAACAATTGAAATAGTACAGGTAGTCTTTGACTACTTTGCTTAGCAACTGTTCAAAGTTAAGACGAACTTCCCCTGAGTTACTTGTGACATGGTGAAATAAAGGCCTGGACCCTTGGACAGTCTTAGCTGGCTGTCATCACCCCAGGCCTCAATGTCAGCACTAGTGCTACCACTGCTCCTCAGGAGTGCTAAGCAATGATATACTATGCAGAGTGACCTAGGGCAAGGAAAGATAGGTAGGTGAGGGGGTTGGCGGCATTCCTCAGTGGCACCACAGCTAAAATCAAAGCCTAGGTGGTAGCAGTTCTCTGAGATTGCTGAAGGCCACAGGCCTCTACTTCAGGCCTAGGGCAGTGCTTCTCTCAGCGAGTACCACATTGCAGGGCCAGGCTGGGACAGCTGCTATTTTACACTGACTGCAGCAACAACCCTAACTCATTTATGGCTTTCCCTGGGCCTCCCAGGGTGTCTCCCACCTTCTAAGGCACACTCATGCTCCACTTAATAATCATATGATTGTTTAACAGCCACAACTGTGAGTGCCAGGATTGCCAAAGTCGAGCAAAGTGTAATGTGGCATCTTATTTGACAACCACAGTGACTCACAACCTCACAGTCTCAATTGTGGTTGTAAATCAAGGACTACCTTGTATATTATTTATTTACTAAGTTATTAATTCAACTTCTAAGACCACACATTAGCCAAATGATTTTAATATGTTAGATCTGATGAAATGTAGAATATAGCAAAGTCTAATTAGTCATAGGGCATAAATGAATAATGCAATAAAGTTTAGTACTATTTCTAAGCCTCCTTGTACTTCGTGAAGGAATGTTGGGATTATACATTCATTCTTTTCCTTAAAAATATTAAGTTGCATAACATTTTAAAATTTTGTTGAATATAACATCTTTTCTCTACATTTTTTCTTACAGGAGCTATGTGCTCTCATGTTCTCATTAGATTGGATTAAAATAAAAACAGAATTAGTAGGGCCTGCTCATTTGATTCATGAATATGTTGAATACAGTAAAATACTGGATCAGAAGGTATAATATGATATATAAAATCAATTGTAATAATTGTTTGTTCAACTCTGATAAGTTACCAGTCAAGTTCAACGGAACTTTCCTAGTTAAAATTATTTTATGTTTTATTGAATAGAATTTATACATCATTTGATTCACGAACACAGAACTCCTGAGGATGTAAATGATGATTATAGTACTTTGTGTAGAAACAGTATAGATGAGTCTGGATTTTGTTTGTGAAGAAAATAAAAATGTCTCTCTTTCTAGTGCATTTGTAATTATAAATCAACAGTTAGAAAAAACAGCAATGTGAGGAAAAGAAAGAAGGGGTAAATGCATTGATGGAATCATTAAAAGATTCCATTTAATTCAATTTTCCTTGCTAAATTTTAATGCAACAATATTTCTTATTCACAGGATCCTAATGCACGTGAAAACTTCCAGGAATTTCTGTCCTTGAATGGGCATCTCCTTGGACATCTTCCATTTCTAGACATTGTACAGCTGGGACTGTGTCAGCCAGAAAATTCAGAAGTGTATCGACAAGCAAAACTGCAAGCTCAGCAAGAACTTAGTAAAGGATCGCTTTATGTGGAATGGATGTAAACATATATCTTTTTTTCATGTCACTTTTGAACTCTGTTAAACATATATTGAAATATTTGATCCCAAGTCAATAGCAAACTTTGTAGGCATGCATTTAAAAGTTATATCCTGTATTTTAATACAAAATATTATATTCAGGCTTTATAGAAACTGGCTGCTAAAACTATTTTGTTTCTCAGATATTTCAGTACCAACTTTTTAATATAGGACACTGAATTTCTGATTAAGGAAAAATAGAAATGCTTGTTGTTAGCATAGATGGTTTATATTGACTGAATACTGACTCATTTGAATATTGTCTAGGATTAAATAGAGAGAATATTTTAAGCAGTTCTTCAGATTTAGATTCAAATCTAGATCTTGGATTTAGCCAAATGAGACATAGAATAATGGAATTAAATTAGAGGAAATTAGATTCCAATTCATGTTCGAAAAGGATAATTTGAAAGTGGAACCTGTTCCCTAAAGAAATGGTGGGATGGATTCCTGCATTAAGGGAGAGTAGGACTCAATTGCTAAAACCTTGGTGAGTTTAAGCTGTGTGAACTTCAACTCCCAGAATTCCTCAGCCAGCATTGCTCTTGCAGTTGCAGTTCTGGGAATGAAGTTTACACAGATTAAAGTTGCCAAGATTGAGAAACACTGGGCAAAATTGATTCCTTTGTGTCTGTGATTCCATAGTATACAGCAATTTGTTCCTCTGGAGGTTTCTTCCAAACTAAAGTCCAAAATTCATTGCGATACATTTATTGTATGCATTTGTTGTTGTTGTTAATTGCGAAGTCGTGTCCGACCCATCGCGATCCCATGGATAATGTTCCTCCAGGTCTTCCTGTCCTCTACCATCTTCTGGAGTCCCATTTAAGTTCACACCTACTGCTTCAGTGACTCCATCCAGCCATCTCATTCTCTGTCGTCCCCTTCTTCTATTGCCCTCAATCTTTCCCAGCATTAGGCCCTTCTCCATTGAGTCCTTCCTTCTCATTAGGTGGCCAAAGTACTTGAGTTTCAACTTCAGGATCTGGCCTTCTAAAGAGCAGTCGGGGTTGATCTCTTCTAGGACTGCCGGTTTGAACGCCTTGCAGTCCAAGGGACTCGCAGGAGTCTTCTCCAGCACCATAGTTCAAAGGCCTCAATTCTTTTGTGCTCAGCCTTTCTTATGGTCCAACTTTCACAGCCATACATTGCAACTGGGAAAACCATGGCCTGGACTATACGCACTTTTGTTGGCAGGGTGATGTCTCTGCTTTTTAGAATGCTGTTTAGATTTGCCATAGCTTTCTCCCCAGGAGCAAGCGTCTTTTAATTTCTTGGCTGCAGTCCCCATCTGAGGTGATCTTTGAGCCCAGAAAAATAAAATCTGTCACTACCTCCATTTCTTCCCCATCTATTTGCAGGAATTGAGAGGGCCGGATGCCATGATTTTGGTTTTCTTAATGTTGAGTTTCAAGCCAACTTTTGCACTCTCCTTCTTCACCCGCATCAAGAGGCTCTTTAGTTCCTCTTCACTTTCTGCCATTAGCATGGTATCATCTGCATATCTTAGGTTGTTGATATTTCTCCCAGCAATCTTAATTCCAACTTTTGATTCATCTAGCCCTGCCTTTCTCATGATGTGCTCTGCATATAAGTTAAATAGGCAGGGCGACAGTATACAGCCTTGCCGGACTCCTTTTCCAATTTTGAACCAATCAGTGGTTCCGTGTTTGGTTCTCACTGTTGCTTCTTGACCCGCATATAGGTTTCTCAAGAGACAAATGAGATGGTCTGGTACTCCCATCTCTTTAAGAACTTGCCACAATTTGTTGTGATCCACACAATCAAAGGCTTTTGCATAGTCAATGAAGCAGAAGTAGATGTTTTTCTGGAACTCCCTAGCTTTCTCCATGATCCAGCGTATGTTGGCAATTTGATCTCTAGTTCCTCTGCCTCTTCGAAATCCTGCCTGTACTTCTGGTAGTTCTCATCCACATACTGCTGGAGTCTAGCTTGTAGGATTTTAAGCATAACTTTACTAGCATGTGAAATGAGTGCAATGGTGTGATAGTTTGAACATTCTTTGGCATTGCCTTTCTTTGGAATTGGAATGTAAACTGACCTTTTCCAATCCTGTGGCCACTGTTGAGTTTTCCAAATTTGCTGGCAAATTGAGTGTAGCACTTTTACTGCATCGTCTTTTAAGATTTTGAATAGCTCAGCTGGAATACTGTCACCTCCACTAGCTTTGTTGTTGCTCAGATTTTCTAAGGCCCATTTCACTTCACATTCTAGGATGTCTGGTTCGAGGTCAATGACCATCTCATTGTGGTTATCTGGGATGTTAAGCTCATTCTTGTATAGTTCTTCTGTGTAGTTTTGCCATCTCTTCTTAATCTCTTCTGCCTCTGTTAGGTCTCTGCCATTTTGGTCCTTTATCATGCCCATCTTTGCATGAAACGTTCCCTTCATATCTCCAATTTTCTTGAAGAGATCTCTGGTCCTCCCTATTCTGTTGTTTTCTTCTATTTCTTTGCACTGTTCATTTAAGAAGGCATTCTTATCTCTTCTAGCTATTCTCTGGAATTCTGCATTCAATTGGATGTATCTTTCTCTTTCTCCTTTGCCTTTCGCTTCCCTTCTTTCCTCAGCCATTTGCAAAGCTTCCTAAGACAGCCATTTTGCTTTCTTGCATTTCTTTTTCTTTAGGATGGTTTTAGTTGCTACCTCTTGTACAATGTTGCGAACTTCCATTCATAGTTCTTCAGGCACTCTGTCTGTCAGATCTAATTCCTTAAATCTATTTGTCACCTCTACTGTATATTCATTAGTATATATAATAATATATATAATAATATATATAATATGAGCCGAGGTGGCGCAGCAGTTAGAGTGCAGTACTGCAGGCCACTTTAGCTGACTGTGTTCAACAGGTCAGCGGTTCAAATCTCACCGGCTCAAGGTTGACTCAGCCTTCCATCCTTTCAAGGTAGGTAAAATGAGGACCCAGATTGTTGGGGGCAATGTAAATATATATATACATTGCTTACTGGTGTACACCGCTTAGAGAGTGCTTGCACTTAAAGCGGTATATAAGTCTCATAAATAAATAAATAAAATTAGGAATATGATTTAGTTCATACCTGAGTGGCCTAGTGCTTTTCCCTACTTTTTTCAATGTAAGCCTAAATTTTGCAACGAGAAGCTCATGATCTGAGCCACAGTCAGCTCCTGGTCTTGTTTTTACTGACTGTATAGCGCTTCTCCATCTTTGGCTGCAGAGCACATAATCGATCTGATTTCTGTGTTGACCATCTGGTGATGTCCATGTGTAGAGCCGTCTCTTGGGTTGTTGAAAAAGAGTGTTTCTTATGACCATCGTATTCTCTTGACAAAATTCTATCAGCCTGTGCCCTGCTTCATTTTGTACTCCAAGGCCAAACTTGCCTGTTATTCCGGTTATCTTTTGGCTTCCTACCTTAGCATTCCAATCCCCCATGATGATAAGGACATCATTTTTTGGTGTTAATTCTATAAGGTGCTGTAGGGCTTCACAGAACCGGTCAATTTCATCCTCTTCAGCACCAGTGGTTGGGGCATAGATTTGGATTATTGTGATATTGAATGGTTTGCCTTGGATTCGAATTGAGATCATTCTATCATTTTGGGGATTGTATCCCAGTATTGCTTTTCCTATTCTTTTATTGACTATGAAGGCTACTCCATTTCTTCTGAGGGATTCTTGCCCACAGTAGTATACCTGATGGTCATCTGAGTTAAATTCACCCATTCCTATCCATTTTAGTTCGCTGATTCCTAAGATGTCGATGTTCAGTCTTGTCATCTCTTTTTTGACTACGTCTAGCTTGCCTTGATTCATGGATCTTACATTCCAGGTTCCTATGGAGAAAAAATCTTTACAGCATCGGACTTTCCTTTCACCACCAGATATATCCACAGCTGAGCGTCCTTTCGGCTTTGGCCCAGTCGCTTCATTCTTTCTGGCACTACTAGTACTAGCCCTCTGCTCTTCCCCAGTAGCATATTGGACACCTTCCGACCTGAGGGGCTCATCTTCCAGCGTCATATTTTTTTGCCTTTTAGTACTGTCCATGGGGTTTTCATGGCAAAGATACTGGAGTGGTTTGCCATTTCCTTCTCCAGTGGATCACATTTTGTCAGAACTCTCTGCTATGACCTGTCCGTCTTGGGTGGCCCTGCACGGCATAGCTTATAGCTTCATTGAGTTACACAAGCCCCTTCGCCACGACAAGGCAGTAATCCATAAAGGGGATTGTATGCATAGTATTTCTATAATAGACAGGAAGGAAGATAGATTTCTCAGACTACAAATAGATTGTTATACATGGTAACCAATTGTACATTATTTTACTGTTCTATTCATTTTTTTCTCTATTGAGATATGTGTGTATAATTTTACATGGAATTAAAATTATATAGAGAAATGATTGCTGATAATGTGAAAAGTTCAAGTCAGTTAAAAAATAGTAACAATTTTAAAACAACCCTTGAGTCCTTGAAAATCAATTATTATTTTATAGAACAGAAATATGTGTATACATGTTTTGCATGGCTTGTTATGGTTTGAAAAATTGAAAATATTAATGTATATCTAATCTTTAAAAAGATAGTAAAATAATATCTTTCTTATTTTTATATAATCTAGCAATAAAACATCAGTGAAGAATATGTACCGTTTGGTTATGCATCCACATACAGATGCCGTTTACCATGCTTGTTTTTCCCAGGACCATCAAAGAATAGCTACATGTGGAGCTGATAAAACTTTGCAGGTGAAAGTTTATCATATCAGTACAACAAGATAATAATCATATACATTCTGTATCAATTAAATACATGATAATATTGGTACATTTTAGAAACCATATTTTCAAATTGGTCTTACTGGAAAAGTGCCAGACGGGCTGGAAGGAGGGGTCAAGTGAGTGCGTGGCTTGGAGTCCTTGCCCAACTGCAAGTGGCAAAAGCTTGACCTCCCCCAAGAAGCAGGTTGGTTCAGGGGAAAACAAACAGTCTGATGAGATTATTGTAGCATAGGTGATAGATAATAAAATTACTGACTTTGTTATTCATGAGTGATTCTAGTTGCTTGCCCTGACAGGTTTTTTGTTATCAATTATTCTGAACATTAAGGAAGAAAAGATGGAAGAGTTGCCCAGTTTGTTTAATTGGTAACATAAGGAGCCTTCCATTTGGATAATTTTTAATGAAATGTATATCGTAATGTAGTTTTGTCGTCTAGAACACCATCTGATTCTTTGCCCCTAGTGCCAGGGTAGGCAACCTTGGCTCTTTTATGACTTGTGGACTTCAACTCCCAGAATTCCTCAGCCAGCTTTGCCTATCCCTGCCCTAGTGCTTCCTGTTTCATATGTTAGAGATGACATGATACGGTTCTGTTTCTTATTTGGAGCATAGTTTATAAATTATTCAATAACAGTAATTGGTGGTTTGCACTTGAAGCAAATATGATTTCCTCAGGAAAATGGAATAGCAACTTAGAAACAGAATTGATTGTTTCAATATTTTCATCTAGAAAAAAGAAGAAACGAGACTAGCCTAAATTGCAGGTAATCGCATTGTTCATTCTGGTCTTCCCTTTTGTATTCACATTCATTTAATATCCATTTTTATTTTTCTCACATCTTTGTTTTGCTCATTGTGAACCATGCACCATGAACAAATATTTTTAATAATGCACAGTTCTTACTGCATTTTTCAACTCCACACTCAAGGAGAACATTTAGTAACATCAGCCTATTCACTTTATCATGGACTTCCAAATTGTATAATAAACATTTTTGTACTACTGAGTTGTATGCTGAAATTGCGTGTGGTGATACTTTATGTCTCCTGGTATAAAATATCACATTTCTTAAATTTTGCTTATTATTACTTCTCATATCTTTTCAATCAGAATTCTTCCCAAAAAACTTTGTAGGGACACTTAATCAACTACTTTCTCTATAGTTTCTGTAATTACTCGTTAGCTTTTCTCTTGAATGGGGAAACAGTGGAAACATTATTTTGCATCCATTTATTTTTCATTCATATACTAAATAGATCACATAGCTGTCGGCATAATCAGTTCACATCCATATTTTAATATTTCTTCAATTATACTAACTATTCCTTCAGCCTTCCTATTTTTATTTATGATTTCATTTTTTGTGAACAATGATATTTATATCTGTTTTCAGTTCCATTCTTTTACTTATTAGTATCATTCTCCCACAGATTTTTATATTAATACAAGTATTGTCAGTATTCCCGTGTGTCGGCTTCATCCAAAATCATTGCAGACTTAGAATTCCACTTGCTCTGCTAGAAAGTTCCAACACATTTTTTTAAATTTCCACAAAAATTACTACATTTGTCTGCTTCCTTTATTCTTAAATGTTCCTTGCTCTTTTTGACTGTATTTTTCTAATTGTACTTCTATCTCGATACACTTCGGCCATTGTTTTGACCTCATTTTAGTAGCCTTATTATATGCATTTTTTTTCAAATTCATAGCACTTGTCATTTCATAATTCCATCAAGCATTGTGAATATGAACATTCAAAATAACGAACAATCTTTCATAAAAGTTATATACTGGTTCTTTTATTATGACCATTCTTTTCAGCACAACATGCAACTATTACCAAATTATGTATTTTATATGTATTCAACACAACCTAGATTCTACTAATGAATACTTTCTGACATCCGTTTTACCATTTAATTCTTAATTAAATCTACACCTTCCCTGCATCAACACCACTTCCAAGAGCAGTGTGATAGTATAGTGATAATATAGTATTCCTATAATTGGAAAAAGCTATTCATTTAGATTTTTTATATCTTTATTCTCTTTTAAAAATAAACATACAACATTCCTATTTTTTTTTTTTTTTGGCTTTCATTTGTTCATCTGTACTCTGCTATTTATTCTAAAATCCCAACACACAATTTTTATATCATGATCATCATCAGTGAATCCATAGATACTAATCTTTGTTATCTATCATTGCTTTGGACAATCAAGGCTCTCACATACTATCTTTTATTAATACAGAGAAGGTGTAAACTTACCTGCCTTATTCTTCCCTAATGACAACAAGAACATTACCAATTAATGTTGGCACATTTGAGTCTCACAAGTACAACTAATACATAATTTTCCCCAAGCCACTTCATACTATTATATGCAAGCTGAGATTTCTAATCCAGAGATATACTTTACTGTTGCCCATTTTCTGCCAACTTAAACTGCATTAAATATATTGATACATGTTCAAGATGTTTGAAATAAAAGAAGTATGACCACCTAATGAGAAGGAAGGACTCACTGGAGAAGAGCTTAATGCTGGGAAAGATTGAGGGCAATAGAAGAAGGAGAGGTTAGAGAATATGGTGGCTGGATAGAGTCACTGAAGCAGTAGGCGTGAGCTTAAATGGACTCCAGAAGATGGTAGAAGACAGGAAGGCTGGAGGAACATTGTCCATGGGGTCGCGATGGGTCGGACACAACTTTGCATTTAACAACAACATGAATTTTTACGCTCTAAAAAAATCCCAGAGTAATAATAGATTTTGTTTATATCATATGTTTAACTCCCCTTGTGTTTTTATTTTGTGTGCTTGACAGCAGGTCCTTACATGTAACTAAAGTTTGCAGATTGGTTACAGTTGTTCAGTGCTTAGGTTTCCATGTACTCCTTGCTTTTGAAATGTTACTTATTTTGTGATATACAGGTAGTCCTCAACATATAAGCACAATTGAGCCTAAAATTTATGTTCTTAAGCAAGATATTTGTTAAGTGAGTTTTGCCCCATTTCACTACTTTTCTTGTCATAGTTGTTAAGCGAATTACTGCAGTTGTTAAGTTATTAACATGGTTGTTAAGTAAATCTGACTTCCCCATTGATTTTGCTTGTCAAAGGGTTGCAAAAGGGGATCACATGACCTTGGGACACAGCAATGGTCATAAATATGAACCAGTTGCCAAGCATCTGAATCTTGATCATATGATCAAGAGAATGCTTCAAAGATTGTAAGCATAAAATATGGTCATAAGTCAATTTTTTTCATTGCTGTTGTAATTTTGAACAGTCTTTAAATGAACTGTTGAAGTTGAGGATTACTTGTAATAGATTTTTTTTGTATGTAGATATTGGAAGCTCTGTTTTTTCCAAAACTTCCAAAATTACTGATTGATTGACATGTATATATTCACATGTTACGAAAAGTGCCAGTTCTCATTTATGAGGGGTCCTTCGTGCTCTCTGAGCTTGGTTGTTTTCTCATAGATGTTTCATTACCCAAGCTAGGTAACATCATCAGTGCTAGTAAGAAGTGGGATTTGCTCTTAGTTTATATTCTAATGGCTTGCCTTGTCTGTGTTGGTGGGACTCTTGTTAGAAGTTCTTTGGTTGGACTGTTTACTGTTGGCTTGTTTGGCAGTTCCTTGATTGGAGTATTGTTTGATTGTTTGTTTGATGTTAAACTTGGAGTTATCTACAGTATGCTCCTCTGGGTGCTGATTGCTAATACAGAATGTTTTGGTCTTTTTGTTCCCTTTTTAGCTTATGACCATCCTAGACAAAGCCAAGTCCAACAACTTTATTTTTTAGAAGCCTAGCATTCCAACAAATTAGCCATCAATAGACACATAGACATAAATAAAATCTACATACTTTGCAAAAGAGATCCCAAAGGTGCTTTTTCAAAAGTTGTCTGGACTTTGTTTTTCTTCTAAGATGTTTCGCTTCTCATCCAAGAAGATTCTTAGATGAGAAGCGAACCATCTTCAAAGAAAAACAATGTCCAATTTGTCTTTTGAAAAAGCACCTTTGGACAACTATGACCTGGATGGCTGAGGTGGCGCAGCAGTTAGAGTGCAGTACTGCAGGCCACTTTAGCTGACTGTGTTCAGCAGGTCAGCGGTTCAAATCTCACCGGCTCAAGGTTGACTCAGCCTTCCATCCTTCCGGGGTAGGTAAAATGAGGACCCAGATTGTTGGGGGCAATGTAAATATATATATACATTGCTTACTGGTGTACACCGCTTAGAGAGTGCTTGCACTTAAAGCGGTATATAAGTCTCATAAATAAATAAATAAATAAAAGAGACAACATGCCAAAAAGGGAACAAAAAACCCAAATATCTTTCCACCAACAATCAGCACCAAAATGAACATAGATTAACATGAGATCAACAATCAAGTAAACAATACCCCAATCAAGGAACTGCCAAACAACATTAAACAGAACAGAATCTGACAACTTCTAAGACCAACACCAACAACACTGACAGGGCAAGCCACTAGAATATAAACTGAGAGCAAACACCACTCCTTACTACTGTAGTACTGATGATGTTACTTAGTTTGGGTAATGAAACGTCTGCAAGAAAATAACCAAGCTCAGAAAGCACCAAGGACTCCTCATTTCAACCCAGATTTACAAATATTCTCCTTTATTACTTATTTATTATTGCTGGGGTTGGCTTGACAGTTAATAATCTTCCATTTTTTTTCCTTTTGAAGTAACAAAAACTCAATTACCGTAAATGCCGGCGTATAAGGCGACTTCCGCGAGCGCTGAAATCGGCGCCAAAGACGGGGGTCGTCTTATACGCCGAGTCGTCTTATACGCCGGACATACTGGTAGTTTCCGGCGTATAAGACGACGTTCTAGGAATGCGGCCCGGCTATAAAGACGGGGGTCGTCTTATACGCCGGGTCGCCTTGTACGCCGGCATTTACGGTATATAGAGAAGACAATAAAATAGAATCATGTAATGTTTGTTAATATGTATGTGTGTGTGTGTGTGTGTGTGTGTGTGTGTGTAGTTTTGTATGTAGATATAATAGTCCTATATCACTTCTATTTTCTTAAAATTTGTTATTCTGTTTGCAGGTTTTCAAAACTGAAAGTGGAGAAAAGCTCCTAGAAGTAAAAGCTCATGATGATGAAGTGCTCTGCTGTGCTTTTTCGATGGATGACAGATTTCTAGCCACTTGTTCGATGGATAAAAAAGTAAAAGTAAGCATCTTATGAAAAATAAGTCATCCTCTTGAACTTGAATTAATACCAGTTGAATTTATACTACAGGTAGGCCTCACTAAATGATAGCTCATTTAGTGACTGTTCAAAGTTATGACACTATTAAAAAGAGTTACTTAGGACTGGTGCTCATACTTATAACTGTCACAGCGTCTTTTAAAATGCTGTGATCATGATTCAGATGCTTGGCAACTGTTGTGCATTTACAATGGTCACAGCATCCCACCTGGTTTCTGACAAGCAAAATCAATGAGAAAGCCAGTGAGAAGTTGCAAATTACAGTCACGTGATGTATTGCTTAATGACCTCAAGTTTGTTTAATGACTGCAGCTAGGACTGTCAGAACATGGTGTTTCTCTTAACTGCTTTGCTTAGTGATAGATTTGCTGATTCCAATTAGAGTAATTAAGTACCTGGTATTTTTAACTGAAGCCAATAAGAAAATAATAAATTAAAAGAATGTCCATTTTTTGCAGCCCTTAGAGTACTCTAAAATCATACTAACAATATTAAATATCAAATTATTATCGTTGAACCATATTATATATATATATTTATGAAAACAAGTTCTAAAACAGTGGTTCTCAACCTGTGGGTCGGGACCCCATTTGGGGTCGAATGACCATTTCACGGGGGTCACCAAACCATGCTGTCCGCCATTTTTTTCCCTTTTCCCTAGCTGTCCTATTCCCTCTTATTGGTGGCCACACCCACTTGGGGGTCACCACAACATGGGGAACTGTATTATGGGGTCACGGCATTAGAAAGGTTGAGAATCACTGTTCTAAAACATTTGGTTTTAAAACTAAATACCAAAGCTCCAATATTTCAGTCTTGTCCTCTTTAATAATGTAACTACAATGTTCCATGGACTACAGAAGTTGAATTTTGACTATGGAAAATCTGTTTCTTCAGGGTTTGTTGTTGCATTATGACTTATTTATTTAGTTATTAAATCTATGTGCCACCTATATTATCAAAGGTGATTAAATTTTAAGAATGAATGCTTTCTTATTCTAGAATGTCACATTCATTTTTTTATCTTATATGTTTATTCTATTTGGAGATTACCCTGCTTAAAAAAATACTCTGAGCAACGTACAATACAAGAAAAGAACCATAAAAATATATTTATTTAGAAGAGTAAAACATCTAAATATATCCCAAACTAGCAAAATTTAACAAATGCTTGGCATTGACCCTAATGTGAGGCCTGGGAACTGAGATGAGATATACTTCTGGAACATCTGCATGTGGGGAGCCATCTGACTCCAGAGGGCAGGCATCATACAATAGAGAATGTGCATTGCCTAGGCCCTGTTATATGACATTCTTTGATTGAGGGAACCTATATCATGCCCATTCTGCTTGGTTCCATTGATAGGGCAGAAGTTATCAGAGATTGACAGTCTCTTAAATAACCAGATTGTATACCATGTAGGCCTTTTTAGTTGATAACCAATGATAATCTCATTCCTGTAGTTATATGGCAACCAGTACAACTTGCAAAGTAGAGAGGACACATAGGTGCAATGTGATGTGCCTAGTACTGCCCACATTACTGCATTCTATACCAACTGTACAGGGAGGGAGAAAATTATTTGATCCCCTGCTGATTTTGTACATTTGCCCACTGAAAAAGACATGATCAGTCTATAATTTTAATGGTAGGTTTATTTTAACAGTGAGAGACAGAATAACAGCAAAAAATCCAGAAACACGCATTTAAAAAAGTTATAAATTGATTTGCATTTAATATTTTTTTCCTTCACTGTAGCTTCCAAATAGTATTTATGGGCAGCCTCATATTGGGTACCTTGCAGTAATCCGGTCAAGAGATGATGAGGGCATGAGTAATTGTCTGAAGGCTCTCCCAATCTAGAAAAATATCTTTTAGTTAACCTATGAGATAGTTTAGATAAAGAAAACATGGAATTTGAATTCTTATTATATATTGCTTACATTGCAAGTTCAAATTCAGTATTTCAGCAAATTACAACTTGCTAAAATTTAAGGAATATTTATGTACGTAGAAATTGAACTTATTTCAGCTTTGTCTAGTATATAGATTAGAAATTGATATATTGATATATCGATATCAATATTGATATATTTACTTGATAATTATCTTTTTAAATGTTTGAATTATTGTATATGATGTTTTAGGTCTGGAACTCAAGAACAGGTGAACTTGTGTGTGAATTCAAAGAACATACAGAGCAGGTCAACTTCTGCCAATTTAGTCATCATTTTTTGGCAACGTGTTCAAATGATACTTATATCAAAGTAAGTAGTAAATGAAGTCATATTAATATTTAGGTGGCTTTGGGTATTTCATAGTAGAGAATTTGTGGAAGCCTCCTGAAATGCATTAATTTGGGATTTGTTACTTTGTTGTTCCTACTTTTAGCCACTGGAGGCCATTTAGGTACTGCTGAACTACAAAAATGAATTAGAATTGTCCTTTGAAATACACCGACAGCATAGCAAATAATCTTTCAGTTTCCCAAATACTTATGTTTCTATAACTGTTTATAGGAGATAATAAAGTTTGACAACAACAGTCTGGGAGTTCCTAATAAAAACTTCAAGCTGCAAATTTATTTTCATTGCTACACAAGAAATATGAATATTGTGAGAAGCCAAAATAAATACTTTTTTTAAAATATACATTCATTTGTTCTTGATTTCCTTTTCTTATTCCTAAATGAAGCTCTGGGATCTAAATACTAAGTATTGTCGCAATACATTGTTTGGTCATGAAGGATCTGTAACCCATTGCAGATTTTCACCAGATGATAAATATTTGGCTAGTTGTTCAGCTGATGGAACTTTAAAGGTATGTCTTGAGACTGAATTATTATAGGTAGTATCTTTTGAATTTGTGTTTTTGTACCTTGAAAATAATAATTGTGTTATGGCTTTTCTTTCTCTCTCTCTCTCTCTCTCTCTCTCTCTCTCTCTCTCTCTCTCTCTCTCTCTCTCTCTCTCTTCCCCCCTTCCCTCCCTCCCTTCTTTTCCCATTGTACTGCTGCAATTTTTGTTAAAAATGAATATTAAACAGAGTTCTCTGAGGCTTTATACATTCCTTCCTACAATATAGAAGTACCTAGTGAAAAATAAATTGTCACAAAATGTCTGACAACTAGACAGGGTCATCTTGAGTACACAGATAAACCTCCAAATGACCTCAACAACTCTCTAAAAGAATGCAGATGACAAGCTGTCTACAAGGAATATAAATCCTTCCCACCATCCAGTCAGAGCTGAAGAAGTTTCTTGGATGAGAAGCAAAATGTCTTCAAAGAAAAACATCTTGCACTTAACTATAGATTTAGTATCCCATAGTCACAAGATTGCCATTTGTAACCCTCCCTGCTGGCTTCCTAAAACAAAGTCAATGGAGAAGCCAGAAGAGAAGGTCACAAATCACTCTGGTAAGTCACTCACATCCTTTTCTGACTCGCAATAGGTAGTCCTGGCCCCGCTCTACTTGCACTGTGCCTCTTTGGCCACTCATGCAGCCTTCTCAGTTTGGCTGAAGCCACCCCTGACCGTACCATGATTTGTCAGTTACTTGTGCACCATCCCCACCTGGCAGTAGCCAATCCCACCCCTACTGCACTCGCACCATGCCTTACCTGTCTGTCAGACTGCTTGAGTCCCACCATTCTTGCACTACTAATGGGTAGTGTCATTGCTAAGCGACGTGGTCACATGCCATTGCAATTTATGATTACATTGCTTATCAGTCAGCCCCAATTACAGTTGTTAACTAAGAACTACCTATGTGGACAATGAAAAAGAATTAGCATGGCAGCCCTAAAATTGGACTAAAATGAAGAAAAAAGATGATTTGTATTCTGTATGATAAAAGTCTTTTCATTATCAGGAAAAATACAGGTAGTCCTCAACTTTCAACCACAATTGGGAACAGAATCTCAGTTGTTGAGCAAAACCCCCACATCCCCATATTTGATTGCAATCCCAATTCTTCCAGTTGCAATTGTTAAGGGACTGGGCAGATTGTGAAATGGACAGAGGGAGAGAGTTACCTGCTGAAGAAGGGCAGGAAGCTCCCTTCTGTGTTTGGAAAAAAACTTGTGTGCTTGGTGGGAGAAATGAAGCTTGGATACCAAAGATCTGAGTTTCATTTCTGCAACTTAATAAAAAATTTCCCACCACTACCTCCGCCCATGTGCACTGAGGGAAGGGGAAATCCTTCTTATAGGCAGCAATAACTTGCAGTCTCTCCTGCCAGCTTTCCCATTGATTTTCTGGGGAAGCTGACAGAGAAGACGGTGATCACATAATAACAGGGAGATTGGCAACCAGTTGTAAGTGCAAACAGGTTGCCAGGCACCCAAATCATGATCACCTAGATCATTTTAGGACATCTGAAAGTGCTCTACAGATTGTAAAGCACCCTTTCAGAGCCTTTGTAAGTATGGGAAGTGTATAACTTATCAGTAAGTAGGATCATATTCCAATTGCATTTTGTAATAAGACAGTTGTTTGGTTTTGTATAAGAAAAAAAGAAGCAATCTTTCATTTCTAATAGGCATATAATTTGAATTTGGATCAGAAGTCTTTATAGATGTAGATTTTATAACAAAATAATATATTAACCAAATCCAGCAACTGGGATTCTGAAATATATTTAGTACAGAGAATACAAATGTAAAAAGCAAAACATTCTCTTTTTTATTAACAGTAACAAGATAAGTTATAGATTCATATTGGAAGTTTATGAAATGGATTTCATTAACATTGATATAATCAGAGTTTGGACTTTATGAATAAAATAACCTGTATACAGTATTAAAATCATTACAGAAGCAAAATGGAAAATGTTTAATTTATGCAGATTGATATGAATGGATTTTTCTGTCAAAGTCTAAACAGAAAACAGTCCATTATATAAATAATTTTAATGGCTATATGAAAAATGAATTAAAATAAATAGTGCTTTTTAAAACTATTATATGAGAAAACTTAAGTATATATGTATACCTAGATAAGTGAAATATAAAATAAATATATTTCCTGTACTGGTTAAAATTAAAATTATTCATGTGTACTCGTAACAGTCTGGTCCAGCAAAAGGTATTTTTGAAATGGTTCTTACTTAGCAATATTTTAGAAATAAAGCAATATGAATGAATAAGAAATTTTATATCAACTTAGCTACTTGATTTGAATATGTTGCTATTTTCTGACAAACATATAGTTGGCAGTAATACTAATCAGAAAACTTTTCTTTAAAAAGCTTTGGAATGTGCAGTCAGCAAATGAACTGAAAACTATTAATATAGGCAACTTCTTCAGAAATGGAGATGGATACCATGATGATGTGGAAGTGTTAGTGAAATGTTGTTCCTGGTCATCTAATGGTACAGCAATAGTAGTAGCAGCTAAAAATAAACTTTTTGTAAGTATTTAATAATATGCTGGTAATGTATTTTCATCTTGTTTTTAAATGTTTTTTTGAGATATCAGTGTTCACAGATTAATTTTTTTAAGGTAGAAAAAAGTGCTGTGTTGTTTTAGTTCAGATAGTTTTACGGCTTTAGAAATCAGTATTACATGTGAAAGGTAGTAGGTGAAGAAAGAAAGAAAGAAAGAAAGAAAGAAAGAAAGAAAGAAAAGATGAAAGAAGGACAGTGTCATGCCATATCATACTGTATGTTCATTCAGGAATGCTGTCTAGAGTCACCTCTTGGAGAGATGGGTTGCGTATAAATTTAATACATAAATACTCTGAAGCAGAGTCAGAAATAAGCTTGTTAAAAAGGGAATTCTTGAAGCTCCTTCTATTTTCCAGCCTGAGAGTCAGCATCTACTGATCAATTTCAAAATCTGAGAGTAGCTTCTCTAAAGCTTCTCCTGTTTCTCTAAATAAATAGCCAAGACAACTTCAAGAACAATATCAGCATATAGCAGAAGGACATATTCTTGAGAGACCAAGGCTTCAGTTCCCCCTAGCCTTTTAGGAGGGCAGCAGCTTGTTTTGTAAGAGAATACTCCAGCTAGTATATGTAATAGAAACTTAATTTGAACAATTGTCTGCCTTTTTGTGGCCCCCACACTTATTTCATCTAAAAGAACACAAAGCAATGCATAGTGTAGCTCATATTCTAGGTTTCCATCCAGGCTCAGAGACCATATTTGGTATTATAATCAGATCTTTCATACCTTATAACATTGGCTGTATGAATATTTTCCTTTCCACCTTTTTAGGAGATAAATACATTACATTAATATTTGTACAAATGAGATATAAACACATTTCCTGGAGCTTAAATATATTTATGATTTTGTTAAATAAATAAAACAGCATTTGAAAGATTTTATATTTGAATTCTTAAGTCCTCTGTCCCTGAAACTTCACCTTACAGAAAGCAGCAGCACGGGGAGTTATGTGCTCTCCTTGAACAATACATATTACGTGTCCATTTTTCAGGCTGCATTGCCTGCCAGTTTGCTTTTGGGTCCAATTCAAGGTGCTGGTTTTAACTTTTAAAGCCCTTTATGTCATGGGACTGGGGTTTCTCACGGACCACCTCTCTCTGGTTATATTAGCCCACCCTATCAGATATGGCAGAGTGGGCATGTTGTGGATTCCATTGGCTAGGAACCTACATTTGGTGGGTCACAGGAGACATGCTTTCTCTGCTATGGCCCCTGCCTTATGGAACACCCTTCCCCCTCAAATTGGATTAAGTACATCCCTTTTAATATTTCTAAATGTCCTTAAGACCTGGTTATGTTATTAGGCCTGGGGCAGGTTAGGTACTGGAGACCTGAAATAGCAAATGTTTTACATATGCAACCCTAGGGATGCCCAAAACTGGTCATGCAGTTTTGCACCATTCTGCACCAGTTGCAGTTTCTGGATACTATTCAAGGGTAGCCCTATGTAGAGCGCATTGCAATAGTCCATGCAGGAGATACCCAGGGCATGAGTGACTTAAAGAAGGGAACAGAGATGTACATCTGTGTATCATCCACATGCTGATGATACGTCATCCCATGATAATAGTCGTATCTAGTGACTTCATGTAAATCTTAAAAAGAAGTAGAGACAGCACCAAAACCTGCGGCACCTCGCAAAGCAAGGGGCTGCAGGGTGAACCTTTCATGACAACATTGATTGGGACTGGTCCCAGAGGAAGGAGATAAACCAGCACAATACTGTGCTCCCCACGCTCAGTTCTTGATACCACAGTAAATGATATTGAAAATCAGCAAGAAATCAATTACGTGCAATTGTTTTTTTAAGTGAAATGAGTAAGATATTTAATAAACTATTAATGTAATTAAACATATTTCAAAGAAATTATTAGTTATAGCTTCTAGACTACTTTTGTCCTGTTGCATGCATGCTCCCATACAGGATAGATGATAGACAGACAGACAGACAGACATTGCTAAATATTACAGCTATAAAGTCAAAATATATCATTTTGTATTATGATTGTTACATACATACACACCTACACACCTACTTGCATGCATAAATATCACAGCTGCAACTTTATATAACTATAACTAACTTTCCAAACAACATGGGAAATAAATGTCTTAAAATATTTATTATGTTTACAGCTTGTTGATGTTAAAACCAAGGAATTATTGGCAGAGGCTCTTTTGAGCCACCACAACACAATCCAGTACTGTGACTTCTGTCCCAATAGTCAAATAGTAGCAGTTGCTTTATCACATTGTTCTGTTGAAGTAAGTAAATATATTATTTCCATCCTCGAGTTTCTTGTTGCTATAATGTATTAGTTCAGAACACGAATGAGTCACAGCTCAGTGTAAATAATATAATTGGGCAAAATAGCATATTGTCCAGTTCTTTTTCGTATAATTAAAACAGCCATATCATTTGCAAGGTTCACCACAGCTATTCTAAGCTGTTCCTATGTGCATGTGGTTGCATGGTTAATTTTTCAAAGCAGAATAATCCAGTTGCAATTCCAAGGCAATTGTTAGTGAGTCACACCTGATTTTACAACCTTACAACAGTTGTTAAGCGAATCATTGCAGATAATTGAATCACGCAGTTGTTAAGCAAATCTGTCTTCCCCCATTGACTTTGCTTTTCAGAAGCAGGCTGGGAAGGCAGAAATGATAATCACATGGCTCCAGGATGCTAAAACTGTCATAAATATGTGCTGGTTGCCAAATGGTCATCACATGACCACAGGGATGTTGTGATGGTTATAAGTGCAAGTACTGGTTTTAAATCATTTTTTAGAGGGTTGCTAAATAAATGATTGTAAGTCAAGGACTACATGTACTGGTTAGTTTTGACATATTTTGGCCAATATGCCAGAAATACAACCATATTTATCCCAATCATACTTATGCTATTCTATACTAGCTAGCATCTCTATTATAAGCTATCATCCTGTTGCTTAAATCCACTAGCTAGCAGATCCATGCAGTATACTAACAGTCAGAATAGTGATTTTTTTTTATCCTTGCAAATAGCTGTTACTGTGTTCTTTTTCAAAACTGTTATACATAACAGTTTAAGTCAATAATCTACATATCTATAATTTTGGATTTAGTATTTGAAATCAAAATTAAAATTTCAGGGAAATATGTCACCATTATTACTGAAAAAAAGTAGTGAAACTCTAAGGTCCATATGTCACTTTGATAAACCATTTTGCTTGGAAATTCAAAAAAGCAAATTAACAGTTTGTAATTGTTTGTATTATTATTTTTTTGTTTATTTATATCTTTCTATTTTATACTTCTAATGCATATTTATTGTTTAATGTATATGACGGTTCCAGCTACTTTAAAATAATAACAAAGAGGGCTTTAAATAATTAAACAATTAAAATCTAATCTTCAATTACATTTACTTTAAAGAAGGACTCATTTTAATTCTATACATCTGTATTGTGCGTTTTTTTGTAACCGTTGTAGTTGTTGGTGACAGCCTAATATTTTAAAGGAAGCAGTTTTTAATTATAATGTTTGTTACAAATTCTACAAATAGTGGCCCATTAATGGATGAAAACTCTGATTCTAAATAGAGTACCAATTACCAGGAAACAACAGTGTAGGAAGTGTGATTATGCCTTTTGCAAACTTCTCAGAGCATATTCATAGACTGTGGGAGATAATGATTTGTCACTAATTGATATGATTTACTAGAATTATGTTCTTACATTAAAAGAGATTTTTTATTTTTCTATTAGATATGGAATATTGAATCCATTTCAAAAATAGCTGAGTGCCTAGGACATATGAGTTGGGTACATTCTGTGAATTTTTCTCTTGATGGGTCTTTTTTTGTCACCTCTTCTGATGACCAAACAATAAGGGTAAGTTTTTCCCTCAGTTCTTTGCTGGAAATTTTAATGGGCAATAAAATAATGACTAATTGTCTTATGTTTTATTTTCCAGCAGTAGAAGTTCAAGATATATGCATTGATTTCATAATGGGTCAAATGAGGAATTGTACCTATCAAAATATGTACAGATCTTTAGCATATTTGAATTAGTTGCATTGTATCTTTATTTTATCCTCCATTGTTTATAAGTCAATGCTGTAGAAAAATGCTTTAAATATGAAACTTTATCTGTGTATTTATATAATTTATAGCTCTCTTAAGCCTCCCAGACTTATAGGGGAAATGGGTGACATAAAAAGTTATTAAATAAATTAAAAAACTTTTAAGATGGTTCATTATTTTTTTAAAAATCCCTTCATTTTAAAGTCAGAAAATAGGATAAATGTATTACATCTAAGCAAATAAAATAGTAGTAACAATACTGCACAATCATATCAAGTGGAAATGTGCAATATCTCTGCTAGATTCTAGTGAATATCTTTTGATGAAAAACTTCATAGTATATGGAGAAGGCCTTATTTTAACTGTTCTGTTAAGACAAAAGATGGAACCTGGAACAAAGCCTACTTCTTTGAATTGAATAAAAGAACTAGACTTTGATTAATATGTGATTTCACAAAATACACATATAAATTTCTATGGAGATTCTCAATCATTCAGGTCATGGTTGTCCCAAAGGTGCTTTCTTTCAAAGGCAACTGGACTTTCTTTTTTTGCTTGAAGACATTTCACCTCTTATCCAAGAAGCTTCTTCAGTTCTGACTGAATGGTGGAGAATGGAAGGATTTATATTTTCCCTGTTATATAATTTCTTCCTTTCATGGACCATATGATGTAGGTTAGAAACATGTAGCTATTTAGACAGTGGTTAAAATGAGGATGAGGATGATGATAACTTCTTCCATTCTCCACCATTCAATCAGAACTGAAAAAAACTTCCTGGATGAGAAGCAAAGTGTCTTCAAACCAAACAGGAAAGTCCAGTTGCCTTTTGAAAGAAGGCACCTTTGGGACACACAGATAAATAATTCATTAAATAACTTAATAGATTAAAATAAGCTGATGTTTATTTTTGAATAATTATAGCCCTAAATTTTACAGTTTAATTTATCTGTGCTCAAACTTCTACAATTTGGATGGCATTGCTTCTATTCATCATTTTCTCTTCAACAGATATGGGAAACAAATAAAGTATGCAAATCCTCTGCTATTGTGTTAAATTGTGAAATAGATGTTTCCTTTCTGGATAACGAAGTCAACATCTTGGCAATAGATAGTCTGAAGCATTTGCAGGTAAATATTGTTTAGATACTTCATTTATATTGAAAATTATTAGCAGGTTTGGCACAGCTTGGTTTTTATTTTAAGTGTATTCATGAACGATTAGGACTATCATATCTTGGTTGCAAAACTCCTGACAACTACTATATGGTTGCAGAGATATACAGTGCATTCAAAAAGTGTTCAGATCCCCTTCACTTTTGTCAATTTTGTTACGCTGCAGCCTGATTCTACAGTTGGTGGGGAAAAAAATGTTCTCATTATTCAGTACCCCATAATGATAAAGTGAAAACAGAATTTTAGAAATGTTTGTAAATTTATTTTAAAAAACCTGAAATATCACATTGGCATAAGTATTCAGATGTTTCATTCAATACTTTGTTGAAACATCTTTGGCAACAATTACAGTCTCAAGTCTTTTTGGGTCTGATGCAACAAGCTTTGCACACCTGGATTGGGGGATTTTCTGCCATTCTTCCTTGCAAATCTCTCAAGCTCAGTTAGATTGGATGGCAACTGTTGGACAGCCATTTTCAGGTCCCACCAGAGATGTTCAATAGGGTTCAGGTTAGGACTCTGGCTGGGTTATTCTTCTGTTGTCTTGGCTGTCTGCTTAGGATCATTATCATGTTGGAAAGTGAACCTTCAGCCTAGTCTGAGGTCCTGAGCGCTGTGGAACAGGCTTTCATTGAATATATCCCTGTACTTTGCTCCATTCAACTTTCCCTCAACCTGACTAATCTCCCAGTCCCTGCTGCTGAAAAACAACCCCATAGCATAATGCTGCCACCACCATGCTTCACTGTTGGGATGGTATCGGGCAAGTGATGACCTGTGCCTGGTTACCTCCAGACGTAACATTTAGAATTGAGGCCAAACAGTTCAATCTTGGTTTCATCAGACCAGAGAATTTTGTTCCTCACAGTCTGAGAGTCCTTCAGGTGCTTTTTTGTAAACTCCAAGTGGGCTTTCATGTGTTTTGAGGAGAGGCTTTCATCTAGCCAGTCTGCTATAAAGCCCAGATAGGTGGAGGGCTGCAGTGATGGTTGTCCTTCTGGAACTCTGTCCCATCTCCTCACAGGATCTCTGGAGCTCAGACAGAATGACCATCAGGTTCTTGGTCACCTCTCTTACTAAGGCCCCTCCCCCCCGATTTCTCAGTCTGAACAGGTGATCAGCTCTTGGAAGAATCCTGGTTGTGCTAAACATTTGAGAATTATGGAGGCCACTGTATTCTTAGGAACCTTCAGTGCAGCAGAAATTTTACTGTAGCCTTTTCCAGATCTGGGCCTTACAATAATCCTGTCTCTGAGCTCTGCAGACAGTTCCTTTGACCTCATGGCTTTTGCTCTGCTACAGTAGGCATTGTCAGCTGTGAGGCCTTCTATAGAGAGGTGTGTGCCTTTCCAAAACATGTCCAATCAATTTAATTTACCACAGGTTGACTCCAATCAAGATGTAGAAACCTGTCAGCAACATCAAGAGAAATAGGAGGCACCAGCTAAATTTCATGTGTTGTTACAAAAGGGCTACATACATATGCCAATGTGATATTTTTTCTTTTTAATAAATTTACAAACATTTCTAAAATTCTGTTTTCACTTTGTCATTATGGGGTACTGAGTGTAGGTTAATGAGAAAAAAAATGAATTTGAACAACTGTAAAATCAGGCTGCATCATAACAAAATTTACAAAAGTGAAGGGGGTCTGAATGCACTGTATAGAATATGCTAAATCCTCACTGCTATACAGTAATCAACTAGATTTTGGCAGGCCAACTGGATTTTTGCAGGTCAGGAGGACATCCTCTCAGAATTACCAACCATCTAAGCCATCATATATAGATAGCAATTCTACAATAAATCAATTATTTTTTGCTGGTCATAGAAAAACATAGTTAATTAGGATAAAAAAGATGAAAATAATTGTTGTAAATTATCTGAGAAGGATTAGAATTAGAAAATATACTATGGCTTACTGTATGAACTATAGAACAGTACTTAGTTGTGGTCAAAGAAGTAAAATCTGATCTGATAATAATAACTGAAGATAAACAAGTCAGAACAACCAGGTTGTTTAGTAATGGAGACAATAATTCCTAGTGAGTGTCTGTATAAAGTGCACAATTTAAAACAATGTGTCCTATCAGCTCAATTATTTCTCTACCACATGGACCCAATCTCGTTCAAAGGTGATCTTTCAATGTTTTCATTCAGTTCCCATACTAAACATGTAATGGTATAGGAGATTGGTTCTCAAAATTTGGTCTAGGGAACCCTCAAAGTCCCTGAGACCATTTCAGGGATTTGTCTAAGTCAAATAAATAAATATTTTATAATATCTCATTTGTAATTTCTAATATATTTCTAGATGCCACCCACATAAACCAAAACTCTCCAGGGGACTCAGTCTTTTTCAATAATATAAAGGGGATCTGAGATTAAAATATTTTAGAATTACTGATATTGGAGATATATTCTTAACAGTATTAACCTTGCTCAAAGGGGTAAGATTTAAACATGGTCTAAATCTATCAAAATTTAAGGTTTAAATCTATCAAACCCTGAAGCGATCTCATATATTAATGCTTAAAATAATTACCTATGATACATTATAAGATTTAAAAACTCCAATATGCTTAATCCACATACCCCAATATGCTCATTTCATATATAAAATTGATAATTGCTTATTGAATTAATGAAGGAATATTTATCTACTGACATCAGTTCTGATTTGGACTTAACTGAATTTCCTGCTGTTTTCCCAAAGCTGGAATGAAACGATTAAGTATAGACATAAATAATACAATGCTGTTTGCATATAATATTAATTTATAACTTAAAAAGAATTATGAAATAATATGTAATCTTCAGTAAAGGCATAAAGTAGGCATTTGAAACAAATATTTAAAAAAGTGTTTTTTAGCATCCAGTGATATCACTGTAGCTTGATGCTCTCTATTCAGAAAAGAATTTCAGTTTTCTTGTATAATTTTAGCAAAACCTGCCTATGTATTTTTGACTACGTAAACAGCAAGAGACCTTCTAATTATCTCTTGCTGTTTGCTAACAAAAAAAATCTTGACACTTCATGTGATACATCCTCATGGTTATTAAATATAGATTTGAGTAGAATTTGAGAAAGTAAAACTATAGATCTTCAGAAAAGCTTCACAGTTTACCTTCTTTATTTTTATTAGCTTTAGTGGTTTTTTTCATCATTTTTTTCTTTACAAGATTTGCCAAGATCTAACCAGATCTTTTTACCCTTTTACCAATTCCTTTGACATACAATAAATACGTTAAAACATTATTTTTTATATTTGCAGAAAGATATTACTTAGCTCAAATTTGATTTGCTATATCTCATCATATAAACTATTGGTAGGATCGGTAACCAACTTTGCTCAAAGGATTTTCCAGTTTTTCATATTGATCTCATATAGTATTTATTTATTTATTTATTTACTTACTTACTTACTTATTTGCTTACTTATTTACTTACTTATTTACTTACTTACTTAATGATTCCTATGCGGTAATATGACTGTGACAATAATTGTGTTGTTTTAATAAGCGAAGAGGTGCTATGCTTATGGAAAGTCTAAAACATTACTCCAAACCATTTTTGAAATCTTATTGGTTATGTAAAAAGTGACATACTGAGCAGTTAATAGTATATATAACTATTAATTACATACATAACTTTTAAATAAATTATTAACTTATTAAATATGGGTTCTTATAAATGTAAAACTGCTCTATCTACATAGAGATAGGGTTTATCAACAAATCTGGTGAAAATTCATACAATAAATATATAAACAGACCCCTACATTTTATTATAATAAGGGTATAGTCTTGCCTGCTTCTATTCTATTCTAAATTTTATGCTATCATTCTGATGCTCCCCCAATATCAGATGGGCAATCATTTCCAATTTTAGTATTATAGCAGCATTAAGAATCTATATTTTTTCCCCCTGCTATGGTAACCCAAAGACAGAGATGCTGGTATCAGTGTAGCAGCTGTCTCCACTTATGAGGATGTTATAGATTCATTTCATATATGAAATGTATGTCTGCTATAACCCCGTCTACTGGTGGATTGTAACACATCCCATTCTAAGAATTATTTTAGAATTATAATTCAACAAGCACAACTTTTCCATTGCAAGAGAACTTGTATCAAAGATTTCTTTTCTTTAAATAAAAATAACTTTTTCAGGTTCATTAGCCCTTTATTAGGGTTAGAAAATTGTGAATTAAATTAAATCTTTACAAAGTTCATCCTTTTCTAAAAATTTTTATAAATAAGGGTATACAATGTAATGCTGCTTATTGTTCATTTTTCAGCTTAAATATGTTGCTATGGAAATGGAAAGCAAGAAACAGAAAAGGGCGTAGCTCTGCTATGGTGGTGTTCATTTTCACAAAGCACTGAATATTTAAAGAATTTCTTGAAAAGATTTTTATAAGCTGTTTTTGGCATGAAATATCTATTTTAAAATTAATTAAATGTGTGTTCGGTGGTGTGCTTCTGTATAGTTGTTGGAGAAATGAGACTTACAAAATAAGTATAGGCATCACTACCAAAGCAACAATGAAGATGTGCTAATCATATACACTTACCACTTATATTAATATATGAAATCTGTCTGTATATTACTTTTTATATATTGTTGTTAACAATAATATTATTATTCTTATTTTCAACTCTGAGGAAAAAATATTTTAAAACACCCTAAGCAAAGAAACAGACAGACATTAAATGATGCTCGGTAATTTCCAGTTAATAATAATAACAACAACAACAACAACCTGTGACGATATCTGTAATACCATCAAACATCCACATCTGCCTATCCCAGGTCCTGGGTAAGGACTCAATAGGTAGACAAAATGCCAAATCCAGGCTGAACATCTGGCTGACTGTGCAATGATCCATAATAATAATATAATAATAATAATAATAGTAGTAATAGTAATAATAGTAATAATAATAATAAAGTTGGAAGGGACCTTGGATGTCATTAAGTCCAACTGCCTGCTCAGGCAGGTAACCCTATACCGTTCAGACAAATGGCTGTCCAGTTTCTTCTTAAAAACTGTTTGTTGCATTATAGCTAATTAACGGATCTACAGGCCTTGCTATCTCTTTGACTGAAGAACAGAAGTCTTCTATTTGCTGCTGTTGTTTGAGTGAAGATCTACAATTTGCTGCATATGGAGATGAAAATGGAATTGTAAAGGTGAAGTACTAGAATTGAATTTTTGAATCAGTTACTTTTGATTTGATTTCCTAATTATAATTATACTCCCCATAAAAGTCAAAATGAGTAAGAGAATGAATTTGAGAAGATTCTGTTTTAATAATTTTATGACCATTGAATATGTTTTCCTAATACTGACTATAAGTTTGTAATACTGAGGATATATTTCTCAAGCCAATATTAGAATCACACTCATTTTTTTGATGTTCATTTCACATTTAACGCATTTAAGGTTTACCCATCAATGTTTTTCTTCCTAGCATTTTTCCACACATGCAGGATTTGGCTTTTTCTTTTTTTTCAATTGTGGATTAAGTGAGAATCAATCCATTTGTTGTGGCAAGAACTGACCGAGTGGTTTGTTGCCTGAGCCTGTCATTGTGGAGTGAGATCTACAGAAAGAAAGGCGGAGAAAGTGACTGGCCCAAAGTCACCCAGCCAGCTTTGATGCCTAAGGCAGAACTAAAACTTAGTCTCCTGATTTTTAGCTTGGTGCCTTAACCACTAGACTAGACTTACTTTTAGTTATACATCTAATATCAGAGCAAAATAATTGGGTGTTTCAGTTTAAGAGGACAAGTTATATTTATAGAAAATTACCCAGTGAAAATTTTATATTTTATGATAACAACACAATAAACTTGTAATCTGAATTAATATAAGCAGGAGAAAATCTATAAGCCTGCAAGACATTGGCACGATGTTGATGGTACATCACCATCCTGTGAATATCCATCCATCCATTCATCCTTTATTTACTTACTTACTTACTTACTTACTAAATTTGTATAGCCACCCATCTCATCCAAAGAGATTCTGCGCAGTGTGGAAGTGAACAAAACAACAAATATAAAAACAACAAACATAAAAATATAAAACTGCATTAAAAATAAATATTATAAAGACATATATAAAAACGGTGGCAAAGAGAGGATAACAATAGCTACTTCAGCGATGGCACCCTCTAAGCATGTCTTTGGTTCTCTAGGAACCCCAGGCCTGATTACAACCAGGACTTAAATACCTTCCAAAATATCAAAAGGAATGGAGCTTTTCTAATTTTGGGGGGGAAGAATGCTCCCTAAGGCAGATGCCACAGCAAAGAAGGCACAACTCACTATTCTTGTTTTTTATTCTTTTTCTTTTCCTCTGATTTTTTTTTATATAATCTCAGGACATTGTATATTTCTATTTTGTGTTTTGGAGTTTAGAGTCTTGCTCTCTCTGTGTGTGTGTGTGTATGTGTGTCTCTGTGTTCAGTGCAGTTAATTTTAGCTATTTCTGCTGGCAATAACTCTTCAGATCTGAAATAAATCCAGAATTTTTATAGGTATGGTACTATTACATTTTAAACCACACATCTGAATTTTTTAAAGAGCAAGAGTCTCTTTCAATCATTTTTTAACCCTATGGGTTCAGAAAGAGAAAAACTCTGTACTAGGCATAAAATTTAATGTTGTTGTAGTTCAAGGTCTGATCTCTCAATTCCAATGACAGCATAGTTCTATAAAGATTGTCACAAAATTTGGTTTACAAGTATATTTTCCGTTTTTCAGGAATTTTTGTATCAAAAAGATCTATTTTAAAAAGATCTTTTTAAAAAAATCATCCATATTGAATTCTTCCCAACATGTTGTTGCCTGATCTCATTTTAACAGGTTTTAAATGTATCAGATAGGAATCTTTTAAAATCCAGAATTGGACACAGGAAAGCTGTACAGCATTGTCAATTTACTTCTGATGGAAAAACTCTTATTTCAAGCTCCGATGATTCAACTATACAGGTAGAGGAATGCTGCAACTTTGTTTAAGAATTGACACTTCAAATTATATTTTTTCTCAAATTATTTCAGTTCGTTATAAAAATACAGTATTTATAACAGTTAGTTTATCCATTCTACATTTTTAATCTTATGTCATTTCAGACGGATCGGTATTTTAAAAAGTCAGAGCTGTTGAATAAGAAAAATAGGAAAAATGATAGCTTACAAACTACAACTGTTTCCAAACTTTTATAGTTGTAATTGGATTGTTTAAATCCTGTTTCATTACTGGGATATTCATATATGTATTGTTATATTTCCAGTTATGTGGAGATTAAAAATGGTAAGAAACTTGCAGTGTCTATGGGAATACATCAATAAGAAACCGTTCGACAGTTCAAATACTTACAGGCAGAACACATATGCAATAGCATTTTCTTTTTCATATTTCTGAAAAACTAACATTCAGCAAAAACTGGTTTTGGAGGTAGTCATGAAATTATCCATGCTATCCTATCCATGTACTTTTTTAAAGTAAAACATTTTGAGCATTCTAGTAATAATTTACTCATAATAAAATAAAAATTGCATTTTAATATTTTGCAGTATTTCATTATACAAAAGAATTTGTCCATTGTAAAGTATGTCAGGAATGAATACATAGCTCACAGATGATAAATGTTAGATTTCTGAATCCTCAAGAGAATAGAATTATTTCCATCATGCCAAGTTGTATTTGGTTTTTATTTATTTATTTATTTGTATCCTGCCTTTATTATTTTTACAAATAACTCAAAGTGGCGAACATATCTAGTACACCTTCCTCCTGTTATTTTCCCCACAACAAACCCTATAAGGTGAATTGGGTTGAGAGAGAGTAACCAGCCCAAGATCATCCAGTTGACTTTCATGACTAAGGCAAGACTGGAACTCATAGGCTTCAGCTTTCCAGCCTGGTTCTTAACCACTAGACCAGTGTACGTAGATTAACTAATTTTCACAAATGTCTTAGAATATTTTCCCAATAAAAAAAATTATATTCAAGATAACCAATATTCTTTAAAACACATAGATATCTTTATTTTATTTACATATATGTTTACAATTTTTTAGGTATGGAATTGGCAGTCGGAGAAATACATTATTCTGAAAGGACATAAAGAACCTGTCAAGAATTTTCATCTTCTGAAGCAATCAAGCCTTCTTTCATGGTCATTTGATGGAACAGTTAAAGTAAATAAAAATCAATTTACTCATTATTTTAGATTAGTGCCTATAAATTAAATGGTGCCTATAAATTAGTGCCTATAAATTGAATAAAAGTTAAATGGGTTAGGGTGATATATATTGTATTTGTTTTACAAAGAATGTCATCAGATTTTGTTTGATTAATGTCAACAAACAGCCATTTTATCAGGCTAAAATAGAAGGCTAAATAAGAAGAAAAGCTATTTCATTTTTTAGTGGCTCTGTTTCTAAATTATTTCTGTTCTTTTAGATTTTAATAAGATCACCAATACATGTATGTATTGTAGCATTCATAGATAATATAATGCCTTCCAGAAGTTTTCATCCTTTGGCATTCTAGTGGGACTCATGGAATTGGTCCAAAACATCTAGAACAGCGAGTTCCCAACCTTTGCAACTTGGCCCAGCTAGGGGGGAGAGGAGAACTGGGTTGCACGAATGGCTGACCAGCATGCAAGTATGTGAGTGCCATCTGGTCCATCACTCACGCCAATGGAGCTGTGGGTGCACGCTCCAGCCAGCCACTCATGCGGCCCAATTCCGCATAGGCCATTGCCCGGTAATGGACTGCGGCCTGGGGGTTGGGGACCCCTGATTTAAAGGATACTAACTTTACAGTTCCACTGATATAGTGATGAAGAAACTGAATTTTCTGCAGGTTTTTCCCCCCACTCCTAATCATGTCGTCACTGTTTTATTTTGTAACTTTTTAAATTACAAAAGTTGGAGTAAAGTAATCATGTTCTCATTGATCAGTAAACCAATCTGGGACTTTTTTATGGAACTATCAGCTTAAAATTATTTAAATAGAAAGTGAGTAAAATTAAATTATCTACATACAAATACTCTGTTTTAATAGTCTGTTATTTTACAGTTTAAAAGTATTACATTTATTAAACTTACATTTTGAAAAATCTATCTACTATTTCTAAAGGAATTTTACATTAGCATATTTATTCTATAATCATTGTAGGGATTTTCTTAATATGAACAATAAATGTGACAATGAGCCGAGATGCATATGGCTGGGGAAGTTGTTATGAAAAGCATGATGCCTTTGCTAGGGAGGAGCTTTTTGCCTGGTGGATTTATCAGTGTTTCTCTTTCTACTTCCCTTCATTATTCACTTCTCTTCCTCCCCCTCATCCTTTGCCATTCCTACTGAACATAGGAATGAATATGTGTCATGTTTTTTTCTGTCTATGAGACTAATTTGAGTATATACAAGAAAATGTTCAGTACAGGTAGTCCTCGACTTAAAATCACAATTGAGCCCCAAATTTTGGTTGCTAAGTGAGATTTTGCCCCATTGTTGAGTGAACTTTGTTGAGTGATTTTGCCCCATTTTACAATCTTTTTTGCACAGTTGTTAAGTTAGTAACATAGTTGTTAAGTGAACCTGGCTTCCCCACTGACTTTGCTTGTCAGAAGGTCACAAAAGATGATCATATGATACTGGGATACTGCAACTGTCATAAATATGAATTAGTTGCCAATCATCTGAATTTTGAACACATGATCATGGGGATGCTATAATGGTTATAAGTGTGAAAAACAATAATAAATCACTTTTTTTCAGTGCCATTGTAACTTCAAATGGTCACTAAATGAACTGTTATAAGTTGAGGACTACCTGTTTATGCGCTTGTGAAACCATTAATTTTATGAATGGGATACCTTATTTACAGGTAATTTTTAACACCTACACACCATGACCCTGCCCTTTTTTGGAATGAGATTTCTGACAGATAGAAATGTTTTTATGTTTAGGTGTGTATGTGTACATAAATACATATATAGACATATGTTGAGAATTGAGATCTTCAGGATTTGTTTTATCTGTAGCTGAAAAATTCATTGGATTCATTCATGAAGACATACACTTAACGTTTTGGGAAAGGAATCAACTTAAATTCAGGCTCCTCTTCCTTTTGCGTAAGTGTCTGTCTGTCTTGCTTATCAACCATATACAATCAGCATTCATCACTGGCATATTTCACTATATTTCACAGGTCTGGAATATACTTACTGGAAAGCTAGAAAAAGATCTTACTTGCCATGAAGATACTGTTCTTTCTTGTGCTGTTTCATCTGATGCCACTATATTTTCTACTACCTCTGCTGATAAAACTGCCAAGGTCAGTATGTGTTTGTTCTGTATTAAAAGAAAAGACAGTTTAACACAGCTGTATAGTTAAATCACTAATTCATTTATACATCAAGACTTCTAAATTGTTTCAGGTGTATCTGAACCTCAGCCATGTAAGGAAGAATTTGGTTTTTTTTGCCAGAAGCTGATGTAGCTTCAATATTTTGCCTTTTATACCCTTTCCTATGTAACATTTTACATAATATTTCATTCGTGAGATATATTATTGAGCATATAACATGAAATGATACCATTGTCTCTTCCAAATTGTAAAATATTCTTCTGTGAAAAAGACTCTTCTGGAGTCATAAGTTTGATTTTTGTTAAAGTAAAATTATATATCCAGTGTGTGAAATATCTATGCAGTGTCATTTGTACATCCAATTTTAGCATCTTTCCCCATATCATACTTGTAGCCTGACATTTTTAAATCCACTTTCAGGCCAGTCTGTCTTGTCTGGTAAAACCTGTTCCTCTTCCATAACATCTTTAAATACAATCTGTCTATGATGCAGACAGTCTTTAAATTAAATTCTGGTTCCATTGTTCACAAATATCCCTCAATAAATCCAGTGTTAAAAAATTTTGCTCCATTCTGTGTTGATCAGTCAAATGTAAGTGTTCTTTAATTGTAACTTTCAGTTCCTTCTGGTTCCCTCTGACATCCAACCTTCAAAGTCCCATCCTGACATTTTTTTTAAAAAAGGAAGAATTCTTATAATTAATTTTAAAATCTTATTTCAAATCCTGCTGGATCCTTAGTCCATTTATAAATTTCCAAAATCAATATTCTAATCATCCTTTTCCTGTTTATTCCAAAAAAGAATTTTTTAAAGCCCTTAAACCTGGATTTAAAACTTCTTTTTGGAAGTATCAAAGGAGATTCACCCAATGCTATAAAACTTGTTATTCCAAGGATTCCTAATATCTGAAAAGCAATTAATAACAATTTCCAAAAGGGATTAGAAAAACAAGTGTGTAAATTCTGTGTCCATAAAATGCTGCTGACTGCAGTTTGGGCAAAGATAGTGTTCCGTCATCTCCCAGAGTTCTAAACCAGCATTCGCCAACCTTTCTGAGTTGGCAGCCTGGCATGGGGGGAGGAGAAGGGAGGAAGAGGATATGGTTTTGTGCAAGTGGGGCTGTGAGCATCGGCGCCTGCCACATAAGTGCACATGTCAGCCCACCACTCACACAGCCCAGTTACAAATAGGTCACAGCCTGGTAGTGGGCCATGGCCCACAGGTTGGAGACCCCTGTTCTGAACCACTGGACTGCTGTCTTGCAGTCTCCTCATGAGGAGCAGCTGTCTGGAACACTTGAGAATGATCCCAGCCTCTCTTTGTCCAGAGAGGAATCCCAAAGAGCCAGTCCACTCGCTGGCACTTCATTCCACCACAGTTATCAGCTCTGCTTTTAGTTGAGAAGAGATCCATTTTCAGTTCAGTATTTCTTCCCCAGAAGTGATAAGTAGTTTTTTTTTTTTTATTGTACTGATTTCAATGAAAGAGTTGCACATTGGCTTCTCGAATCAGAACTTAAATGTACCTACTTTCTATCCACAAACTGCTTAATACTATAAATTAATATTGATCATTGTAAATGTCTGTTTAGACAAGATCCATTTGTTCCTGTTGTTCTCCTGCATCCTCATTAACATCATTCCTATTAGTGTACTGCATCAGATTGTTAAAGGATAAATTTGAGATCTGTCTATACATTCTATGTTCCTAGCCCCCATGTGAGAAAATAGATTTGTTTAAAGTAAATTTAAACCTGCACAGACTGTTTTTAGGAAAAGTGCTTGGTGCTGCTCATTCATATATGCCATAAAAGCTCAAGGCAAAGTTAGGCCTTGGAGAACTACATCCAGGCGTCTGATCTTATAAATATTTTTTTTTAGTTTATTCTGTTCTGATCACATTTCTACACTTACAATTTTTACCGTACCCTAATCATCTATGAAGTTCAGATACCAATTTTGGTACCTGAGTGAATGAGGTGTAAGTATTATTTGTATGTTCATGTACAATGTAAATTAAACATTTTGCTTAATATTTTAAATCTTCAGATATGGAGCTTCAGAAGTTCATCAGCTCTTCATACTTTGAGTGGCCACAAAGATTGTGTGAGATGCTGTACATTCTCTCTTAATAATGAATTATTGGCTACAGGAGATGATCATGGAGAAATAAGGGTATTTAATTTTTCATTATTTAATATTTGGGTATGGATTGATAGTTTTTTTTATATTGATGAGTTTTGGATGGTTTTGCTATCACTTCAAAGCAACAATAGTAAAGAGGTAAAAAGGGATTTCAAGGATTTTTTCTGTTAACAAAAAAATAATGTTAGGAATAAAGAATGCATTTACCTCTACAGAACTAAGATAGCTAAGAATGTGGTTGGAAACTAGAAACAGGCTTTCTCAGTAGCAGACACCCCCACCCCCAAAATAATCTTTCTACAGGGAAAGAACTAGCAAAATTCTCCGATGTCTTCATTGAACAAGACAGAGTTCATATCATTAAAGTAGCACTGCATGCCAATTCTGCCTTCAGTATCAACTAGTTTTCAGGTAGTCTTCAGGAGCAGCAATAATTAAGGTATATTGCAATAATGCAGTCTCAAGGTAGTGATGGCATGAGTCACTGTCAGTAGGTTTGCTATTGCAGCTAATAGATAAACCAAAGCTAGCTAACAAATTCCCAACTACTGCTCTTGTAGAACATAGAAATACAGAACTACATGATTTTTTTCTCTCTCTTTACATTTCTTTCACATGCTTTTACCATCAACAGATATAGGAAAAATTCAGTATTGTTTTGAGCTGTGCAAAGATGCATTTTTCTACTGTGAATATGTCATCAGAAACAATAACCTGATTTATTACCAGTTTGGTCAAATATGCATGCTAACTATGCAGAGTAACACCTTTTCTAAACTCAGAATGGCTTCTTGAAGTCATGTAGATGTATATCTAATTCTAAATACCTTCTCCATTCTTAGAGATAAGCAAGAGTATTAATTATATTTGAGTAGCTGTCTCTGAGATTAGCAGTACAATTTTATCCTGACTTGTTGCCATTAAGTCCACTTTAAAGTCAGTCATTAAGTATATCCCATTGGCTGCCTCCCACTTTCAGTAGACACCTCCTGAACCACTCTGGTTTGTTTCCATCTTCTCTAACATTTTCTTGTCCTCCTCAAACTTCAACAATTCTCAATCCATAAAACCAACATTGCCTTTTAATCCATTAAACAATTTTAAATTTCTTTTTCAGTCTAATTCTAGGTTTTTTTCTATGCCACACAGGCTTCCATAAAAGCGCTTCCCTTTCAACCAATGAATCCATTCTTGTTGCTTGTAATAATCTTTGAGAAAATATAAATCCCTTCCTCTGCAGTAAACGTCTTTTTTCCCTTTCAACCAATAAATCCATCCTTGTTGCTTGTAGTAATCTTTGAAGGAATATAAATCCCTTCCTCTGCAGTAAACATCTTTTTCTCTTCTCCTTGCAGCGTCGTTGCTTTGTAGTTTGAGATCTTAGTCTTTGCTTCTGATTCTCTAAGTTGCTGAAGAGAAGGTTGTCAGATGAAATAAGTTCCTCTTCTATCTCTGTAGATTCCTCTTCTGGTACATTTTGATTTATATCATAGTCAGTTGTAGCCTGAACATCAGTTTGAACAAATGTAGTAGAGTCTCTGGATCTTGATTCTAAAGTACAGTTTTTAAATGTAGCACATATTTCTGCAGTGGCCTCATAAATCTTTTCCAATATAAATGCACAGTTCAATTGTGGCTGAAGTTTCTTCATTTTAATACTAATGCTTAAAAGAAGATCTCTTTCAGCACGAAGCTGAAAACACCAGCCTGAAGATGACAAATGGGACTTCGTCGAAACGTCGCCAAGACACTTCCAATTTTATGCGGGAGAAGACCCGAATAACCAAAGACCTACATAATAAAAAGAGAGGAGAGAGAAAATCTTTTCCATCTTTTTTCCTTTTTAGTATCCAAATAAAATATATATCAAAGTAAAATATAGTCTTTTTCAGTATTTATAAAACGCCTTTCTTCCCCAAAAAAAGCAGGAGCCGCCTGTCCAAGTCAGGGAAATAATTCCAAAACAAAAAAAGTAAAAAAAAAGAGAGAGTTACAAGAAACAATTCTCACCTGGATTCACCACGGGGGTACTCAAAGCTTAGATGTTGTCTGACTTTCGGTCTAAAGCGGCAGGGCGATCGACCATTTTACTGGCCGATCTTCTTCTCCGTCGGTCCTCGGAGATTTGTCCGGACAGCTGAAGGAGCCGCTTCTCCTCCGCAGCTGGACAGCAGCCTCCTTGATGGAAGTCACACCCTCCAGGGCAACTTTGGACCCATACAAGGGTCCACCTACGGAGGGAAAGCTAGCCGATGAGGAGAGAAGTCTCACGGTGCGACTAGTGACACCGCGAACCAGAACCAGAAGTCCCACCTTTATTATTTTTATAAATAATTAAAGACAGTGAACATGCTTAATATTCCCCCCTCCTCCTATTTTTACAACAATAACTGAGGTGAGATAGTCTGACAGAGTGACTGGCGTAAAGTCACCCAAATGGCTTCCATGCCTAAGGCTGGACTAGAACTCACAGTTGCCTGGTTTATAGACTGGTGCCTTAATTATTAGACCAAACTGGTCTCTGGTTTCAAAGTTATTTACATCTTAAGATCAAAGGGAGGCCATTGATTCTTATTAATTTAAAAGGAAGAATGGTCTATTTAGCTTGGATAAAATAATACATTTAGGAAGTTATGGAGATTTCACAAGGTGACTAGTCTATAAGACACTGTGCCTTATGAATTCCGTAAACACTAGTAGCTGGATTTATTCTTTGTTCCTATTTCAACATCAGTTGTATTTTCTAAGATAGCTTACAAAAAGTTATAACTCTATCTAATACTTGATTGCATTTCTTTTTACAGATTTGGAGTATCTCAACAGGTAAACCTCTTCACTTGTATTTTTCTGCCACAACAAATGAAGGAAGAGGAGCACATGGAGGCTGGGTGACAGGCCTTCATTTTTCTCCTGATAGTAAAGTGCTTGTTTCTTCTGGAGGACATGTCAAGGTAAGCTCAATAAAATTTTGTAAAAAGTGCAATTTCTAGAATTATTATATAAGCTATTATATAAGAGTGCACAACTTTTTTGAGGGTCATTAAAAGCCATCTCTTTGTAATATATGATCTAATTAGGGAGAAAAATAAACATCTCTTGTGCATGTACCTTAATTTAGAAGCTTATGTGATAACTACAATTTTCCTATTTTATTCTAATTGTAATATAGGAAGCAAATTTCAAGAAAATACATCATGATTTAGGGCAGATTTTGAAATCTACATTTGTATAGTTAATATAAATCCTTGTGTTCTGAAATTTGAATCTTATGAATACTGTACTCTTTTCAAGTGTGTAGCACAGCAAGAAGAGTATGCTACATTTGGTTATAGCATATTTATAGTAGGTTATTGTCAGATTTTTATTTTTCTTAATTACAAATATATTTTCTCTTCCTTATAGTGGTGGAATGTGGATACTAGACAATCCTTACAAACATTCTACACAAATGGAACAAATCTCAAATCATTGCATGTATCCCCTGATTTCAAAGTATGTGTGACACTGGATAATCTAGGCATTCTTTATGTGCTACGGATTATGGAATAAATTTAAGTTGTAATCACTTTTATATTTATAGTGTTTTGAGCCAAAAATGAAACCTTTCCTTATTTTTTTCTAACTTTCATGAAACTGTGATTTTGTTTTTACTATACATTATACATTTGTAATTTCCTCCAAATCAGCACATTTTTAAAATAATTAAATACTTTAATAAGTTTTGTTCTTGGAAGTTGCACTGAAAATAATTACACTATACTTTGATCAGCGAAAAGAGCAATATGTGATAATGTAGTCATGGATCTAATAGCAAATGTTTCTAAATCATAAGCACATTTGCCACTTCAAGGTTTTGTTTTAGGCTTTTTTTTCTACGTGTAATTTTGTCTTGAAGCCTTTGGATTGATAGGTGTTGTCTTGATACACAATGTAAATATCCGTGGCATAAAATGCCTACCGGTACTTTCTGTTTCAGAGATAATAATATAAGAGCACATGTTTCTATCTTGCCATTTGCTTAAAAACACAATACAATTTTCTAAAGCTAAATTTTCTCCAAAAGTTTGAATGTTGGCTTATGTATTTCATTTTGAATCAGACTGAAATGTCACTGACAGCTAATTGTATTAAACCTACAAATAAAAAAATGTATTGGGAAGAATATTTCACTTTTAAAGATAATGTATGATTAAGATCATTTGCATTTTTCTTATCTGTTTCCTTTAAAAAAATAAAGTATATTTGATTTTTTTCTAGCCTGTGTTTCTTTTAATTTGTGTCTATGAATATTTAAGTAAAACTTACCTACTAAAATGTTCTTATTGATACCCTAGATGACATATTGACAAATTTGTTTATTATCCTTTAATGCTAATTCAGAGGCAGTTTAATGGAACTTACTCCTAATTAAGTATGCATAGAATACAAAATTGATAATTAAATAGTTCTCTTTGGGTTCATATACATACAGACAAATACAAATAACAACATGGAAAGTGAAGAGGGAGGGACTCATGCAATTGCTGTTGTGCTAATAGACTAGATTAGAAACTACTGCCAGATTTCTAGTTACCGTATATCACCTTTTAGTTCATTTTCCCAAAAGCTACCAAAAATACACCTTGAAGAACATAATAGGCACATTTCCTCCATCATGTGGAGCATCAACTTGTAAAAAGTCATTTGGCAGGTTGACTTATCAACACAATGTCTACTTTCAGTTGGACATCAGACCAAGGCAATATTTTAAGAGAGCCTTAGATATTAACGACCAAACTGACTTTGAGTCATTTGCAGATATCAGGTCTTTGAAACTGGTTGGCCAAGAATAAAATGCCCTTCCAAACAGAAAAATATCTGACTCAATACCATAGGAGCTGGAACAAGCTTCTGGATTCTGATAAAATATGGATAATTCCACCACGTGCTGTTATTTTGAATGTATGTATATATAATAATAATAATAATGATAAAGTTGGAAGAGACCTTGAAGGTCATCTGGTCCAACCTCCTGCTCAGGCAAGAAATCCTATACCATTTCGGACAAATGGCTGTCCAGTTTCTTCTTAAAAACTTCCAGTGTTGGAGCATTCACCGCTTCTGGAGGCAGGTTGTTCCACTGGTTAATTGTTCTAACTGTCAGGAAGTTTCTCCTTAGTTCTAGGTTACTTCTCTCCTTGATTAGTTTCTTGATTAGGCTTGCATTTGTCTTAAAGAACTGTCAACTATACAGCCTAGCAACATTTTATTTCCTACAGGGCACAAATATACATTGGACTGCTCTAGATCATAATTTGCCTCCATTGAACTAAATTCTAGTAAATTTAAAGATTCTAGCAAATTAAATTGTTCTAAAAATAAATTCTAGTAAAGTATATCATCTTAATAGTAATGTCAGAAACTCTGGATTACAAGAAAAAGTCTTGGTTCATGAGTTTCCCATATTCATTGCTCATGAAAGCATTGGTAAGGATTGCAGATCTAGTACCTATAATCATTGAAAGGAAGGCAACTTTTAATAGTAAGAAATCAGTGTAACGTTTTATTGAAAAAATTCCTAGCATTTTACATTTGATAAGGATTAAGGAAGGGTATGGTTATAGTGAGGTTCCTTTTAACTGGGAGAGCTGAGAAATGCTACTGAAAGAAGAGGGAATGCCTGCATTGGAAGATCTATTTATGTTTTAGGATGCTTAATTGAAGTAAAATGCAGATATGCAACTAAGAATATGTGAAATAGTTCAAATGTTACCCTTCTTCTCAGCAGCTTTTCTAACCTTCATCTTTCCATCATATCCTCACTATTTTGTAGTTTGGAGTGTATAGGGGAACGAATGAGGAACCAGAGAGTATGACCTCCAACATTTCTTCAACCTAGGTGGGTCCAACAGATACAGTAAGAACTATTGCACAGCTTAACCAAGTTGGGACAGAAGAAAAAAGGCTGAGATGTGTTGGTGGACTGTTGGCCAAGTCTACCATTGCCAATTTTCTTTTTCTAAGGAGTTAGCATGTAGATCCCTGCCAGGCTACTATGACCAGCTTATATGACACTTCACCAATAATATTCAAATCCATCAGTCTTTGACACTATAGGGGCAGGGTTTGATGTGATGAGTGGTGAAATACTAGGCATTATATTTGAGACTTCTTTTAGCCTGTGAAGTAAAAAAGGATGCTTTGAAGTATGATCTCTGCTAACTATGGGCTTGCTTCCTGTCCCTCTGGACTCATATGCGGTCTGAAAAGGCATCTCTATCTAGATCTGGAGGATAGTCGATATCTGTGAAATGGGTTATTACACCCCCTTTTCTATTTCCAACACTTTGCCAGTTGCCAGTTTTCTGTTTTGCTGGAAGAGTAATAACAGGATGCTGGAAAATGAGATTCAAAGCATTGTGGAAGAAACAACAACAACAACAATAATAATAATAATAAGTGCATTGGAAGATCTGCAAAAAATATCATTTGCCTGTAAGCAAAAACTGGTGGGATCATAAAATAGAGAAAGTCATAGAAAATGATAAAATTAAACTGCTCTGGGACTTCAGAATTCAAACAGACAAGCACCTGCAACATAACACCCCAGACTTAACAATTGTCGATAAGAAAGACAAAAAAGTCTGGATAGTGGACGTGGCAGTGCCTGGAGACAGCAGAATAGACGAGAAAGAACTGGAGAAGATAACAAAATACAAAGACCTACAAATAGAAATAGAAAGACTGTGGCAAAAGTGAGCAAGGGTAGTACCAATAGTAATAGGCTCCTTGGGTGCAATCCCCAAAAAACTGGAGCACCACTTGAATACCATTGGCATTGACAAATTCGCTATTAGTCAATTGCAAAAGGCGGCCTTATTAGGAACTGCTTCCATCCTGCGACGATATCTGTAATACCAACAAAAATCTACATCTGCCTATCCCAGGTCCTGGGTAAGGATTCGATAGGTAGACAAAATGCCAAATCTAGTCTGAACATCTGGCTGACTGCGATGATCCATAATAATAATGATGATGATGATGATGATGGTAAAGTTGGAAGGGACTTTGGAGGTCATCTAGTCCAACCCCCCCTGCTCAGGCAGGAAACCCTATACCATTTTGGACAAATGGCTGTCCAGTCTCTTCTTTAAAACTTCCAGTGTTGGAGCATTCACTGCTTCTGGAGGCAGGTTATCTGGCCCATTTTCAATTTGGACTCAAGCATGGGTATGTGACTGAAATAGCATTAGCTCTCCTGGTTGATGACCTTTGTTGGAACTTGGATGAGAGTAAGGTTGTTGTCAAATTTCAGTACTATAGCTCCAGTATCTTTCTGGACCATCTGTGAGAATTGTGGATCAGAGCACTCTTCTGCAATGATTCTGCCTAGCATGCTAATAAATGAGGTCTGAATGTTCTGTTGGTGTTTCCAAGATCCTGTACTTTGTACAGGACTTACATTAATTATTGTATAATTCTTGCTTCCTTGATTATGCCTTGTGATGGTCTCAACACCCACCTAGAGTGGGAGGATCTCAAAACAATGGCCTATACTATCATTGCTACTCATCTAAGTTACCACAATGTGTTTTCTGTGAGTCTCCCTTTGAAAACAGCTGTGGCTGGCATGGCAGAAGCCCCGATGGACTGGGTGCACAGGTGGAGCAAGCTTACCTAGCAACATGTAACCTTTCCTGTCGGTTTCGCAATTAAGTTTGTGGGGAAGCTGGCAAGGAAAGTGACAAAAGGCACTCGTGATTATGGGTCATAAGTGCAAACCAATTATCAAGTTCCCAGATCATGATCATGTGACCCCCACAGATACTGGGACAGCTGGAATGCCAAGAACTAGTTGTAACCATTTGTTCAGCACTGTTATTTGAATTCCTACTGAACGAATAGTCATAGGTTGAGGACTACCTATATTTGAAAGATATTCACAAATCTGTATTTTTCATGAACTCTTTACTTCAAAAGTGAACCAAATACATATAGGCCCATATTCTAGCTTTATTCCTTCTTCCATTTTAACTTCTCTCCATCCATTGCTTTGTACTAAACAGAATGCCTAAAAACGAAAGCCTCTTTTTACTGTTAGTTTTTTATCATATTGCACTAAAAGTAGACAATATGAATTTCAGATTACACTGGCTATTAGACCATTATGTTTTCCATATTCTTTGTCATTTCAGAATGCCTGCTGTTTAATATTATCCTTACTAAATTGTGAAAAAGCCAGTGCTGACTGTACAACTTCAATTTATTTTGTGTGCTTTTAAAGGATATAAATAATGACCAAAATTACAAAATTTATAACTGGAAGCCCAAGCATATTTACAAAGAAGAATTTGTTGCAGTGAGGCTACTATTTGCTTGTTCCTATACAATGTTCCTTTGGGTACTATTTTCAATGTTTAATATCAGCCTACTACATACATATCAACAATGATAGGCAAAATATATACAAGGAACGAATTGGTTCAAGTATATTGTATTAAAAGGTTCTTTTGTCATCCAGTGCTATGATTAGGTTCAACTAAACCATATACAATTTTCAGTTTTAAATCGAGTTTCATTATCAATTTTGCTAAAAATTCCATTGAGTGTAACTGAATTTTCAGTTAGATATGAAAGAATAATAAAAAACATTGAAGTCAACCACACTATTCATAAATATCTCTATAATGATGTCCAAAATGACTCACAATTTGACTGGATAGAATATACATTTAAAATGCTGTTTTTCGCCTATGATCAATATTTTTACTGTAATTTATTCAGTTCCACTGAAATATACATAAATGTTATTGTACAAATACTCCACAAAGACATTAAAAAATTAAAATACTTGAAACAAAACTGTAAGCAAATTTCATTAAATTCCATGTTAAGCCAGTGCTCAACAGGTTATTTTGTGGAAACAATGTATTACTTTGGATTTTTTTAAAACTTTATTTAGGAAAAAAAATCTTTTAAATTGAACTTTTTCATTAAAATTAGCTGCGACAGAAAATTTGATAAAAATTGCAGTTGGATTAAAAGCATCTTTGAAACATTGATAAGCTTAAATGGCTATAATGACTTGAAAAACTGTGTACAGTTGCATGTACCTTAGTGCAATTGCTGGGCAGCTTTTATTTTACTCTTCCAAAGTACAAAGCATCCAGTTTATAGATGACACCACTGTTACCACTGTTGCAAACAGTACAGCAGCAGTTTAACTTCAAATTAAATCCCAATTCTTTTCATAGTTAATGATTTTCTTTATCATAAATATTCACACTTTTTCATATAATTTTTCCTCTGTCACACAAAAATATTAAATACAAGGTGCATTTTCATGCATTATTATTAATTCCTCTTCTTAAAACCATTAATCAATCTTATCACACTGCTATATAGAACCTCTTTTTTCCAGATGATTAAACGGCATGTAGTTTACAAAAACAGCAACTAACAAATGAAGGAAATTAATAACTTGCTATTATTTTTTAAACATATTAAACAAAAATTATATAGGATTTTCATAATTTCTCAAATATTGTATTAAATAATCTGGGTCTATTTCAATGTTCAATTTGCCAAATAAGAAACCCAACTATAACTGAACATTGTATTACTAAGCAGCATTAATGTTAGAGACCTTTGTAAAAGTAGAACATTAAAATATGAAATCAAAGAAAGCACTGTGGCAAAGTCCTAAGAAAATTGCGTGCACGAAAACTATCTCCCACTCCTCTTGTGGACTCTATGAAAAGTCTTCATCCCATGTCATTCTTCTGTCAACGCTGCAGGAAGAACAATCACCAGAAATGACCAGCAGCCTTTATATTTATATATATATTTATTTATATATATTTATGTTTTTGCTAGTTTCAAGGCCACTCAGTGCAGTCTTCCTCTCTGTTAGATTGAAGAGTTGCTTATCATGGAAAGGCTGTGCTGTGACTGCTTTGAGTGCAAGGCACAACAAGAAATGATGAACAGTTCGTTATCAGAAAATCGTGGTTTCATACTTGGTATTAATTCCTCTTTTAGCTTCTTGTCCTGGTTCTACAATCCATGGTAGATTGGTAAGAGTCTTTTGTTCGGTAGGATCTATCTGCTTTGAAACAAATAAACACAGGAATGCTTTATCTATTTAAATTACAAAATTTTAAAACTATGTTTAAAGTTTCTCAATATGACACATTACATGGTTGTACCATATATTTTTTTTTACCTACTGATGATCCAGTTTTTTTGCCTACTGTTTGTTAATTTTCACTGTCCTCACAAAATTGTGTTGCTGGAATGAAACACATTACACTAAATCTGAAATTGTAGTATAACCTTACACCATGATACAGCATGTGAAGCTTACAGATTTAAAAAGATCAGACTTCAAGATTCGCATTCTTTTTTGCCTTTGAAATTACTCTAAGTACATATATTCAAAGTACATCTATTAATCAATATCACAAAAAGCTGAAGACAATCAGGAGGGCCAAGCATATACATCTCCAGCAATTTGAAAGAGGTGCATATGCAACATGAATAGTGAATAGTGTTCCTCCTCTGGCTTGTAATGCACGCATAGGAGTGTAACATTTCATATGTTCAAAACATAAAATAAACTCTAACAACCATAAAACTACAAAAACATAAAAGTTTTCATGAAAACTCACAAATACTTAAAATTCAATGTTGGCAAATTTTCCTGTGGCTGAAAGCAGCACAAATATTTGTTGGAGTGACCACATAATAAACTTAATACCACATTTTTTGGTCTTCCTGGATTCTGAGATGAAAAGAGGGATACCTAGCCTGCTAAAAGGAGACAGGGTTTTCCCATCCCTCCTATAATTTATGATGGAGATAGAATCTGAATTCTTGTTTCCAATCATATGGAGTGTTTAATACATTGAATCAAACATTTATATAGCTGTCCTCCTGCTGCCTTTTCGCCAGCTAAAGATTTCCAGGTTTATTAGGAATCATCCTTCATGTTATTCCCACAACATAGCCCTGTAGAGTTGGAGTAAGGCTTGAAAAACCACTCTACTCATATGTACAGTTTTAACCTACACTTGTGGAGATACCAACCTGATCAGAATACTGCCAACTATATCATCTCCTGCTACTCCAGATTTTATTTGTAGTTACTCTGATTTTCATTTTGTTTGATTTTTATCTTTTTATAACTGATGTAATATGTATTAGTGTATATCACTCACAATATGTTACAAAATGTGTATAAGTGATACTAATATCTAGTAAATATAGGCAGTAATTTCTGGACAATTTGATCTTTATAATAACCATTTGAGAAGTTAACTTTTTGTCAGTTCTTTTGTATTTCTCCCCAATCCACAAGATGATGATGGATACTTCTTGTTTTGTTACAAATCTTCTATGAGCTTGTTAATGCCTCTCCCATTTTACCCCTTCAGTCACAATAACCCTGAAAAATATGGCTATAGGGATAGAATTCAATAATATCTGGAAGTGCCTTTCTTTTACTTTACTTACTGAATTTTGAACCAAGCAATAGCAGATATATTGAGGCATAATCTTATACTGATATAATTATTGATTATTAAAGACTTTACAGTAGTATGGTTAGAATTATCTTCAAGAATGTCTTTCATATCAAACTTCTGAAATTGTAAAATTAACTTTTAGCTAGTTACAGTATATATATATATATATATATATATATATATATATATATATATATATATATATATCAGCATATTTGGAGTAAAATTTGCAATTTATAATTTACAAGCACAGTTCAGGCCAACAGCATTTATCACAGGTTGATATTAAGTTCCTTCTATATGGATTATGCTTCTTACTCACCATAGATTTTCGGATGCTAACACGTGGTTTTGGGATTGGCTTGGTAGGTTTATTATCAAAGCTTTCGGGGAGTGTTGAAGAATGGCCTCCTTTTCGAGCTTGAAGTGCCAGTTGATAAGCTACTTCAAATGCCTGGCCCAATGTGAGAATTATTTCATAGGCTAAATTCTGGAATAGCAACAAACAGCAGGATTAAGCTGATTAATATGAATATAACTTAAAAATATCCTAAGTGTAGGGTAGTTTTGACTAATTGTGAAAAGGCTATATTAATTGCTTTTTGCACATCAGTATTGTCTTATCATTTTCTGCTACTGACACAGAAAATTGTAGAGACAACGTAAGTTCTTCCCTTACCTACAGTAAATTGAACATTCAAATATAAATATTCATTCAATCATAAATGCATATCTGCTATCTGTAGGAAGATAACGGGTGTAGGGCATACTGAACACACAGAATTCTGCAAATAATACTGTATTTACCTGGAAGGAAGAGGAGCCTGAATTCAAAATGCACCCATCCTCATGAAGCGTACATGGGAAATAATTAGAAACGTAACAATTCTGTGCAGTGTCCAGCTCCCCCATCTTATCAAGATAGGATTGCCAATTCTACCTGAAAGCAATCCTGGAGAACACTCTTGCCATCAATATGAATGTGTCTGTCTATGTGTCATGCTTATATGCATATACAGGTATGAGTATATTATATCTGCCAGAAGCTACACTGTAAAAGTAGGTAACCAACAAATTTATTTTCTTTAAAATTAACTATCCCATTTATAAAATTAATACTGTCATAATCAGAAACTCAGAGTATACACCACATATTCCCCTTCTTTCTTCCAGCAGAAACTGTAAAGACAAAGGGATAAAGACACAATGGAGGGGGAAGGGAAAATTGCATTGGGAAGGGAAGGAAAAGGAAAAAGGAAACAGAACAAAACTAGATGGAGAGAAAGTGATGGGAAGAGCTGAAGTGTAAACACGGTTTCTCTCATTTCTTCCCAGTTTAATTACTTTTTCCCAGTTACCTCTTTAATTTCAATAGCATCCTCTATTACCAGTTAATGGCAGATAATTGCCTAATTTTTTGTAAGTAAAAAGGGAAGAGAAACTCATCTTTCTATTTATTTATACTTAGTATCATTTTAAGAACAGTACTGTGAGCTTACACAATTTATTTTACTTTGTCATGTCAACCGAAATCACCATGTGTACATTTTTATAGGTCACTGCTTAACATAAAACATCAGAATCCACACTGAAATCCAGACAATAACAGAATGATAAAAGATTTGATGTTTTGCAAACTTGCAACCCTTTACACAGATAGCAACTGCACATTGGCCTATTTCAGCAGTCTTAAAATTAATACTTGTAAACACATTCATAAATGCTGATCTCACATTGGCCATAAAATGGGATATCTTCTTTCTTGAACCTTCCATTATTTATTTGTAAGCTAGTAATAGTTCCAAATGGAATTTTTAAAGATATTAAAGACATTTTTGTAAATTGAATTAATCTTGCAATAGGATTCAGCAACTGATTTTACAATTTATCATTTATCACTATCCGATCATTAACATCAAGGAATGAAACAAGCAGACTCCATAGATTAGTTACTACAAATATATATTAAAATTTAGGTTTGCTTATTTATCTGCTAAATCAATAACTTTCCTCTTGTCTTTGTGAGGTGAACCAAATAGGAATCACAACCAGGCGAGCAAATTCTACTTTACTGTAAAGTACATTGTAAGAATCTTGCAAGTCTGAAAATACAATTCTTCCTCCCTCCCCTGGTCTCTTTTACAACACAAGAAACTAGGGAGGGTCTAATCTGAGCTTCTTGTCCCATCCATTCTCCAGCTGCAGGCTGTGCTCTCTTACCTGGTTGTTCCTTTGGCAGCATCTCTTTGCCCAGTCCCAAGTCTTTCCCACATATTGTTACACATCTTAATGCAAAAAGGCTCCTATGTAGCATCCTTGTCTCTACTTGTTCCCCACAATAAGAAGACAGATTGGGCTGAATAAGTGATTAATCAAAGTCATTCACTAAATTTCCAAAGCTGAAGGATTCTTGAACCTTAATCATCCAGACTGCTTATTTTTGGTATGTTTGACACAGATTTTTAAGAAGAAACTATGCAACAGCAAATTTGTCTACTAGTTTTGTAATATTTATTTTGCTAGTTATTACAAAATGGAATTCTCAGTCAGTTGTGATAGATAAGGTTTACAAATATTGGTGTAGTTGTTATATATTTGTATATATTTTGTTAGCATTTTTATTCAGCCGTTGGATTACACGTGGTTTGTTGGAACATGCTGATCCGTTTTGGCAACATACTACTTAAAATATTCTTTGACATATTTATATTTATGTACTGATTACTGGGTTAGAATGTTTTACAGCAGCCTCTGAGTGAAGAGTAAACTAAAATTCAGTGGGGAAGCCAGACTACAGTATAATGTTGGCGGAACCATAACAGAAATCATTCTACAATATATGTTTCAAGGTGACATTCTATAAACTTCTAAAGCTCATATTTTTCAGAACACACTCCACAACACCAGCAGTTATTTTAATTAAATTAAGCATCTAAAATTGTAAAATCCAAAGTTTCTATTTATATCTGTGATAAAAAGATATATATTTTAAGATCTGTCTATAGCCTAGCAGTCAATGGTTCATTTTGTTGTTGGAATTTAATTCCAAATAAATGTCTACTTTATAAGGCAGGAATTTTTACAGCAGAAATATATCTGAAGCGATACCTTATATGTTTTGAATCAGATTGGTAAGTGCAGTATTAAGAAAACTATTTTTCAAGTTGAAAATTTGCTCACAGAACACAGGAATACTAATAGAAAGCCAGCATTTTAATTCACAATTTGACATCCAGTGATAAACAGTACCATTGCCAAGATTAAAATTCACATTTTATCAGCATTTAAGGAACAATTGTTATGGTAAATTTCACTGGATTTAAGTTGAGATACAAGTCTTAAAGGCTTATAATACTTACCTCACAGAAAATGTTGCTTTATCCTTTTTTGTCAAAAGAAAATTACCCTAAAATTTTGAACCAATCATTATTTGTCCCAGAGTTCAGCACTATATGCTTGGATATATTGAACTTATGGGGCTTTGTGAACTATATGCAGAATTGGTGGTTACTAGTTGCTTACTGCAATGTGAAAATAACTCTTTAACTCCCAGTTATTTTGTCATGAAGCAGCAGCAAATTGATTTCTGGTCTCCTCCACTTAGTTACAGGCAAAGGGGTCTAAACGGTTGCAGGCACCTCTCCCACTATAGAGATCAACTTAACCATAACCGAACCAGAGTAGTATCAGCTACAAACAGCTTCGGCCCTATCCTGTGCCCAAAAAATCTCGTGGTTTAAAATGTCAGTGAGCCTAATCAAATCCAGCCCTATCTTTATATGCGTTACATTATTTTTTCTTGTAAGTTTTCCTATTTCTTTAAAATATAACTGGATAATCAGGCAATTACAAACAGGAAAACCTTATTCAAGATATTCTGCCTATGCATAAAAATCCTCAGTTGGATTATTTGTCTTATTTCACTGGTATGGAATCATATGTAAATAGTTAGTAGTCAGAAAAATTTGTTCAACGTATGTCCATAAATATCTATTTCTAACCACAGTAACTTTAAAAGGATGACTTGTTGCATAGAACAGCATTCCCCAACCTTTGTGTCTTGGTGGACTGTGGCAGTGGCGGCAAGGTGGGAGAAGAGAGGAGATGGTTTTGTGCACTTGTGCACTGCTTTTACAAATGCAGCTTGCACGCTTGCCCACCACTTCCACTGCCGGGTTTTGAATGGGCTGCAGCCCGATACTGGGCCATGGACTGGAGGTTGGGGACTCATGGCACAGAAATACATAAGAAGAAGAGTTTGTATCATGGCTGCAAGGCAGGCCCAGTCACCTGTTCAGTTGTATTTATCTAGGTAATGAGTTCTGAGAGTTTCAGATAAAGCCTGATTAATTTTAAATTTTCAGTTAATGATTAAAGCATAGAGGGAAGAGAGAGGAGCTATCTGAATATCAAGCTGATAAAAATTACATAAAATGTTATTTGTAAAACTGGAGCTTTAAAATTATTCCTCTATGCTCAGATTTTGTTCTAGGCGATTCACAGCTAAAACAGACAGGCAGATATTCCTACCATCCTTTATTACAGAAAGCAGTAACTCATAATAAAAAGATGTGCAAATAGTCACTGTCTGTCTAATTTTTAAATATTTATTGGAAAAAACATATTTTAAGGAACCTGAAGTCCATGGTACACTTGTCCTGCAAATATTCTGCCTATATTTAAATTTGTCCAACATATCCAGGAAGACTTTAATGCAATATTTTATAATGCACTCATCTTTTCTCATTATTGACGGTTTATAGCATTGGGTATGCCTAATAGAAAATAGATTTATAAAAAATTAAGATATAAATGTGAATTCTTAAGATGTGTATGCTGATAAATTCAACCTACTCCTAATATATGGGAAAAACGAATGACCACATGTTGTCTTAACCCATTTGCTAGGCAAAAAACCCTTTGTATGAGAACTATTTTATGGGGATATCAATTTTCCTTAACAAGACTGTCTCATGTTCAGAACATCACATTAGTACATATTTCTAAGTATACAGAAAACTCAAATATGCATTACTTAATAAATCCAGCAATCCTTCCCTAATCCAATAAAACAAGATCAACATAGGGATTGACAGCACACCAACAGAACAGATGTGACTGACATTCTTGGCTTACTTTTGTTACTGGGATGGCAGTATGCCTGGGAATAGGAATAGTTCACTTTTTGGAGTCCTTAAGCTCCATATACACATGCATGCATGCACACACAGACAGAGACACTCACAAAAGCAAAACCAAACCACAAAGCTTAATTTTATTCATTTTGGCATGATTCTGGTTCATTTTCAGGATGTATGAGGAAGGATAAACAGAGATGTGCATTTTCCAAAGAAATAGAACTCATTTTTTTCTATGCACATTTGTCTCAATTTCCCTAATATGGATTAGCATTTGCAGTATGCTATTTGGTCTGAAATATATTGTATTTAGTCTATTTTATGAACTTTCAACCTTTACATAGAAATAAACTAAACGTTTCAATATGCAGAGAAAAAATTTATTGGAAAGTTAGAAACAAACATTGAACAGTAAGTAATAGAACAATAGAGATGGTATTTCATATGATGGGCAAATTAAGTCATAACGTTCCTTCGAGAAACAGGAGGCACACTATATGATTCTAGCCATTGTCTCATCTATTTTTCCTTGATCTTCTTTTAACATTTTTTAATGAAGGTCAATTAACCAACTTGACAATGAACTTAAAATGGATAGTACATCCTTGGATAGTACATCTGGTCTTTGAAGTTCAAGATTTCTCAAATTATTACTTGCATTACCAAGTTCCTGCAATAAAGCAAAGGGATTGATATTTTTATCTGTTTCTTCCCTCTATTAGAAAGATAATTTTTTTAAAAAAAATAAGCTGCAGTAAACAAGCTTTGTTTTTGCATTTTGCATCAATAAAACACTGTACATCACAGTTCTATACCAGGGATCTCATCTAGGGTACAGTATTAGGCTTTTATATAACTTCTTTGCTCATGTCTAAGGTAAAATGTGGCAAAGAAATCCATGCTATTGGCAGACAGAAGAAAATGTTGAATTAAGACTTAACTTTATATAATTTAATTAATTTCTCATTTGCTTTTTAAAATCATTTTTGTAAGTCATGATTAATGCTGTGACCACTGCTTAGTCAAATCAAATAAATTAAAATAACCTAACAAACATCAGTTAATGTACTTACATAGGATTCTTGATGTAGGCTTCTTTCAGATCATTGTGCTTTATCCCATTATTTTATTAGCTTTTCAGAATGAAAATGATCTGTGATCTTTTAGAAAAATTTCTGCATTATCTTAAATCCTTCTTCCTCCTTGTAGTATTATTGGAATAGTCTTCCTGGCAGTCTTCTATTTACCTGAAATGGTTTCTTCATAACAATGCCATACGTTTATTGTTGTTTGAAATTCAGGCCTGAAGTGGGGATTACCAGCCCATCTCTCTTTCAAGAATACCCATTACCCAGAGTAATTACTGAGATGCCAGGATCAAGAGAGTGCACACGTGAAGCGGTCTTTGGCCTGCAGGAAGTTCACAGTTTGTCCATATGAGTGCTACAGGAGAACAAGAGATACTTGTCTCTGATTTTTCTGCAGCTTCTCTAGCTGATTACTTCTAGCCATTCCAATGATTGTAACCAGAAATCCCTGCTGCTGTTGCTTTTTTATTTTTTTTAGAATGAACATCTATGTAGTCTTGTACAATTATGTACAAATTTCCTCCTACATGTCCTCCTTTTCAATATTTGAAGACTAATCTGCAGGGCTTTTTTTTCTCATAGAACGCTCAGAATGGCGTTCCGGCACCTTTTTTTTAAATGGGGTTTGTTTTCAACTTTTGCATGAGCTGTGCTATTCCCCCTATTGGCTTTTGAAAGCCAAAACACCCGGCTGGCAAACTTTGCACATACAAGTTGTCTGTATTATTGTTGCAATGAATAAAATGTTTTTTTTATTTACGATATTTTTTTCTTCAATTTATTTGTGTCCTCCTTTTCATTGCAAAAAAGTTGGTCACCTTACCACTAGTCAAAGCACTGAAGTGTTGTGGTGGTATGTGGAAATGACCTTGGGAGACAGAAGGAAAAACCATAGCCCAGGCAACAGTCTGATTAGAGACAGCTCAGTCTGCAGCTAGAGGAAAATCAGGGAAACATTTCTTAAGGGGTCCTTCCTAGTTTTCCAGCAATTAAAAAGAGAGGAAGGGAGAAATATTTTCAGACTTGCAAGTTTTTGTTTGATACAACCTTATAATAAAAATAATGCTGATACTCCCGGTAGTGCTTCCTTTTTGGACTACCTCAAAGGACTAACAAGAGCCATATACTATCAGGGACTCAGTGCAATTGTTTTAAGGCCTTCTCTCTGTTATCTGACCCTCTAGGTGCACATACAGGACTGTAATTGCAGATGTGCATATATTTGCTGCATGATTCAGGACAAAATATCTCACGCTGCTATGGAATCTGCTGTCCCAATATACAGCAATATCTGCACTTGCTTCAAGGGAGATTAATGGAGCATAGGGCTCACTAGATGTTGGTTGAATGTTATTTGTAATTTCAGAAGCAGTATACTTTATATAACACTAGTTATTAGCAAAATATTATGTTCACTTCATACTTCAAACTTTTCATGGGCATCTAGGCCAAAATGTGGGTGTTTAAACTGATCCTCCCTAATTTTTCATTATCCTCTTGCTTACATGGCATAGTTGCAATATATGATTTTTCAAAAAGAAACTTAGTTATAACATCATAATGATATGAAACATTTATATTAAATTTTAAATAGTAGTTATTATGCAATTTATTCATCGGTACCAGAACTACTCTACAGCAACTTTCTTCTTAACTGAAATTATGCAGGAAATTATACAGGTTTGTTAGCTACCACATAGAAGAAAAATTATATACCAACCACATCAAAGGCTGTGAACACATGACAGTAATGGTGATTTGTCTTCAAGTCTTTTGTAATATAAGCAAATGTTGAGAGGTCTTCGGGGTCTTGTGCGGCACAGGAAATGTTACGAATCTCATGTTCAGCAATAATATTCTAAATGTAAAGAAAAGAAATATTTATATATATTTAATTATCCAATCTAGTTCCAATATTTTATAATACTTAGGTTTTACATTGTTGCTAATATAAATAAAATAATAAGCAAGCTGTAACTGTATTTAAATTCAGCAATAAGCAAAATGTGTTATCTCCTATCCTGTTCTGTGTTTCTAAACTTTTAATTGTATGGCTGAATTCATTAATCATTATTCCCCTCTCAACTGATATTGAAAGTTAAAATAGAAAGATACTGTAGAAATATCTACAAAACTTCAAAGTTTTCTTTGCATGTTAGTTATTGAACGTGAAGTTTTCAAATCTGTTCTAATGATACTGAGAACAGAAAGGATGTGGTAGATAATTTTTATTACTGACGGTAAAAAAAATAATAGCATTATATTACAGATTTGTTACTGGTTGTTAATACGCAAATGGAATTCATGTAGTGAATTCAGTGTAGTGATTAATATTTAATTCATCTATTAGATAAAAAGACAAAATTTATTAGTACATAAATATATTCCGTTATCAGAGTAAATGATACAAAATCTTTCTTTAGACTTTCTTTTTTAAATTTAGGAATCAGTAAATGAATATATAAAATGCTATAGAAATTAATTTATGGTGCCATACTTACATATTTAACATGAGTGTGAAGACAATTTACTGAACCATATAAACTGAGTGATACTATCCAGATTATTATAATATAAACATTTATTTATTTTATTACTTTATTGATGAAATTTATATACCACCTCAATCCAATAGGATTCTAGATGATTTGCAACATGCATTAGAAAATATAAATCAATATGAATAAAATTAAATCTGGCATCAAAGGTCTGCATAACCACTCCAGTTTTTAATATTACAAAAAGATATATACCTTTATTACATCCATTTTATGAGTATTTTTTCATAAAATATGTATTTATTTCATTAAAGCTAAGCAACTATTATTCTACATATATTTTGCCTACAAAAATAACAATCATATTAGTAAGCTTTGCTTTTTAAAGTTCTTTAAACTAACGTTTTGATTAAAATTATTTATTCTATGCTACTATTGGTAAAACAGTTTTTCAGGGTTTTTTATTCCTTCTATTGCTACTTTCAAAACTGCTGGATTAAAACACTATGGATTGCAAATGAAACCATAAATGTTGCCTTAGGATATTAATCCATTAGCAATGCTGTTAAGAAAAAGTCTTCAATATTCTCAGAAAGGAATTAGAATTAGAAGAAGTATTTGTGCCAAAACCAGAAATTGGAATAGCTTAATAAGCTTTGTCATTTTTAATGTACATTTCCAACTTAGTTCTATTTCACTGAAAGGTCTGTTCAAATTTGAATCCGCTAGTTCAAATCCCCTTTCTCTTTCCCCTAAAATTATGGGACTCATAAAGCTAGTTTTCATTCAATATAAGTAAAAATAACTAATCTATGATTTAGAACTGTAAATTTAGTCTCCCCCCCCCTTTTTTTTTTGCTGTTGTATGCTACTTAGCATTCTTTAGGACCAAAGCAAATTAAGAGGCAATTTCACAATTTGCTTTGATTTTCAAGAACTTGGGAAATTGCTTCTGGCTTTCATGTCCAAAATGGAAACAAAATTAAACTTAAAAATTGAATAATTGTATAATATAGAAATGGCTTGTAATAACTAAATACAATGCAAAATATTGAGGTGTAAATATAGTAAGCATTTTACTGTATTGGGAAGAGTCAGAAGTCACTTTTTCCTTTTTTTTTTTTTATCCTGCCCCTCCCTTTTCTTCTGTTGTTTAATCTTTATTTTCATTGTTGTTGTTAATTGCGAAGTCGTGTCCGACCCATCGCGACCCCATGGACAACGTTCCTCCAGGTCTTCCTGTCCTCTATCATCTTCTGGAGTCCATTTAAATTCACACCTACTGCTTCAGTGACTCCATCCAGCCATCTCATTCTCTGTCGTCCCCTTCTTCTATTGCCCTCAATCTTTCCCAGCATTAGGCTCTTCTCCAGTGAATCCTTCCTTCTCATTAGGTGGCCAAAGTACTTGAGTTTCAACTTCAGGATCTGGCCTTCTAAAGAGCAGTCGGGGTTGATCTCTTCTAGGACTGACCGGTTTGAACGCCTTGCAGTCCAAGGGACTCGCAGGAGTCTTCTCCAGCACCATAGTTCAAAGGCCTCAATTCTTTTGCGCTCAGCCTTTCTTATGGTCCAACTTTCACAGCCATACATTGCAACTGGGAAAACCATGGCCTGGACTATACGCACTTTTGTTGGCAGGGTGATGTCTCTGCTTTTTAGAATGCTGTCTAGATTTGCCATAGCTTTCCTCCCCAGGAGCAAGCGTCTTTTAATTTCTTGGCTGCAGTCCCCATCTGAGGTGATCTTGGAGCCCAGAAAAATAAAATCTGTCACTACCTCCATTTCTTCCCCATCTATTTGCCAGGAATTGAGAGGGCCGGATGCCATGATTTTGGTTTTCTTAATGTTGAGTTTCAAGCCAACTTTTGCACTCTCCTTCTTCACCCGCATCAAGAGGCTCTTTAGTTCCTCTTCACTTTCTGCCATTAGAGTGGTATCATCTGCATATCTTAGGTTGTTGATATTTCTCCCGGCAATCTTAATTCCAACTTTTGATTCATCTAGCCCTGCCTTTCTCATGATGTGCTCTGCATATAAGTTAAATAGGCAGGGCGACAGTATACAGCCTTGCCGGACTCCTTTTCCAATTTTGAACCAATCAGTGGTTCCGTGTTCGGTTCTCACTGTTGCTTCCTGACCCACATATAGGTTTCTAAAGAGACAAATGAGATGGTCTGGTACTCCCATCTCTTTAAGGACTTGCCACAATTTGTTGTGATCCACACAATCAAAGGCTTTTGCATAGTCAATGAAGCAGAAGTAGATGTTTTTCTGGAACTCCCTAGCTTTCTCCATGATCCAGCGTATGTTGGCAATTTGATCTCTAGTTCCTCTGCCTCTTCGAAATCCTGCCTGTACTTCTGGTAGTTCTCGATCCACATACTGCTGGAGTCTAGCTTGTAGGATTTTAAGCATAACTTTACTAGCATGTGAAATGAGTGCAATGGTGCGATAGTTTGAACATTCTTTGGCATTGCCTTTCTTTGGAATTGGAATGTAAACTGACCTTTTCCAATCCTGTGGCCACTGTTGAGTTTTCCAAATTTGCTGGCAAATTGAGTGTAGCACTTTTACTGCATCGTCTTTTAAGATTTTGAATAGCTCAGCTGGAATACTGTCACCTCCACTAGCTTTGTTGTTGCTCAGATTTTCTAAGGCCCATTTCACTTCACATTCTAGGATGTCTGGTTCGAGGTCAGTGACCATCTCATTGTGGTTATCTGGGATGTTAAGCTCATTCTTGTATAGTTCTTCTGTGTAGTTTTGCCATCTCTTCTTAATCTCTTCTGCCTCTGTTAGGTCTCTGCCATTTTGGTCCTTTATCATGCCCATCTTTGCATGAAACGTTCCCTTCATATCTCCAATTTTCTTGAAGAGATCTCTGGTCCTCCCTATTCTGTTGTTTTCTTCTATTTCTTTGCACTGTTCATTTAAGAAGGCATTCTTATCTCTTCTAGCTACTCTCTGGAATTCTGCATTCAATTGGGTGTATCTTTCTCTTTCTCCTTTGCCTTTCGCTTCCCTTTTCATTGTACTTTATATTATAAGAAACCTCAATAAAATCCTCAAAACAGAGAAGCAAAGCAAATAATTGAATAAATTTATTTTAGCTACTTTTACTAAAAATCAGACAAAATCATTGTCCCTTTCACTAACTCCACATAGTTAACCATCTCTTGTGTCTAATATTACAATAGAGCAATGCACATGCTTATTCTCAAAATGTAATTTAAGGTGCTGGTCTATACCTATAAAGCAGTGGTTCTCAACCTGTGGGTCGGGACCCCATTTGGGGTCGAACGACCATTTCACGGGGGTTGCCAAACAACACAGTCCACCATTTTTTCCCCCTTTTCCTTAGCTGTGCTACTCCCTTTTATTCTATTGGCTTTTGAAAGCCAATAGAATAGACTCTCTTGAATAGAGTCTAATTCTATTGGCTTTCAAAAGCCAATAGGAATCGTCCAGGCTGTCTCTGCCCTGCTGAGCCCGCCAAAAGTCCCATTCTGCAAATGGTGCTGCACCAGTTGAGTAGTCCTCGACTTACGACCGGTTGAGTAGTCCTCAACTTACGACCAGTTGGGGGTCATGGCGTTAAAAAGGTTGAGAACCACTGCTATAAAGCGATACGAGTTCTTAGAGACTGCCATTCCCCAACAGTTTCCGCTGTTCTGGGGGGTCTTTGGAGTACAATGGGCTAGTTTTTAATGCCAGTTTGATCATAAAAGAATATAAAGTGGAAAATGCAATCAAAGCCATATTAAAAGAAAATATATACACCAGTCTGCAAAGAACTGTGGACCAAGGCATGCACCTAACTATTTATCCTCCTTTCTGTATATCTATTGGATTACTGCTATAATCATGCAACTCTTCCCTGTTTCTCAGGTGATTCCTAGAGGTATCATAAATTTTAAAAGAATAGATGATTTCCCTCATTTGAAATTACAATGAAGACTCCTAAAAAAACTTTTGTTTTCCTCAAGGTAATATATGATATTCAATTATCAAAGGAAAGGAACAATTAAAGAGCTCCAATAAGCTCAGTTTATACTTAAGTTGGAAATGTATGTAAAAATTATGATTATTTCAAGGAAACAGACATAGACACAAGCAGGTTCATGAAATTTCAATACCTTATGCATCTTATTTTGAAGCTGGCCCGGACAGTATGTATTAAAAAAGAAATAGTATTGGACAGTAAAATTATCACTTGGATGAAACAATATTAACTGATCAAATATACATAAAATGGACAAAGCCAGATGTTTATCTTAAGCCAAACTGCTGCAACATTAGTCAACTTGTGAATAGATCACTATTATTTTAGGTTAAAACTTCATCAATATAGTTTGTTAACTAAATATGAATATCTTTGCTTATGTCTGATAGCTTAGATATTCTTATAACAATGAGAAATTTAAGCTGTGATCTTAATTAGACAGCTACATCATAAAGGGGAATATAAACAAAACAAAAATAAAACAAATGAAAATGGCATGAACACTGTTATTGGTATTGACCATGTATACATGAAAAGCAAAGTGTTTGGACTATGAAATAAAGCATGGCTGATGCCATTTACTTACGTCCACTTCAATTTATTTCATGGCTAATTGGGGTTCTTTGTGAAAGTGGAGGAATATCTGTAGTTTTGGCTCCGTGTGTGTGTGTGTGTGTGTATAAAAATAAAAATGTGTAATGTTCTGGTTTACAGTAAGTTGGATAGTTTCTCTAAAAAAAAAGTCCTCTACTAAAGTCCTATGATAGAATGTACTGCTATGCACAATGGTTGTAGACAGATTTGAAAAATATACTAGCAAGGAAATGTCAGTGACATCAAGTAGTTCTGGATTTGTCGTGACCATTTTTATTTTACATTGAATACTTAACTGTTCTACATTTAACACAAAATTCACGGCCTATGAGAGAACATTCTCTCATAAATATTGATATAACAGTATCTTTGTAACTCAGGCTATGATTTCATGCATCTGATGAAAGCATCATAGCTTATGAAAGTTTCAGCTAGAATAAACTTGATTATTTTTAAAATGTAATAAGAATCATTTGCTACTGAAAGGAATGGAGAGCGTCTATTTGCAACTACTTAAAATGAAGTAAGAAATGACACCTACCTTATTTGTTGCATCAATAAATTTTACTCCTTTATAAGAGACAGATAGAACAATAGTAGGAACTTTCTTCATTTGTTCGGTAGACTTCTGAAATTAAAAACAAACATAAAAATTATGAATTGGGGAACTCTATTATTTCCTTTCTTCTCATCGAGATAAATAATACCTTACCTGCTATGGTTGTGCAGTGCTTCATTCAAAAAACAGAAGATGTTTCGGAGCAAATAGACAAGTATTGTGGTAGCTATCTGCAACAAACTAAACCAAATCTGCCTTTTGTTATGATTATGTAGCAGATGTGAAAGATAGCCATACAGTTCCCCCCAAAAGGTGTGGCTGCTTTCAGGAACTGCATACAGGCACTACTTTTGAGCTTTTGTTCATTCAAAGCATTTGCTTTCTTTGCATCTGAAGCACTGCACACCTTTTACCCATTGTAGCTGTAAGAAAATAGTTAAAGTATACCCACCAAATGCTAGAGGGAAAAAGGCTCTGTCTTAATTTATTTAAAAGCATGTGTGGAGGAGGTCTCCTTTCAGGCAAGAAGATAACAAAGAACTAAATGTATTTGTTCTGATCATGTAACAGTTAACAGCAGAAATATTTGAACCAGAAAATAACAATTATAACTGAATCATCATATTACTATTTTGGGGCTTATATTAAAATGTTTAATTTCTAGGTCTGCAAAGTTTATCATTTTGTAATTTACTTTTTAAGGCATCTGCAATTATTTGCCATTTAACAATTTATGATAACTTTATGATAAATAAAAACAAAATATTTAAGAAGAGATTCAGACACCCATTTGTCTGAAATGGTATAGGTTTCCTGCTTGAGCAGGGGGTTGGACTAGAAGACATCCAAGGTCCTTTCCAATTCTGTTATTCATGTCTTTAAAATAGATTTATTTTAGCACAATAAACACCTGATAGTGAAATTTCTGAGAAGGGGCGTTGTCTTACCTGAACGCCTTTTCTCAGCACGGAGATGGAGAATCCACCAATGGATTAGCTCTGTCTTCCTGCCCATTCAGACCAGGTCAGCCAAACTTGCTACACTTGTCCTGGGCTAGGCCACACCCAGTCTTGACAAGGGCGAAAGCAGCTGACGACAGTCCAACGTGTTGGCTCCCAGATCCCTAACACTGTCCTGACAACCTTACAGGGAGGGAATGGATTCACCATCTCCGTGTTGAGAAAAGGCGTTCAGGTAAGACAACGCCCCTTCTCCAGCACAGGAGATGGAGAATCCACCAATGGGACATACCAAAGCCTCACTGTCCCAATGGGTGGGAAACAGAAAAGGCCGGAACCACGTCCCTGGAAACCACCTGCTGAAGGACCCTCCTTCCAAAGGAGGCGTCCGCAGATGCAAACCTGCCTATCTTATAGTGCTTCACGAATGGTGAAGGCGAAGACCATGTCACAGCCCTGCAAACCTCATCGATAGAAGCCTGTGTGGCCCATGCTGCAGAGGTCGCAGCGCTGCGAGTAGAATGTGCTGTGATATGATTTGGAGCTGGCAGGGAATGCGGCTGGTACGTCTCAGCAATTCAAGTCCTGATCCACCTACCTATGGTTGAGGCAGACACCTTCTGCCCCATGGAGGCCTGGTGAAAAGAGACGAAGAGGGCTTCAGACTTACAAAAGGTTGCCGTTCTCCTGATATAATGTTTCAATGCCCTGCAGACATCCAGTGCATGCCTCTGTCACTCCAAGTCGTGAGACGGATTCGGGCAAAAATCCAGTAACACAATCTCCTGTGCCTGATGAAAAGGGGTGTTGGTCTTTGGGATGAAGGTAGGGTCCAAATGAAGGACCACCCGGTTTTGGTGAAAAGTACAGAGGTCCTCTTTGACTGACAGTGCCGCAAGCTCAGAGATGCATCTGGCCAACATGATGGCAACCAAGAAAGCCACCTTGAAGGACAAGAACCTCAGGGCACAGGTTTTGATAGGCTCAAACGGCAGTTTGGTGTGGGCCCGTAGGACACACGGTAATTCCCAAGAAGGATACCTGTGTACTACGGGAGGTTTTGTGTTAGCTCCCTTGAGGAAGGAGCGAATTCTAGGATGCTGAGCCAAGGGAAGTGAATTGTCACAGGTAAGTAAGGGACGCAATCTGCCTATGGATGGTGTTAGGTGCCAACCCCTTATCGAGGCCCTCGAGTAGGTATTCCAGGATGCTCGGAATTGTTATGTCTGAAATACCCAGATGCTGCCTCTTGCACCAGTTGCAAAAATTCCTCCATGAGTCATATATGCGATTTGTTGCTGGCCGTCGCAAGGCCTGGATCATGGAAATCACGCTGGGCGAGTATGATTCCCGTGTCAGGATCCAGCATTCAAGTGCCAGGTGGCTAACTGTAGCCACTGGGGTTCTGGGTGTTGAAGAACTCCCTGGCTGAGGGACGCCCGATCCAGGGGAATCCTACATGGGGGAGAATTGGAGAGATTCATGAGGTCAGCGAACCATGGTCTCCGTGGCCAATACAGGGCCACGAGTATGACCTCCGCCTGCTCCTGAAGCATTTTGCGAATGACAGCTGGAATCAGGGGCAGAGGAGGAAATGCATAAAGCAGGCCCTCCGGCCATGGACTCCGGAGAGCGTCCGCTCTCTCCGCTCCTGAGGATGGGAACCAGGAGAAGAATCTTGGGAGTTGGGAATTTGTCGGTGAAGCAAACAGATCTACTACTGGGAGTCTGAATCTCTGCAATATTTCCACGAAGAGGTCCGGGTGCAGGCGCCACTCTGAGTGATCCATTGTCGTCCTGATTAGAAAGTCCGCTTGCCTGTTTGCCTCCCCCGAGATGTGCTCGGCTCTGAGGGAGGCTAGATTGGTCTCTGCCTAGGAGCTCAATAGCTGGGCCTTGGCCATGAGGGACCTGGACTGGGTACTCCCTTGCCGGTTCACATGGGCCTTTGCCACCACATTGTCCGTGAGGACTAGCATGTGTTGCCTTGCAACTCTGTCGTGGAATTGGCGGAGAGCCAAGCCTATGGCTCTGAGTTCTAACCAGTTGATGTTCTGTTTCAGATCTGCTCGGGACCATTGTCCCTGAGCCAACTGAAACTGAAGGTGTGCCCCCCCCCAGCCAAACAACCTAGCATCTGTCGTGAGCGTGAGACGATTGGGTTCCTTGAAGGAGGACCCTCTGGCTATCGCTGGTGAGAACCACCATCAAAGGGACCGCCGGGTCTGAGAGGGAACCCTTACCCGTTGGTTGGAGGAGCTGGTGCCCAACCTTTGGAAGGGTAGGAGGAACCACTGGAGTTTCCTGGAATGCAGTCTGCCCACGGAACTATCGCGATGCACGAGACCATCTTTCCCAAGAATTGGGAGAGAAGGGCCAGTGTCACTGTGTGTTCCCTGCTTACCCTGAGGGCCATGGCCCGGATGCTGTCCCAGCATTCCTGGGACAGAAATACCTGGCAACGGACTGTGTCTATGATGGCACCCAGGTGTAGTAGTTGGGTGGAGGGGATGGTTTGGCTTTTCTGAAAGTTCACCAAAAACCCATGCTTCTGAAGGATCCTGATCGATAACATCAGGTCCGACCTGACGGCTTGAAGGGAGGACGACTGGATTAGAATGTCACCCAGATAACATTGGACGTGCACCGGTACCAATCGAAGCTGTGCAGCCAGTACCGCCAGGACTTTGGTAAACACCCTTGGAGCTGATGAGAGGCCGAAAGGGAGGGTCCTGTATTGGTAGTGATGGCCTGCATAACAGAACCTGAGGAACTGACGGTGATTGGGGAGAATGGGGATGTGGAGATATGCTTCCGTGAGGTCTATGGACATCAGGAAGTCTCTGGTACATATGCTGCCCAAGATGGACTGGAGCGTTTGCATCTTGAATTTTCGGTATGCAATATGGTAATTCAGACCTTTAAGGTCTAGAATCACCTTCCACCCTCCTGAAGTTTTGGGACCACAAAGAGGATGGAGTAAAATCCCCACCCCTGTTGCTCGGCCGATACAGGTTCTATGGCCCTTATCCCAAGAGATGTCAAATGGCCTCCTGCATGAGGCCGCTTTTGATGGGGTTCCTTGATGAGGGACAAGGAATGAAGCGCTCTGGGGGCCTTGACACGAATTCCAGGGTCAGACCGTATCGAACGGTCTGACGGATCCAGGAATTTGTGGTGGTGGCTTCCCATTGGTGGGGAAAGAACGCCAATCTGCGCCCTATGGGAAGGGTAGTTTGGGAGTCACTTGGATCTCCTGTAAGGGCGACCCCCCCCTCAAAAGGGCCGCTTGCTCTGGAATTGTTGTCTGGGTCTGGGGCTGGTTCTATCGGGCGGACGATCCTGTCTGGCCGTGAAGGGACGAGGAGGCTGGGTGGAGCCCAAGCCCATTCCTGGCCAAAAGGACTGCCTGCGAGCGTACGAGTTGGTGCGCCTGTCAGCCTGTTTGGAGAGGTGGGCCAACACCTTCCGCTTATCTTTATTTTCGGTTAAATAAGGAGTAAAGGCCTCTCCAAACAGGAGACCACCCTGATAGGGAACCGTGGCTAGACGCCACTTGGACTTTGGGTCGGCTTGCCAATGTATCATCGTGCTGAGACATTGGATGCCATAAACCTGGAGGAGAACCTGACCGCATGTAGTGTCGCATCTGAGACATATTCTGATGTTGCAACGAGCTTGCTCAGATCTTGTTGGGTACATACCTCCTCCGGGGGAAGCCTGGCTTGTAGTTGACAAAGCCAGAGTAGGGAAGTCCTAGCAAAGAATGATGCACAAGTGGCAGCTCTTATTGTCCACGCACTGCCTGGTGGGTCCTGCGGAAAGCCATTTCCCATCTCCTGTCCTCAGCCTTTAGCACCTCTGCCATATCCCCTGAAACTGTAGACGAGGACAAGAGAGGGCCACAAGGTCCTTTGTCTGGTCTCTGGTCTCTGGCGCCGCGTGAACAGCGGAGGGGAAGTGCCAGTTGATATCCACTGCTTCCAGACCATGTTACGAAAGAGTGCCGGATAGGGAACGTGGTGCTGAGTTACGACGGGCTTGAAGAACACCAGGTTCGAGTCTGAGCTGGGCGGTGGATCTGACTGAGGGGTCTGGTCAGGTCCTATGTTGGCCATCGTACTGGCTCTGCGGAGTAGTGGCAGGAATAGGGCCGGATTGAATAGTCCTCAAAATGGTGGAGGGTCTGGAGGAGGGTCTTCCTCCTCCCACCATGACATATCTGGTTGGTCATCTCCTAAAGGAGATGAGGCCCTGCTATAAGAGTGTTGGGACGGTAAAGGGGTACCTTAATACTCATGTGCACCCGACTGGAAGAATGCAGGGGGCCTGGAAGTCACAAACTCAGGTCTGGCCACACTGTATGACCTGGCAGCAAGTGTCCGGTCCACCTGAGAGATCAAAGATTTGAGACGGTCCTCAGATGGTGAACCCTCGGACTCGGCCGTCCTGAGTCCAGCCGCCGTGGGTATAAAAGTAGCCTCTGGGGCCAAGTGTGGGACACGCGGTGACAATGGTGGTTGGGGAGCCGTTTGACATTGGTTCACACCATGAGGGATAAGGTTTGCGGTGGGACTCCCCTCCGGAAACCATACCCCTTGGGAAGAAGACGAGGGCCCCAAAGGGAGATCAAAGTCCGAGTTCTCTATCTGCTCCATCTTTGCCCTGGTCTGCTTCTGTGCCTTGGAGAATTCCTTCTCCAAAGCCTGATGCCATCTGTTAGCCTGTTTCTCCGCCACTTTGGAAGGCTTCTTTCCAGAGATGGTCTTGGCCTTGGCTTTGATCCTGCCTGCCGCCTCCTAGTTGGAGGATTTTGCCTCTTATGGCTAGTGGATGGGGAGGCGGTGTCCTTGGGTTGAGACACCGTGGAGTCCTCCATCCTGGGGTGAGCTATCTCAGTGGCGCCGAGAGGGAACTCTGGCAGGGGATCAGTTGGTGGGATAGGCTGAGCAGATGGAGCAGGGGGTCGCCAAAGCAGTAGTTTGTTTCACCCTTCTCCCCTGGTCACCCGACCGGTAAGAGGGGGGACTGTTTGTCCCCTTTTTGCCTGAGTCTAGTCATGTCTATGGCAGCGGCAAGCCTGCTTGCACGTAGACTTCCTGGTAACGACGAGGTGTCACCACACTTGCCTGGTGGGTTGTATCTAACCCATTAGGAGATGGCCAAGATAAGGAATTGCACCAGTGAGAACCAGTGGTGCAGCTCAGCGGCTATGGCACGTATTAATGCAGGCCGGACTGGTAAGCGTGGTCAGGGAAGGCCTAGCACAAACCTAGGAAGCTTTGCCCGAGGATGGAATAGATTCCAGCTCACTCAATTAATGTCCGAAATGGCCCAGCAGTGAGTTGGATCGCGATCCAAGATGGAGGCCACCTTATCAGCCTGCAAAGAAGACCCGGAAAGGAACGGGCTGCGGGGGAAAAAACTGAAAGGCCGAAGATAAGGACTTCCGTGTGTATGTAAGCCCTTTCCTGCTTTGATGGTGGGCTCCAGAAACGATAGGGGGCCTTAAACTCGGCTTGTCCCGCCAGTCAAAAAGACAAAAGGATGACTGGAGCAAAATCTGTGAAAAAAGTCGACCGCTTTTCGGTGGTGAGCTCCGGAGCCAATAGGGGGAGCCTTAGGCTCCCCCCAATCAGTAATTGCTTTAGGCCTCCACCACCGAAAATTCCACCCCCACCCACCTCAAGGAGGTCCGATGCGATTCCGCAGCATCTGCTGCGAGAACGGTTGCTCGTTACTGTGGCCGGGAGAAGCATGTCGAATGAAAAAAAGGGAAGCCAACTGGAGCCTCCGCGTCCAGGATTTAGTCCCCACGGGGTTTTGGGATGTTTATCAGCTGCAGCGCTGATCCCAGCACTGCAGGATGAGAGGTAGGCTCGATGGAGGCTTGATGTTTTCAAACTGCAGCGCTGATCCCAGCGCTGCAGAATGAAAGGGAGCAAAGTCTAGGGGAAATTCCCTTTCCTTCCAACAATCATTCAGGGCAGCACTGATCCCAGCGTTGCCAAAGTGACCCCAGATTTTAGGGAGAATTCACCAATAAGAAAGTCTGTACTACCTGCTGGGAGCCAAACTTATCATGTCCTGTAGGGCTGGAGACCAGGTCAAGACTGGGTGTGGCCTAGCCCAGTACAGGCGTGGCAAGTTTGGCTGACTTGTTCTGAATGGGCAGGAAGACAGAGCTAACCCATTGGTGGATTCTCCATCTCCTGTGCTGGAGAAAGAAGCCTTTTGGTATAAAGTCTGACAGGTATTGGGAAGTTCTCCACTGTCATTTACATCAGTCTTTTCCTATTATTATAAAACCATGATATTCCCGAGGACAAGAGTGGCATTTCAGATTTATGCTTTGTGTCACTTTTACTGTTAAAAGACCATTTTCATGGCACCACCATTTGGGGATGATCTTCAAGGGCAGGCTTCACTTTCTCTGGATGGACTTCACCCAGGAAAGAAAATTAGTCTAAAACATTCCATGACTTCTGATCACCTTTCTAGGTTACATATTTAATGGAGTACAATGTACCCAAACTCTTTCTTTGCATTTAAAAAAAATATATAAAACATTATTATTGATCATTTTACACATAACAATGAAGAATTGCAGAAATCTGTAGGGAAGACTTTTTATATAGATATATTATATAAGAATTTCTATAGAAGAAAGTAGATTTTGTTTATTGTTTAAAATATTTATAATTTACCTAATTAAGGTACTGCAAAATAACTACTGGCAAAATGAGTAAACAATCATCAGATCAAGAAAATGATGTTAATATACAAGAACAACAACTTATCTCACCCCAGATACTTCTGAACCAAAACTCCAGCAACCTCAGCTAACATAGCCGAGCCTAAATTTATTCTGGAATCATTGGTTGAAACTCTTATGATGAGAACACAAGCATTCATGCTTACCAGCATGTGTGAGCAAAAGCTAAAGAAGAACATCATTAATAATTACAATTTCTCCTGATAGATAAGCTCCTGGCTGTGGAAGTGAATCAGATGTTGGAAAAGTGAGTAAGTTTATCCAAGAGGAAATGCTTAGATGTCCAGAAGCCAATGCTATGGTTTGAGTACAGGTGGAGAAGTCTGCATGTCAGACATCTCTTGTAATAATATGTTTGATGCATTATTAAAGGGAAAAGAAGATCATGTCCATTGGCATGTTGAGTTACATAATAAAACATTCAATTCTGCACTGCTCAAGGAAGATGAGATAATGAAGCAGCCTACCAATCAGCATTCTCAGTGACAGGATGTACTCTTGAACCGGTAACATGATGATATCCCATCTCTCAAGTTTGGGTTCAAAGTTGAGGGAAAAATATGACTTTCTTAAGGTAATTTCCTCTTGCTGAATTTTCCTCGCATATCAATATCATATTCGTGCTTAATACCATTAGAAATTATCTTCCCACCATCCAATGGCCATACATGGATGATAATGACAGAAGAGTGTTATCTCTCAGGCAGCAGCTCATCTGGAGCAAATCTTCAGCAACTTATGCTGGGATGAGTCACCAGCTTATGTTATCTGAATGATCACAGACTAAATAGAGATCCATAGATCATTTAAATATTTCTGTTGTCATTTTAGAATCTGAACTAAAGTACCCATCGTCCTCCACCTACAGCCCAACTACCCATCCTTATCTCTTATGCCAGTGTTGCTAACTTGGATGAATAAGATGGACATGGTGGCTTTGATATCATATATAGCACATCTCGGAAAAATTAATTAAGCATGAGAGAGCTACTGATGTAGTTACTAAAGTACTGAGCTAGAAACTAGCTATAGTAAGTTCTAGTCTTCCCATAGGCATGAAAGCTACCAGGCTAACTTTGGGCCAGTAACTGTTTCTTAACCCAACTCATTGCACAGGATTATGATTATGGAGAAAATGGAGGGATATGAAGATCTTATTTCTAATTATCTCTAATGCCCCCCCCAATTTCCATGATTCTTCATTGTTTTGTATAAAATAATAATCATTATTTACACCAATGTGAATTGTACAAACTAAAGATGGGATATAGATCTGGTCATAATAATAATGTAATCTGTTTCAAATTATAGGTTTATCTCCTGTAATCATTTGGAAGAGTAATGGTTTACTCACCCTCATCTTTGCACAGGCATCTTGTGTAGATTCTGTACCTCTTAGTTCTTTTACCAGCATAGAACCTAAATACTTAAAGGATACACAAATAATTTGTTTTCTTTAGTTAAGAACAGTGTAAATAATTTAAATTTTGAAGCAGAATTTGCTATTTTGTTTTTTGAACTGAATAATCATGATGTTCTCCAAATATTCTGAAGAACTGCCTAACTGATAAATGGATCTGAAATGGTAAAATTTGCAACTTTTTTTATAATGTTTGAGCAAGGTGTCTTTCTCTCCCCTGGTCTTTTCCCTTGCCTCATCTTCAACCAGTTTTGTTCTCCACTTTTGTTCTCCTTCCTTGCATAGCTACCCCTTCACTCTGATTTGGCCAATTAATAAACCCCAAAATATCCTTTTCAGTCATGTCAGTGCATACAGTAATCCCCAGGTGAGGTTAGCCCCATCCCTACCAGCTTTCCAGAGACATGTTTTTCCAGCAATCATGGGAGTAGGAAACTTGCAAAATAGTTGAATTATGCTTAAAACATGTTTATTCTCCCTCAGTCCTGATTTTTTTATGTTTAATTTTTTATAGTTGTCTATATTTGGTTTTAATTGTTTTGTTGCATATCACACATAATCACTTTTGTGAGAAAAGCGGATATGTAAATTTGCTAAATAAATAATACATCCAAACCACCTCTCCCTCAAATATATACTTCTAAAATTTTAAAATTCTAAAACTTTGGAAGAATGTTCATAATACTGGAAATTCTTATGGAATTTCTTTAGTCACACAAGGAATACAAGTAATCCTCGACTTACAACCACAATTGAGCCCAAATCTGTTATTGCTAAGCAAGACAATTGTTAAGTGAGTTTTTGCTCCTTTTATGACCTTTCTTGCCACAGCTGTTAAAGTGAATCATTGCAGTTGTTAAGTTAGTAACATGGTTGTTAAGTGAATCTGGCTTCCCCATTGTCTTTGCTTGTCAGAAGGTTGCAGAAAGGGATCACGTGACCCTGGGACACTGCAGCAGTCATAAAAACATGCCAGTTGCTATTTGTCCAAAATTCTGATCAAGTGACCACAGAGATGCTGCAATGGTTTTAATTGTGAAAAAAGGTCATGTCACTTTTTTCAGTGCCACTATAACTTCCAACAATCACTAAACAAATGGTTGTAAATCAAGGACAACCTGTACCTTGTCACTGCTGCTGTTTATATTAGGGAGAGAAAATAATTAGCCACCTTGTTAACAACCCAATTTCCACCCCTAAGTTGAGCAATTTTCAGTTGTTTGCAGAGAAATATTTTGTTTGATTGACTTACAAATGCTTTGTAATCACATGATTGGAAAATGAGTTTCTCTGGATGATGCTGCCAGTATTGTACTGGCGTTGATCCTGTAGCTTCATTAGGAGGCCTCAATGTAATAGAGGGTTCACCCCAGTCTCCAGTCTGAAAATAAGACACATTTCCAAAACAAAGTAAGCTATAGGAAGATTAGCAGGCAATAATGCTTTTCTTCATTTGTAATCAGTTTATATTGACTGATACTGCATGTATCATAAACTAATAAACTAACTTACGAAAGCTATGTGGACATTTCATATTATAATACTATGTTTCATCTGAATTTTCTAGCAAAGAACAAGTAATAGCCAAAATACATTAACATTATTTAAAGGAAATTATTACTGAGAGCTAATGGTTAAGACAACAGGTTAGAAACTGTGGAGGATGTGAATTCAAGTTCTGCCCTAGGCTCAAAGCCATCTGGGAAACCTTGAGCTAATCACTTTCTCTCAGTCCTAGGAAGGAGGCAGTGGCAAAACACCTCTGAAAAACCTCGCTAAGAAAATTGCAGAGACTTGTCCAGGCAGTCTCTGAGAATCAGACATGATTGAATGGAACGGGGGAAAATTACTAACATAGTATTTTACAGGAGAAACTAAAGACAGTTTCAGATACTTTACTCAAAATGGGAAATTCAATTAAATAAAGTACCTGAAAATAAACACCTACATTGTTCACTACTGATATGATTATAACTAGGCTTGTTTTATGAAAAGAAAATCTTATTTTGGCCAGTGGGACTTACTCCTAAGAAAACCTATTAGAAGTATAGTATTCCACCACCTTTTAAGTACTTAAAAGTCAATTCTGTAAAAACCAATGGGATAAAAAAAATATCTTAAGTCAATTTGCTAAGCATTAGAAATTAATATACTTACCGAAGGAAAGAAATAAACATTTTAGTATAATTTTCTTAGGAGTAAGCCTCACCAAATAAAATTGAATTAATTTTGGAGCAAATCTGTAAGGTTTTCTTTTAATTCACAAAACAATTACATTTAAAAAGCACTTACTAAAGCAAAACATTAAATTAAATGCTAAAAATAATTTCTTAGTTCATTTTTAAGTTATTTGTTCCTGCTGAACTGTTCTTGCATGGACAGAAATAGCAACTAATCATTAACATTTTATTAATCTTATTTAAACTTGAAAACATAACACATTAGCAAAAGCGACAGAAAAGCATAATTTTTACTGAGAATTCCAGTCACAGAAAGTATGCTTTAATTTCTCAAATCAGGACAGAGCAAACATAATAAGCATTATATACATATATACATATACATATATGTATCTCCCACATCTATGGGCCACATTAAAGACAAAGACAGAAGTTTATACAGATCTACAGTGACAAGCAGCACAAGATAAAGTTGAAGGCACCAATATTTTCTGTTTGGTGGAAACCAAAGCAGAACTGCAGAAACTCAAGCAAACAGAAACAACTTTGTGCCAACATTGCTGTATTTTTAGTTGAAGGCTGACAATAACGCAATTCATCTTCTTTTCTTAAAAGTGCTTTAACAATATCTTGAATAACTATTTCAACATTTTCCAAATGAAAGGTTTTTTAGGTTTTTTTTAATAAGAAAAGTGACTAATAAGGCAGTAAGTGAATAAGTCCCTACATCCTTGGAGCAGATGCATTTTTCTCTTTATCTTTCTTAATACTGGGAAATGCCACTGCACTTGTGCAATATAGCAAATACTGGTATATGCATAGTAACGCACTTGTTAGCACATACATTCGTGGTGACGCAGTGGTTAGAATGCAGTACTGCAGGCTATTTCCGCTGATTGCTGGTTGCCAGCAGTTCGACAGTTCGATTCTCACCAGCTCAAGATTGACTCAGCCTTCCATCCTTCCGAGGTCAGTAAAATGAGGACCCAGATTGTTGGGGGCAATATGCTGACTCTGTAAACCACTTAGAAAGGGCTGAAAGCACCGTGAAGTGGTATATAAGTCTAAATGCTATTGCTATTAATAATATTCAATATTAATAATGTGAATTAATTCTAGATTGAATTCAATGTTAAACACATGTAATTGATTTTGTGAAAGCAACTTTCTCTACTTTCCCCTTTAGCCAAGTAAGATGAGAACATATATGATTGGAACTCTAATTCCTAGGGGAAAATCCATCCATTTGTATGGATCTGTGTCATTCCAGGCTTTCTGTTCAGCATAGCTACCAAAATGTATAAGTAGTATTTTACGGTCTTACAAAGGCTGCTGTGGGGAGAAGGCAGATGTAAAGCTGCTTCTGCAAAACCTGCCTAAATCTGGATTCCACTCATTAGAATTATCCATTTTGAAACATATTTGCCTTTTATAGAATACATTTCCCACATATATTAGTGCTATTGTAAAAAAAAGGTTTATAGGAGTTGGGCAAAAGTGTTCTGGGAGTGCCAGTCTATGGCACTTAATTATTTTAGCCATATTATGTTGCTTTTTTCTCTGTTTCTCAACTTCACAACTTTAAAACATGTGTTCAGCTCCCAAAATTTTGGAGGCAGCCTGTGGAATTTGTACTATATTCTTCTCTATCTTGTACGTCCTCTTTTGTTTTTGTTATTTTTCATTTCTTACGTCCTAACTCCCCCATCACATGATTCAATTTCTGCTACTAAAATTATCCCTTCTTCTTTGACTTCTCTATCTCTACCTCAGGTGTCTCTTTTACATTATCAGCATGCACAGTAAAAATGTTGTGCCAAGTGTTGGCTGTCTAATGCACACAGCAGAAGTCATGTTCATTTTAATTATATGGGAACAGAGTACATAAAATTCAAACTCTGTCCTTGAAGTAGGGTGACAAAAGAAAATACTGGAGATAAGTGAAGTGGGATTATCTCTGCTGCAGTGTATTGTTGGCCATGTACCTATAAAGATAGTATCTGACCAGCCATGCTACTTGCCACTCATACACTGAGAACATTTCTTGAAAAGATTGCTATTTCACCAGTTGGCCAGTACAGTAGCACATACTGATGATAGACCCTGAAGACTGGAAGATTTGATTTGGAAATCTTTGGTAAATAATCCCAAGTACAAACCTTAATTAAGAGATACAAGATGAATTACATCTGTAAGAAAGACTATGAGATACCAGACTATGCTTAAAATTATTATTAAGCATACGAGGCAAGATGGGCAGCAATCAAATCAAAGAAATAAATACATTTAATCTGCCTATTAGAATTATTTGAGTTTGGAATTTTTCACACATTTACTTCAATAATTAGAACTGTTTGCAATAGTGGTGAATATCTGTAGCTCAGGTGTAGGATAAGGGTGAAGATTTGTTCTCCGAGCTTGTGAGTTGGTTTCCAAACATTTCATTGCCAGGCTAGATAACATCTTCAGCGGAGTTTAGGGGAAAATTAGAATTTTTTACAGAAATGGCAATTTAATATTATCAAGTATAAAAGATGCAATTATACAGTGTTGTCTATTTGCTTTAATAATCTTATTAATGTCACTCAAAGAAATACGATTGCATTCAGAGGTTTTGTTTTTGCTTTTTACTGGAAGGTCTATGGAGATTCTCAGTCATTCAGGTCATAGTAATCCCAAAGATGCTTTTTCACGAGGCAACTGGAGTTTCTTGTTTTTCTTTGAAGATGTTTCGCTTTTCATCTAAGAAGCTTCTTCAGCTCTGACTGGATAATGGGGAATGGAAGGATTTATACTCCTTGCAGATAGCTGGTTATTTGCATTCTTTTAGAGAGTTGTTCAGGCCTTCTGGAGGTTTATCTGTGTCCTCAGAGTCACCTAAGTAGTGCAAATGGGTGTGGAGCCTTCTTGGAACTGCTGAAAGGACTGTGTTGTAGACTAGACATAGATGATGTTGTATCCATCCCCCTCTGTTTTGACACAGATAGCCTCTTTGACCCCTCTTTCAAACCAGCAGTCCTCTCTATCCAAAATGTGGATTTTGCTGTCTTCGAAAGAGTGGCCTTTGTCTTTTAAATGCAGAAATGTCTGCATGTTTAAACTCCAATTGCCTCGTGAAAAAACAGCTTTGGGATGCTTTTACTGGAACAACTTTTCAAGGCTATATTCAAGATAACACTTGCTTCAAAGTTTTGATCTGCAAAATAGTTTAAAAAATTCAAAATCAGAGATGGAAAGGCTTTTCTCTCTACTGTAGTCCTCCCTGAGTCAGCCACAGAGCAAGGCAGGTAGCCCAGAGTCCTACAAAATAATGGTCCTCTTTTTCACTGAACTTTTCCTTTTTCATTTATAGCCAGCTGTATAGCCATGACTTAGATTTTTATTGCAGATAAGCTGCATAACTACAAGCAGATACAAGGGGGAAATTTTATTATTCAGATACTACAAAAACGATATTCATATTGTTTTCATTTAAAGAACTAAAAAGTGACAGTATAGCAAAGTAAAAGAAATCCAATACATGTCATACAGTATATACAGTGGATATGGAAATTCTACACAGCCCTATTAAAATGCTATATTTTTTAGGTTATTTATGTATTTATTTAATTTGTTTGCTGCCCTTCTCACCACTAGGTGACTCTGGGTGGCTTACAATGTTAAAAAAATACATACACATTCATACAATAAGAGTAAAATACTATATCAGCTATAACTAAAAGATGGGGTGGTGGGAGAAGATGAGCGGGGGGAGGATACCATTTTATATTTATATCAAAAAGATCGTAATTCATATTAATTTTAAACCTACATTTATTTAGCAACAATCCTAAAGTCTTCCCAATGCTGAGAGATATATGAAAGATGATTATGTTCTAGGAGGAGGAATCACTGGGAGGACAAGAATTAATTATGATATTAGATGTTCCTTGGCTATCTGGGAAAAAATCCACTCTACTGATGCCAATTTATATTATTCCATCTGAATTGTATTAGAAACCCTATCTGTTGGGGAATCATGAATCTATTAGATGTAGAATCTCTTATTTCTGTGCTATGGCTCTCAAAATAGCTCAACCATTGACACTCCCATTTTCCTTTCAATAAATAAAATAAAATAAAATATGGATGCCTCCTACTTCACACTTTGACTTAGTGAAAAAATAAGATACTGAATATAACATTTGATTTACTTTCTGAT